AAAGTGCAAATCCTACTTCAGCCTTTGGTATAGAAGTTATTGACAAGCAAGGCTTCGGATTTCTCCCAAGAAAATGCCTTGACCAGAACTAACCAAATTAGAACAGCTGGAAGTTCACTTTTCTGGCTTGTCACCCAACAGGAAATTTCAAAAATAAGATGAGGCAGAGCTTGCTGACAATAGAATATGTAACACTTTCTCCTCCAAAGGAAGAACATGTCTCATCACAGCATCTTTAGCTGACATTCAAATACAATCGTACATTTAATTATTTCCTAATTGCACATCAAAGACACCCATCAGGATAGCTGATAAGAGGGACTATGGCTTGGTCAGAACAGGAGACTCTTAAATCTCAAGGTCATGGGTTTGAGTCTCACGCTGAGCAAAGAATTCCTGCATCGCAGGGGGTTGGACAAAAGGGTTCTTGTGATCCCTTCCAACTCTATGATTCTGAGAGTCTATGTCAGCTTCCCTAGCCTAGTACCCTCCAGATGTTTTGGATTCAAACTCCCAACATCCCAAGTCAGCATGGATATGCTGGCTGGAACTGCAAGCTCAAAGCTTATGGAGGAAACAAAGCTGGGGAAGGTCGATCTAGGTTGATATTTATTTTTCCCCAACTACATGTTCAACTCATCCAGTATCCTGTTATAACAGGAGAGGGACTGCCTGCATGTGTTAGATGAACTTGTACATAAATATGGGGGGGGGGGGAGACAAAATATGGTCTAGCGACTGCCTCTCTCTTTTAATCCTATTAATATGCATACTGTCAAGTGACCTCTTGGCTTAACGCGGTCTTTCTTCTACCATGGAAAAAGGTGGTATACTACTTTTGCCAAGATTCTCTCACAAACACAAGACACAGAATTAGGCAATTTATCCTATAAAGATCCTTTACATAACATTACACCACCTGATGATATTTTATGACACTGCAAAAAATGATAATTATCAAATTAGATGCTAATCAATAAGTAACTGTCCCTTTCCTGGTGTCTTAACAGTACTGGAGAGCAAAAGATCTAACATGTAAGCAACTTTACTTCAGCTCCTCAGCACACAAAGTCTACTATCTAGAATGATTTTCAAGCTATCCTTAAAGCAAATCCCATTTTTTTTTTATTTCTCAGGACTCCATTACACTATTTTGATAAACGAGAAGAACAAATATGTCTACAAACCTGAATTTCATGGCTTCTTCTCAGAGCTATTTAGCTAGAGCACCAGCAAGGTGTAAACTGATGCAATTCCAGGATTCCAAAAGAAATTCTATTTCTGATACAAGACTAAACTTTAAATGGGGCATTAATTTTGGTTAAAATTTACCAACTTTCTTACACACTTCCCTGCCAAACAACATTACTCATACAGAATGAAAAGGTGCAGGATGGCCACTTTTAGGTCCTTTCATCAACATTATCTTTTTATTTCACACACCCTATGAGACACTTGTAGCCTATTTCAAACACATTATCAACCTGAGTTCAACACAGACCACTTTCCTCCATCCTCAGCTTGAACCAAGCACCACCCAGTTTATCCTCTTTGGGGGGATAAACAGTCCAAATCTCCACTTCACACATTGAAAGGCTTTGTGGGGAAGGGTAACAGAAGTGAAAAGTGTTCTGGGGTGTTGTTTCATTTCAATGACATTCATATCCTTAGGTAACAACTGTTTTAAGATATTGTCAGGGGTTCAGGAGCAGAGGCAAGGGCAAGGGAGGAAACAGAGAGCGAGGGGGAGGAGGCAGAAGAAAAGATGAGTGATGACGACGACCCGAGATCTCCGAGTCTTTCCAGTGAATCAGAAGATTCACAGAAAGGAGCACCAGTGGCCAGGGCAAGGGGGAGCCTAGGGGACGCCCCAGGAAGATAGAGCCAGAGGGGACTCAGAGGGGAGCAGTTGGAAATCGGGACCAGCGTCACCGCCAGAGAGCAGGGAAGAGGAAGGGAGCCAGGGATCAAGCGCTGGCAGCTCACAACAGGGGGGAGGGCACGAGTCAGGAGTGGCCACACCTCCATCGGGGAGCGAAGAAACGGTCAGACGGAAGGTGGAAGGTTGGGCGCGCGCGCAAAGTTCAAATGCACAGGAAGGTGGCACAGTAGGCAGCCCGGAAAGGGAGCCAGGTCCTAAAGCCCGCCGAAAGGAGGGAGAAGAGTCAGGGGGGTCAGCGTCAGCGTCAGAGGAATCCCGGAAAGAAGAGACCCCGGGGGCAGAGGGACCCAGAGAAGAACAGTCAGGCGGAAAAGGTGGAGCAGGGCTAGGATATTAAGTTGGTGTACAAGGGGCGGAGACTCAGACGGAGCTTCGCCGGTCTAACCATGAGACGTAGAGTTGCACGCAGCAGTTTGAGAATGGAAACTGTAACTCAATAAAGACTTTTGTTTAATGATCGCTGGCTAGCGTGATCCTCTGTGAGCTAGGATCTGGCAGCAGCTCTGACAGATATGATAGCCAATAATGCATATGAATGTAGCATCTTTCTTAGACATTAAGCAGATTATTAGACATTTTTAATTTCCAGTACTTCAAATGTTTACTTCTTGGGTTTGATACGGTGTTGTAATGAATCTGGCAAAAGTGGAAGTCAATTTTATCAGTGAATTGCCCTTTTCCTATCTTCAATGAACACTCCAATAGCAAGACTCCCATCTTGTGGCGGAATGGATCACTGTAGAACACGAATCGCCAGAGAAAACTTTTGGCTTTCACGGCATTTAGAATAGGTCATGTCTATTTCTGATTTCAGTATCCTTTCTCAAAGTATGTATCGCTGAACATTGATCTTGATGGCTGGAAACCAATTTAGCTCGATTTTATGATCCTGGCAAAGGAACATTTCTGCTTGCAAAACATTTAAAACAATGCACCTACAAGCCAGAATATGTTTTTTCACTTTCATTAACTGATAACACTAACAGAAAAGGGCACATTCCACTTTCCCAATTATAACCAACTATATCAAAGCTTCTCTGTAGCCAACCTGAGGAGCTCTAATCAATCCAGCTAATAATCGAGGGTTAACACCCACTCAATAAGGAAAAGGCAATCTGTAATAAGACCAATGAACAAAGGAAAAGCATCTATGAACAATAGAGATGGTTCTGAGATGCTGCTGACCCAGCTGTAAGCACTGAATCTCTAGTTTGGTTGAGACATGGTAGATGCAGACAATGTAAGGTTGGCTAAAGGACTAGAACACTCCTTTACCTACTTCACATATCAAACTTTTCTATTAGTGTTTTATTAGCATGAAAGAATAATTTCTTCTAAATATCAAATGTGGGTGGCCTTTTGCAGGGGTGAGGAATCCCTGGTCTACAGGTCAATTCTTGCTTGCCTTTAGAAAACAGCCTAAGGGGAGAAAGACATTGAGGTTCTCATGTCTTGGAAGAGCAGGGAGGAGCAAAGGATCTCTCGGACCTTGAATTAAATTGGACGGTTTGCAAAGCAGAGGGATGGTCTCCCAAATATGCTTGAGGCTGGGTGCAAGGCACCTCCTTGCCTTGGAGAGAAGTGTGGGGAAATGCCCCTCAGAAGCATCCAGTCTACAAGAGACTTGACAAAAGCAGGAAGACTGCTCCCCATCTTGTTATAGGCTGGGTACAACATCAGGTGGTGAAACTCCAAACACACAAACACCCCCAGAAAAATCTAAGCAGTATTTTGTTGTGGTTACTGAAAGCTGATCGATGTTTTAAAGGTGTAAGTGACAAGCATATTGTAAAATGTTGAAGGCAAGTACAATTGGGGTTGAGGACTGGAGTGATCATTCTGTGATATTATGGCAGTGGACAAAGCTGTATTGTAACTTTTGAATAAATGTTTAATAAAAATAAAGACAAGTACATAGCTAAAAAGAATTGGTCTAAGCACAAAAAGTACACCGGTCATTAAATACAGTTTCTTTCACCAACAAATCTGATGGTTCCACATTTCATTTCTAAAGGAAAAGAGTATCCCCCCCCCGCCCGCCAAAAAAAATACAAGTCCCTTCTTAAGGTAACTTTTATTTGTTAATTTGACATGAAAAGGTATGCAGGTTACACTAGAATTTAAAAAACACACCTAACACATTATCATAAGCCTGATTTGTGGTAAAGTTTCTAAGTGAAGCAAAACTAGCGAAAGAATTTTATTGAATCCTTCATCCTTCTATTTATGATGCAATTGTTGGATAATGTTCTTTACAAATGTTCCAAGTAAAACTTGTATAACCTGATAGCTAAAATACAAAAGTTTTCAGTATAAAAGGTTTTGTTGAGTGCCCCTTTACTTCCCCTTCCAAAAAAAAAAAAATCTAATAATGTAAAAGGACAAAGAGTAGATGCCTAATCTAACTAACAAACCCCCCACACAGTAGTTTATTATTCCTAAATGAAGATATTAGAAAAGGACCAGCATAAAAATGAGGGCTGTTTTTGAAAAACAGTACATTATTCAGTGTCAATATTTCACATTTCAAAAAGCTATATATATGGGTTTCACTTACAAAAAGCTCCATCTCTGTGACAAATGAAATTAAGGCCAGACACAGCTTTAAAATTCACAAAAGGAAATACAAAAATATTGTGCTTCCAAGCAAGTTCTTCTCTGCAGGAAGGGATTAACATAACTGAGGATATACAGATGACGAGTTTACATGATTGCACAGCTTTTGTTGGCTGTTCGTGGGTCTCCCTGTTTTAAAGAGAGAAAAGACAGCTTTAATTAAGGTTAAAGTAGGGACATTTTAAGTATCTTTCAATAATTGTAGTTTGATGAACTGTTTTTAACAGTCTGCCTTCTTCACTGAGCTTTTTGTCATGGGAACTGCTTGTGGACAAATTCATGGGCACATGTTTTATCAAGCAGGAAACACTTTGAGCCAGGGGTGGAGAACATGTACTTTCTTCAGATATTGTTCACTCCCATCAGTCCCTGCCAGCATGAGCAATTTGAAGGGCTTGAGCAGGAGTTCATGTGCAAAGGGTAACTACCAGTACATTCTAAATTCATGGCTGATGAGCAAAGAGATCTTGCTCAGAGAGGAACCAAAACCACTGCTTTCCACAATATAGTGCCTTATTGGAAAGTCAAGTTTCAAAATGTAATGCTTGGCATAAAATTGTAGGCTGCACAATGAGTTAAACAGAATATTGCCTGCCACAGCTCTAGGCCATGATTTTGATCTAGTGCAATGCAAGCCATGCATGTTTAAAGCTGTGATGAGCAATACAATTTAGTTTCAGCCCTTTTAGCCAGAATTGGCCCACATGTTCTCTAGCACATCAGTGTCTCTGCAGCCGAGATTCTCAAATTACCAATGAGAGCCTATGTTAGGCATAGGGAACCCATCCTGTTGCTGTTGGACTACAACTCCCATCATCCCTGACCATTAAGTCATCCTGGCTGGGGCTGATGGAAGTTGGTCCAATAACATCTGGAGGGCTAGGTTCCCCACCTTTGGGCTCTGCTTGGGACTCACATAATGCTTACCTCATAGTGGCCACTAAAATTGCTACATCTTAAGACCTTTAGATACACAGAAGGTTACTATGGACATAACTTTACTTCACTGTGGCAATATGAAAGAGTTGCAGGAATTCTTCCAAATACCAATATTTTGATTTTTTTTAAACCAATTACCTGGATTGTTCTCCTGCCAAGGTCACTAGGGAAATAGGTTTATTTTCCACATCACTATTTAAGTTACAGGAAGCAGGTGGCGCTGTGGTCTAAACCACTGAGCCTCTTGGGATTGCCAATCGGAAGGTTGGCGGTTCAAATCTGCATGACAGCAGTGAGCTCCTGTTGCTCTGTCCCAGCTCCTGCCAACCTAGCAGTTCGAAAGCATACCAGTGCGAGTAAGTTATAAGATACCTGCTGGTGGAATAGATCCTCTTCTTCTACAGCTTCAGCTGGTTCTTCATCTACTTCCTCCACCTCTTCAACTTCAAGTAAAGTTGTCTTGAAGACGGTGCTTCTCTGAGCAACTTCCTGTAACAGATGCAGCTGTTCAGTTATTCAATGCTTGCAACATTAAGGTAATGTTAAGCTATCTGGCATTTTTTAGTGACCATTTGTTGGATGTTAGTATGACTGTTGTCAATCTAGAATCTGACACAGACTGTACTAGTGGCTTGTACCAGTACACTATATATCTGTCAGGGAACTGCCATCGGACGGAAGGGAGGTGAAAGGGCTCACACAGGTTGGGAGAGACGCAGCAGCTGAAGAGGGAACCAACAGGGAGGTGAAAGGGCTCACACAGGTTGGGAGAGACGCAGCAGCTGAAGAGGGAACCAACAGGGAGGTGAAAGGGCTCACACAGGTTGGGAGAGACGCAGCAGCTGAAGAGGGAACCAGCAGGGGAGAGGAGCTGAGCTGGAGGGATGGCTCAGAGACACTTCCAGCGAAAACAGTGGGGAGGTTTCAGGACCTCCTGTAAGAACACCCACTCCTCGCCGGAAACTGTCACGCAGAGATTCCAGAAGACGTGTTTCCGTTAAGGAGCTTTTATGTTGGAAGCGATTACGAAAGCAACCACTGTCGGAATCTGCTAGTGACTAGAGTAGCCATGTCTGAGGGGCTCCGTCACAGACAGAGGTTTGTGGACTTGAACAAACTCTGAGGGGATACGATTTTACGCACAAGCAGCTCATCATCCCATCACAATATCCAAGCAAAAAGTACAGTTCTGTTCCACTTTGGGGGCTATTCTCACTATACAAATTAGTTTGTGATGAGCATAGGTTAGCCAGGTTTCCAACATTACCTCTCCCTGAGAGTTTTTCAGCACAACTTTCACATCTTTGCCAGTGCCCCAAGAGTTTTGGTTCTTCCAGATGAGGTCAGAAGGAGGACTGGCTGTTACTCCAGCATTAGCAGCCCATATCTGGGAAAGGGAAAGATACGTCAATCAGGATTAAAATACGTCTTCCAGAAAAGAATTATGCAAGCTCTATCTATAGCAATAGTTCTGGAAGCAAATAAATGGCAGAAGACCTAGACAAATACATTCAGCTTAAAGGGATTGATCCATAATAACTGCATTTGTAATAAATTTTCTTAACTGAACTTTATAAAAAGCGATTTATAGAGTACCATACAAGTTGCACCCCATTTGCAATATCTGTAGATAATGTAGATATCTGCAGGGTGGAGTCATGCCCTTCCAAAACAGACCCAGGACCCACAGCTTTCTGGAGAGTTCTGTAATTGCCATGGGTGCAGGTTAGATGGCTCACACCAGAGCTTTCCAAACTTTTCCAGTTGGTGACACACTTTTTGCTCATGCATGCTCTATTTTGCCTCTCATGTTTAGAGGTGCCTAAGTGCAAAGTAGCATCACTCGCTAAGCAGGAGTTACTGTTTCCCTCAGAATACTGACACAGGAAAACTGGTGTTGGGGAGGAGTGACAAACCCACCCATCTCCACCTTTTACATTTTGCTTCTAACCAGGCTCAGCACCAGAAAGCCTGGCAGTAGAAGAAACAGCCCAAGTCTGAGAGAAAAATATCGAGACTGGCACAGGGAAAAGGTTAAAAGCTCATTCTGTTCCAACCAGATAAATATTCCACCACCATTTTCCTATTATTCCACCAAAGGGTTTTCAAGAGATGAATTTACTAGGATCACTGTGTGTAAACAATGTTTGCAACTCTTTAGGAAGCCACTGAAAGTCCTTAATAGAAAATGAAATACATACACCTAGATTGGAGCAGCAGCAGCAATTACCAAAGAACCCACGTTAGACCCAAAGCACGTTTCCAACACGCTAATCCCAAGTTACATTTTGATATCTCAAAAAGTAGGTTTCACTTACTGTAACAGTCTGGCCTGCCTTCAGCACATATCTTGAGGTATATTTGTAAGTGACAGAAGAGTCTCCTATTTTCCTTATCATCTCCCAACCTCCCATTGGTTGGTCCTAAACAAAAGCAGGTGATGTTTTAATGTCAAGCCATTATGTACTTATTTCTGAACATTAAGACTAGTCTTATAAACCAGGTTGTTTTTATCCCCACCTGACCCCTTATGAACAACATTTGACACAGACAGGCTGCCCACCTGTCAATCACCTGACATCACCTTTTCTGACTGCAGGGGTCTTCAGAAATCCCTCTGTGATCTTGCACAGCACATTGAAAAGGGCTTTGCCAACTGCTAGTGCCTGCAGGCATCCCTTTCAGTTAGTAAGGTTTTTAGCTGCCCCCCCCCAACCCATCATATATGTCAAATGTAGGACAGGTGCACATGGCTTGGGACAAAATGCTCTGGTGGGCATGATTAAGACCACAGCCCAGAGGTACCCCACTTCAACTATATATGGTTACCTGGGAGGAAGTCCTGCTGAATTCAATGGGGCGTACTTCTGAATATCAATGTATAGAATGTCACTACAGTGCACTTGCAAGTTATAGGCATTTAACATGTGCGCATTCATTTTTTATTTTTTTTAAAAAATGATATTTATTGGGAATTTAAAGTTACATTAAAAAAAGAAAAAGAAAAAGCAAGAAAAAAGAGATTAAACAATATAAATCAATAAAAGGAGAATAAAAAGTACAAAACATACAATACACTAAAATCAAAAACAAGAGCAAAAGAATAAATTTAAAAACAAATCCAATATTCTCATACCCTTATCTTCATTAACTTGTTTCCTCGACCTCCACACTTCCCTTTTTTGTATTCTAATTATTAATTATCTCAGCAAATCCTTTCCATCTTTCACTGTATTCTGTCCTTTAGTTGTCTTAATTTATTTTAGCCTTATCTTACCATAAAAAAACACCTTAGAACTTAAAAACTTATTTATACATAACTCCTTATAACATTTCTACTAAAGCCTAATAGTTTCATTCCAAGATTTTCCTAACAGTCATTAATTTTGCAATATTTCTCTAAATGAATTTTTAAGCTTTCTGCCAATCTTCATCCACCGTCTCTTCTTCCTGGTCTTGGGTTCTGTCAGTCCTTTCTGTCTGTTCCATCTAGTCCATCAACCTGGTGATCTTATGTCCGAGGCTCTTAACTCTTTTCCATGTCCCTTCTGCAGATCTTCTTCATAATTGTACCTGCACTTTACTTTGTCTTCTGCTGGTCTTGTACGCATTCAGCTTGGCAAAAATATTAATTAAAAATGGGGTGGAAAGAAGGGGGGCATCTGGAGGGGGGAGGCCTTTGGCAATCCCACCTGCCATGGCGCCCAGTTTGTTTTAACTAGATATGATTTTGGCTTTAGGCACTATCCCTGGAACGTTTAAGTAGCTGGCTTACCATATAAGTCATTATATACACTTGAACATCAAACCATTCAAAACACAGGGAGGATGGTGAAATAGATATGCCTTCTAACCCTTTCTATCAATATCAACTTGATCACTATGCAACCCTTATTGTTTCACCTGGGACACATCTTGTAAGACCATTTAAGAGTTTTACACTCTTGAGCCACTCTCAACTTTTGCAGGACAAGTCATCAGTCACAGGAGAACATTTGTTTGTTGCTGCTGCTGCTTCTTTCTCCGGTCATCCAGGGAAATGTCATCTACATTTTAACCACCTCATCTGATTATTCAGGTTTCCATACCTGCTCAGAAGTGTTTTTCAAGCGGATAAACTTCCCGTCTACATCTATTTCCTCAATGCAGATATTTCCAGTAGCAGAAGCTGAATGAGAGATGCTAACGCTACTACTGGCCTCAGATTCCTCAACATCAACCCTCTTCCTCTTTCCCCTGGTTGTGCGCACACTGCGGCTGGATGATGCCCGAGAGACTGTCACACGAGAAGATGGGCTGGGAGTAAGTTTCAATCTGTAGAAGAAGAGAAAAAAGGAAACCCATCAACACACACGTTTCAAGTGTGCTTTCATCTCTCTCCTTCTCAGGCAGCATGGATTAGTAACATGTTTTGTAAACTCTGATAATTACTTTGAGTATATTAATTACCTGCAAGGTTGGATTTCAAGCAAGTATGTGCGCATTTTGGATTATTTCCCCACCATTTAGAGTGGGTGGGAAGAACCAGGGCTGGGACTAAGGGTTTTCAAGGACAGGGTTGGCCTGGGAATGAGGGATTAAGTTTCCTTTAAAAATTATTATTATACTATTTCAGTTGGGAGTGCCCAGGGTGAAGAGCAACATTTAAATCAACCATTAAAACTTCAAGAGAAAATATTTACCTTGCAAAACACCAAGCATAAGAGGAATAGTTTGGCTGGATATACCTATAAACCATAATTTAAATGCCTTCTATTTCATAAGACATTATACCTGGAGAGATACTAGTGTTCACATTCAGCAACTGGGAAAAAGTTTTACACTTGACTGAGAAGCTCTTTCCATCATTCATCTCTAGTTGTTAAAACATTTTGCTCTTCACATATAGCCAATATCCCTTCCCCTTCTTAAACATGGACTGCATGTGCCTGGAATAATTGGGCAGGTAGTTGGAGTACATAATCTTTAGGATAACTTCCATTCTCCTGTAAAATGACAACTATTTCTTACCTTTCTTCTTCACCTTCCAAGAGCTTTCTGTATGCACTGATCTCCATGTCAAGTGCCAATTTTACATCAAGGAGTTGTTCATAATCACTCAACTGCTGTTGCATTTGGTCTCTTATCTCTGCCATCTCTCTCTCTTTATCAGACAGTGCCCTGCGAAAGTTATCTCTTTCTTTAGCCAGGATATCCTCCAGTTCTTGCATCCTTTCTAGCCATTCTCTAGACTAAAAAAGAAAATAAAAAATGCACAGACACCAACTTCAGGAATTTTAATTTCTAAAAGCCAATATTCAAAGACATAGAATGAATATGAAGAGCTATGCAAGTGTTACATTCCTGTTTTTAATACAAATTGCCTGTTGTGCAAGGTATTGTGTCTATTGCTTCATATTTAAAAGTGACAAAGCTGATGTCTATGGTTGTGAATCTGTTTTCAAAAAAAGCACAAACAGAACACACACACGTACAGACACTTCCTATGTTGGGCAAGAATAAATCTAGCAAGTCACTGAACAATTGCAGAACTGGCTCATTACTGGAACACAGACAAGCTGCAGCACTTCTTATATTTTCTCATTTGCTAGCATATTACGCAAAGGGCATGGCTTAAGAAAGAGAATGGCATTAAGATGCAGCTGATGATAATCAGTGATGTTGTGCACACTGAACAGAAAATTGAAAGTGAACCAAAATAATCTCAATTTTGCAACCCATATAGTTCTGTAAATTGAGCAAGCTTACATAAATGCCTGGGTTGGCTATGAAGGACCATTTTGATTTTACTGGTTAAAAGAAGGGGCTAAGGAGGACCCTGAAGCCCTACCCCAGACCCTGCAAATAATGTTTGGGCCCCTCTGATCTTCTGAGGAATCACTACATATCACTACTGTATGTCAATTTCACTCTCCTATCCTGACGTGGTGAGAGAAGTCAACCAGGCTCTGCTGACTGAGATTGAGCCAAAGGCTTCTTCCTGGGACCAGAGCTATGGGGTGCTGGCGTGGGGATGAAAGTCTGTCATTTGTTTTAACTCTGTATTTACTGGATACAAGATGAGATCCCAAACCATCCTTGACCTCCCCTCACTGACTTCAAACCTTGAGAGGGGCTGCAGCACCAACTGACAGGCAAAAACAAACAAATCCACCCCTCCCCATTGGCAAGTTTGAGAGGAACAATAGAGGAGTTTCTGTTTGCTCCTGAAGTGCTATGTTTCAAAGATGCAGCATAAGGTCAGGGAGAAGTCCCCACTCCTTTGGGCATGTCCTAGTGACAAGTTTTTGGTTGGCCAATAAAGTCACCCCAAATTTGGGTATTCCCTACAAACGTTCCAGCATATCTTCATAAACATAAGGGCCAAAAACACTGTTTATTATTTAAAAATTAGAAATGAAAGCTGAGAATCTCAGGAAACTGAATTCTATGCTCCAGCAGAATGATAGCACAAACAAAGAATGAATTCCTCTTGTCTAAAAAGAAGCACTTGTTCATTTTCAGTAATCAATACAATGGAGTCAGACTGAACAATAGTAAAAGTTTCATAAATCAAGAGGGGAACAAAAGGTGGAATTGACCCCAAAATGGACAACAAATTGGCCCAGTCTATTTCAAACGCAGGATTTTTAAAAAAAAGAATACAAAGATTAAAGTACAACACACACAACAGTAGCCCGGAAAACCACTGAACTACTTGTAATGTAATGTATAAAATATCTGAGAAGTACTTACCTGCTACTAAGGTGATAAAGACAGGACTGTGGAATCCCTTACCTCTTTCTGCAAATTAGCCAGTTGGGAAGAGAGGCTGTCAATGCGCATGCGACTTTCCATGAGTTCTTCTCTGACAGTGTTGGCTGCAGAGCTAGACATTTCAGAAGAGAGTCTGGCGTTCTCAAGCTGCAGGAAAACAAGCAGAACACACTCCACATTTGGTCTGCCAACAAATAGAGAAGCAAGTGCTTGTACTTTAAAATATCTGCAACAACATTAAGTAAGGCACACATTGCGTGTAATACAGGAAACCTGTCATGCAGGCTTTTCTGAAAATCTGACAGCTAAGAACATATGTAATATTTCTTCGGGACAACCCCTCCAACCACAAAAAATATTCAGATTCTTTTATCCTTATTTTCCCCTTAGGCCACCTGCCATTTCCTCAACTCTTTCAACTAAATATGGAAGCATTTAATAAGCAAAGGAACTAAGATAGCAAATAATGTTCAAAGGAATGCAAGGATTTACTAGAAAAACCATCAAAGTGACCTTCTGAACTTATAGAATGGCTCCTCAATAACTTTCAACAGTGATCCAAAACTGTTCAGAGTCATATAGCTACAAGTGAACTCAACTTAGTTGAAGGTAATGGTGTTGTTGCTTAATGCTTTTAAAAGAAAACAATCCACATCAGCTATACTACAGTTGCAAGTTTTCCAATGCAATGAAGTACAGCTTCACAAGACAGCACATAGACTAACAGACAGTATCTTAAGAATGCCTTCTGAGGCTAGCTAAGTTTTAAGGCTACATATGAAGGAAAGAAACACAGTAAGCAGGAAATTCATTTGACTGCCGAATGACTCCGTCTTGGAAAAGCACTACAGTCATACCTCATGTTACGTTTGCTTCAGGTTGAGCATTTTCAGGTTGCATCCCGCGGCGACCCGGAAGTACCAGAAAGGGTTACTTCCGGGTTTCGCCGCTCGCACATGCACAGACGCTCAAAATGACGTCACGTGCATGAGCAGAAGCAGCGAGTCGTGACCCGCACAGACGCAGGTTGCGTTCTGCTTATGTTGTGAACGGGCCTCCGGAACGGATCCCGTTTGCAACCGGAGGTACCACTGTATTCACCATGTTAAGACCTTCAGGATCTCCATAGAAGTAAATCTACAAATGCGAGCAGGAGTCTTTAGGTGCATAGCAAAGGCCCTTTCAGCTTAACTGCAACGAAGTAGGATGCACAAGACAAGGAAATGGGATAGCCTGGGATGTTGGCCAGATATGAAGGACTAGCAGTAACTTTGGCTGCACTGATTGGATAGCACTTAAATGGTGCGGGCCCGCACTACCTTTTCTTAAGCAAGTGGTTTCTGAACAGCTCATTCTGTACTAGATCAGTCAAGTACGACACAGGGAAGCCTGCAGCCCCAGGTTGACTATAAGAAAACGCCCTGCTCTTCAAACATTCCAGTTGTCTACAGTAATTCATCTTTAACATTAGCAAAGCTTTTCTGAAATGTTAACATGCACCCTTCTTGACTTGAATATATATTCCACTTTGCTTCTTTGCCCAGATTAAAAAAAAATGTGTTTCAGTTTTATTCGCTACAGCTACACTAGTTCAAAATAAGTTTTGTTTTTAAATGGAGCATTCACGTTAAAGGAAATTTCTATTTTGAATGTTGGTGTTTAACCCATTACTACCTATCAATCTCTAGAAGAAATGAAATTTAAGCTCACATCCAGAAACAGTTTCTATTTCAATTATTCAGACAAAGTCTCTGTAACACAACGATCAGGATTTTATTATATGCAAGAGTAAATATTAATACTTTGGCATGGTATGTCTCTTCAAGCTCCTCCTTATACATTTTCACTTGCACATCATGCTGCTCTCTCATTTCTTGAAGCGCCTGAGCAAGTTTGTGCTCATAATCTATCCGACGCCCGGAGTCCACCTCAACAAGACGGGTCTCATGCTTTCTTCTTGTCTCATTGATTTCCTAAGGAGGAATAACATTACTTTTCAATAACACAATTTCACCAAGCAAAGAAAAGCAAGGATGGCATATTAAATAAAGTATGACCCCATTGGCTTTCCAGCTAGATTGCAATTGCTTTGTCTACTGATAAGAAGGAAAGTCTCGCTTAAATAGGTTTCTTGGGGCTCAGCTTTTAAGAGAAATACTCCAAATATATTTTTTGGATATGCCACTTTTATGAGGATGCCCCCCCCTCCAAATCTCCTTACTAAATGTGCTCCAACATATTACTGTTATAAGCTTGGGGATTTGAATGGGTATCCACTTGGGATAGCTTCCAGTCTTAGGGTTCTTTATTTGTAAGACTGGATCTGAGAATATTGCTAAAAAGGTCAAACCAGTTCTTCTGTTAAGTAAACAGTCCTGGTCATGTCTCTTAAGTACCCCCTTTTGCCATGTAAGCTAGGGCAATGGGCTGGCACAGGAAATAGCTGGAGATGCTTCAGGTATAGAAAAAGGAGGGTATATCTCCTCCTTCACTGACTGGAAGCAATGCTGAGAAACCCAGTCTTGGAGAGTCTGAAGTAAAGATGGAGAAATGTATTTGGTTTGCTTTTATAAGCAACTGACCTTATACTCACTTCCCATACTAATACATGGATCAAAACACAATAATCCTTCGGACAGCATGCTTTCCCAAATATTACGATAGTTCTCTACTCAAAATTTTTACGAAAATGCATAAAACATGTATTTTAGGATAAATCACCTTTAGAAATACATACATTGAGACATAGCACACATCCAATTTTAAGTTCAAATCAAAACACCAATTTGTGTTGTTGTTTTTAAAATTGAAGTTTAGTGCTCACAGATCAGAAATAGACTGATCACTCTATCACTACTTGGAGGCAGACACAGAGACCTGATTTGAAGCCAGGGTGCACACTAGCTTGTCACTGCATAACATTACCTTAGAACCTGAACTATATTACCTCTTCATAAATATTTTTTCGGAACTCCAGGTCTTCAATCAAACTTTGACAGCGATTTTCAAGATCCACTTTCAGTAAAGTTTCATCCACGAGCTGCTTCTTAGCAGCAGCTAAAGATGCTTCAAGCTTAAAAGAAATAATTACAAATTAGCAAAAACACAATTCTAGCATAAAATAATTACCACAAGTAAAAACTAAGTGCCATCTGGCAAAGTTTTCATAAAGCTGGCCAATGATAGAATAAAGCACATTTGATGCACTGAAGTTAAGTTCACTCTTCATTAAGTACTGCTCATTTACTGATCCACAATGTCTCACGTACTGTTGTTTGGTTTATCATCATGGGAACAAGCAACAGCAAGTCTTGGGGCTTACACACTGCACCCCTTTGCCTGGCATAAAGAGCTGGGAGGTTTTTCCTTCAGTTCCAAACTAACATTAGATACGTATTATATGTGAACCCAGGCAAGCCACTAGTCTTAGCCAGTGTGAAAATCTCAGATATATAAACTAGGCGCCAAATAGCTCCCCTTAAACCAAGGTTACACTCACCAAAATGGAATGTCTAGTTGCCATTTTGGGGCAAGACAGCTCTATAGCCTTATTGTTCAAATGGACTGACTGTGATTATCAGTTAAACATATGGCTAGTTCAGATGACGACTCTGGGCTAGGTCAAGAGCATTGAGAACTTAAAGAAGAAAGGTCACTTGATTCAGCAGCAGTCCACATATATACTAGCCTATTCCAACCTCTTTTTCTTAATGGTGACTGTCCCTGCTCAGGGTGCACAGAAAAAGTAATTTGGTTCCAGAAATTCATTCTGATTGTGCAGATAACATATAACTAATAGAATTCTACAAGATGGGGTCTTAGTGTGTGAAAACAGTCCATTCAATGATCCCTAGATGGCGGATATGCCAGATGCCATCCTGGCACCCAGGAATCTTCACGTGGTCGCAAGTGGTAAAAGCTAGCTGCAAAATGCGCCTGGCACCTGGCTAATGTCAAATACTCGTCTTAGCAATGATTGGCCAAAACAAGTAAATTTCGACCCATAGTTTAGGAAAACGGATCTGCTTCAAATAACCATAGTTAGGATTAACTAACTTACAGTCTGACCACAATGCTAAACTGTAGTTGACTTAAATCAAAAGTTAAAGGTTTTGATTGCCTCCTGGCTGCGCCAAAACAGCTGAGGTGTGAGTGCATGAGATCTAGGCTACTGTACATTACAGTAACCATTATCATTACATCCAAACTAGGCTATTATGAGAAACTAAGTTGCTTCCTATGGTGTCACAAGTGCAATAGACTTCAGGTTGCACAACAGACTTCACCTTCCTTTCCCACCCCCCATTTAGCCTCCTGTTCACACCAAAATCTGCTCTGGTGTGCAGATCCCACCCCGTAATTTCTCAACACACTCACCAGTTTTGTTTTAATTAAAATAGTGAGCATTATTAACTACTCAACGAGCTGTAGCCACATTTATAAGATGATGTTGCTGCTTATTCCAAGCTGGCCTGAAGCGCATTGTGTAGTAACTTATATATTTACCTGAGCAATCTGATCTTTTAAATCTTCAAGGTCCACCTCCAGGCTTTTCTTATCACCAAGTGCTATGGCAAGTGCAGCTTCTTTAGCATTCAGAGCAGCTTCAAACTCTCGAAGCTTAAGCATTGCTCCATTTAGATCAGATTCTTTTTTTGCATAGCTGAAAACAACAATAATAAAAAAACAGAAAAACGTAGTTCAATAAGTTGCCTCAAATATTTTCTTCAATGCAAGATGAAACTTAAAAAGAGCTGTATGACTATAGTTGGATTCCACTGGGTTGTGCGGAATGGAAAATCTTCTAAAAGACTGAAACTCTAGTGAGATGTAATTTACTTCATCCTTACAGTTCTTAATATATAAGCCATGTGTAATCATTTCTAGTGAAGAACTAGTACAGTGGTACCTCGGGTTACAGACGCTTCAGGCTACAGACTTCGCTAACCCAGAAATAGTACCTCGGGTTAAGAACTTTGCTTCAGGATGAGAACAGAAATTGCACAGCGACGGTGCGGCAGCAGCGGGAGGCCCCATTAGCTAACGTGGTGCTTCAGGTTAAGAACAGATTCAGGTTAAGATCGGACCTCCAGAACGAATTGAGTTCTTAACCCGAGGTACCACTGTAACACTAAACTAATATTTTATCATAGTACATAGCTAGATTTCCATAAGCGATTAAGATTTTGCTGGCTGTATATAAACCAATCAACAACAGTTAGCTATTTTTGCAACGCAAGCACTTTATGCCAAAACAGTGAAGAATAAGATTGCAGAGATGCTAAGATTAAGTATAGCCTCTATTTTATAGAGAAAAACCAAAGTGCAATATTAACTTGCTGAATGACTGTAGAACCTGAAGTTCAAGTTATTCAGCACACTCAACTGCTTTTAGCACCATCATAAAATTGTTATTGTGCAGCTGGGATACTAGCACTGTAAAAAGTAAAAGCCCAAAGAATATCTACAAAAAACTTTGAATTTGGTACAATCCAAATTATGTACCAAGGAAAACAGTTCTGTGACCTGAATAAAATACATAAGCAGAACAAATGTGTACAATCTACTCTGCTTTTCCTAGTCATGGGGAAAAGGCAAGCAGCTACTCAAGTTACTAAAACTCCACTCACAGCCACTGGAATAAATTTAATGGGTCTACGCTGAGTAAAACCTGGTTGGATATGACCTATAATTTTCTCTCTCCTTGCTGCACATTCTTTGGTCCTACACAATCACAACATCTATAGAGCTCTTAGGTAGAAAACTTAGATGAAGAGTGATTTGATTTGAGGTCCTTCAGGCCCCAGAATGGAAGCTACCCCAACAGTACATAAGTTGGTGGGCAGGCCTGCAGCAGAGACCAAAAAACCCACAATTCTTCCCAATGCAAACACTGAGGTGGGCCTTCATAAATTTCATAGGAAGCCAGCTTATGAAATCCTCATCTTAATGAGAACATACTAGAGAGTTTCTATATGTAACAAGTACTTTTCCAAGCATTTGCTTATTTGCTTAAGTGTTGTACAACTGTGGCTTTTATGTATTTGTTTATTTATAAACTACTTCACAGCTAAAGCTATCAAAGCTGTGTGATGTTATAATGCAGTTCCTTATTGTGGGGTGCCATACCCCATAACTGGAATATCCATTGTTCTCCATACTGTCACCAAGATGAGTCCGGGCTACAGAGAAGAAACAGAAATTCCATTCTCAGCAAGGAAGGCGGTTTGATTAGTCTGACCCAGAAGAGATAACAAGAGGTGGAAAATACTAAGAACGCACACATTTATTCATTTTTACCAGGAGCCTGGTTTACCTCTTGGGCAAAACTGAGTTTCTTTTCTTTTACTTACTATTACCCTTCTGGGTTTCCAGAATACTGAGCAAGATGGTCTGGCTTAGTAAAGGGCAATTTCTGAGTCTCCTAGGTAAAAATGCAAGTAGTCTCAAACCCTTTACCACAACACTATTCGCAAAACATGAGTTTCAGGGCCACTACAATTTCACCACAGCTAGGGCTTGCAATTCAATGGGCTAGACTGAATGTAAAGGAAGCAGGCAGCTGCTGGCCAAACAAACCAGCAGGGGTGCTAGGTTCACACATGCCACCGAGCCACTGTTTGGTACTAGGAAACCTCCAGTCTGGAGCCTAATTAGGGTTATGTCTGCCAGGCCTCCCCATTGGGACCATGACATGATTTGGCTTGAACTATGCCCACCTGTTATCACCTGGCATCAGGCGCAGCACAGGTAATCCTGTGTGGCAAATTAATCACCAAGCATCAGGAGTGCATTCGAAGGGCACTCTTGAGTCTTCATTTGCTGCTGGTGGTATACTTCACTGCTTTTTTAAATTTGGCACCCAATTCAAAAAACAGTAAATTACCGTAACGTAGATGGTGATTTGTTCTCTCTTTCCTGGGAACCTAAGTTTGTTCCCCACCCCTAGCCCATATATGCTTTTAAAAAGTGATAAGGCAGTAAAAAAATACAGTGAAAAGTAACTTAGTTTTAGGATTTCAAGCACAGCCTTTAAAAACGTATAGTGCCTAATTATTACAGGCTGTAATATTCAGCACCAATGACCTTAAAAGAATAATATTGACTAGCTTTTTCTCTCTGCATTATTATTGTCCTTAGTTATCAATGGCTTTTTACACCATCAGCTCAGGATGATGTACAACAAAACCAGCAAAAACACAGTTAAACACACAAAAACAGCACATGTATTTAAATCAAAACAATACAAAATAGACACTCATGGCAGAGACCCAGTCACCCAGCTGGTAAATTCTCTGTTTCTAGAAAGCTCAGATAGTGTATACCTATCTTATCTTGAAAAGAATGCCACTCTACATGCATGCCCTATTTGGGGGTGGGGGTGGGGGGGAGGTATGCCAAGGAGTATCTGAGACATATTAAATTCATGAAAGTTCAAAAACTCTTAATTTAAGAGTACTGTGTTACACCAAACACGTGGGGCCAGCACATGACAAATTGGACAGTTTTCAGTAAGTACTTGAAGTGACCCAGCTGCCTTACTTTGCGGTAACCATATGGCACATTTGGCAAATCACTGAAAAGCTTACAATTATAGTAGTTGTATGCTGAATCAGAGTAAATGACAGACAAGAGCTTCATCTACCTATAGTCTGATTTCACAAGCACAAGGATTCAAACACTGAAAATAATCATTGTGCCAACAGTACAACGGCCATGTGCAAAAGGGATGATTTGGATAATAGTCTGAATTGCAATTGAGGGAGAAACATTCATTTAAATCAGATTATACTAACTCTCCTATTGAGGTCCATACTTTAACACAGCAATATGGACTTGGGACAGCTGTTTCAACTATGTTTACCCTCTGAACAGTTGCCCTGTGCACCAGCTGAACTATACTTAACACTTGCTGAATCAATCAATCAAGTCATTGTCTTAATAACAGGCCCATAGGGATGTAGATTTTCAATGCAATTTCATAAATATGCCTTTTTTTAAAAAGGAAGCAGGAAAGTAAGAATGAAAAAAACGTTATTTCCTTAAAAGAAATCTTCTGTTCCTGGAACTGGATGATAGTAACAGGAAAAAAAATTGTACAAGATTCTGTTCCTCTTAGCTGCTGGCAATCTTACTATGTAAGTTAATGATTGACAGCTAATACATACTGTACAACCTTTCACGTCTGCAGCTGTGTGCTTAAGAGTTTCTCTTCTGGCAATCCTCAACCTAGTAGTTCCAAAATATAGTCTATACACTTATTCACCACAGAACTTTCAAACACTACGGTATTGATTAATGTGAAATTGGCACTACATGCAGTATATTCTTTTTAAATTGTGTTCTAATTTATTTAACTGTTTTAAAACTTACTTTTCATCACATTTAAATAATATGAGGAAAATTAAGACACAAAGTCTGAAGATTACAGAAGCCCCTGTTACTGATATGAAGTCTAGCTTTCCACAATAATATTTAGATGGCAAAAGTACCATGCTTTACAATTTACTCTTAGGCAAGATTTCACAATCTTGCAAGCAATTTGAAACTGATGTATTTGGTTTCAGGTAATGCCACCCAATACAGATTTTACAAGCATTAAGTATTATACCACAGAACTTCACATATCCATTTCACTTTTCCAACCCTGTCAAACTTATTTTGACCATATTCAAAATCATGCAGTAGCAGCACAAGGAATGAAGCAAAGTTGAGGTACAATTAACAAGCAGCTAGGTTTCTGTTTCCTACAGTAGAATGCACAAGGGTAATAGGCAATACACTTACCAAGAACACAAATCCATCCTATTTACTGCTATATGTATGCAGGCCACTCCCATTTACATGTGATCTATTTGTATGTGACTGCACATATGCGTGGTGCCGGGTATCCGGAAATAGGGAGCACACTCCTGGCTTGCAAGGAAACTCACCCCAGAGGATCTCATCGTGAACTGGAGGGGCAGCGGGGCTTTGTTGAACTGTTCAGCCTCACTGCCTAACAACTGAGTGCAGGCTGGGTTCGAAATTAGAAGGGTGCCAGGCACATTTCATGCCTAAAGGTTCTCCATTTGCGAGCACCTCAAAAAAGTCTGGGTGCCATTTTTTGCACCTGGCTTACACTAAAGGATTACTGAACTATATGTGCTTTGAAGCTTTGAAGTATACAATAAGGATAGACAATATGTTAAGGAGTTTAACAATAAAGAGTAGTGTGTTTTGAAAACTGAAGCATGATACCAATATTTTTAGTATAAACACCAAATTAAACAAGTATTAACAATTTCTGCTAAAAATGTGATATTAACAATGTGTCACTTATGTGAATTGCGTATTAGTTCATGCTTATCAAAATAATAAATAGAAAGTGTGGCTGACCCCCCTCCCCCAAAATGGCCCATAGACATTCTGTTTTGGCATCCACAATCCAGGTCCCAGGGACCATTTGGCTCTTAGGTTTTCTATCCCAGTTTCTAACACTGTGTGTCGGGTAGCGCAGCAGCAGCCGCATCCCAGTGCATCAGCTGAGCGAGCCCTGCTGCCCCTCCAGCTCACGCTGAGATCTTCTTTGGGTTATGGGGACACGTCTGATGCTAGGAAGTGAGGCTGAGCAGCTCAATAAAGCCCCACTGCCCCTCCAGCTTGCGAGGAGATCCTTCCCAGAGCCCGAAGAGGTCCTCTTTGGGATCTCAGGTGGGTTTTCTCACGAGCCACTATGGTTCTCCAGGGTGCTCACCTGTATACAGTAATATCTCTTACAAGGGTCTTTCTCACTGGGTTGTTACTCATTTTAACAGCAGAAGTTAAGTAGTTCACCCAGAACTGAGTGCTTATACAAGATTGTTCTTAACATTAATAGAGAAAGCAGCTCTCTATAATATTGGTTTTTCCCTTCTTAGCTTCCAGAAAGCCAACCTGCTACTTAAAGTTGAATACAACCTTAAGAGATGTGTCAAAACACACCACCCACAATTAGGAATCACAGATTTCTGCATTTTATCTGGCTATTAATATAAGCTAATATAAGAAGTAACAAAGGAACCAGTGATTATATTAAACTTAAGTATTATACTTACGTGTAAGTGCACATTTCACAGCTCAAACAGGAGTTACCACAGATGTACTTTAATCCAAGCCCTACTTCTAAATCACATAAAATTTGCTTCTAACTCAAAACCTTTGCAAAAAATAAATAAATAAAGTTTCAACTCGTTTTTGAGGTAGGAATACAATAACTCAACCACCATCCGATTAATTAGAACATGACATCTAAATACCCCACATGGGCTTGGAACTAGATAAACTGCTTTGCTTTTGCCAATCATGTGCAAATCAGGCCTTAAGATGAGAAGCAGGGCCTGAGGATTTACAACAAATAGATGAGAATCAAATTACTGGCACTTTAAGATATCCCTCCCACCCCCGGTTTCCAACCTTGTTTTCATTAATATGGAAAAGCCTGTTTATTAAAGGTTTAAGGGGGTAGTCTGCACAGAAATTCCTGTCCCTTCAAAAGATGTACATTTACTTTGATCTCAAAGTATCCCATTCACCATAATTACTCTAGCAATTTGCAAATCCAGCTTGTCAGTGGTAAGCTGGAGTTCCCAGAGAAATAGAATCCATATCAAGAGTTACACTATTCAGTCACTAGGCAGAAAACCACATCATATTTCTACTATAAGATGCTTCAGAGCTAATTATGGCAAGCGAACACATGCACAGTACTAGTTTATTTTCCCGGTTTTTAAAAAAAGAATAAATGTAATTTAGAAAGCATACAACTTGAACAGAAGCAACAAGAAAAGGGGCAACAGTTAAGCACAATATTTCTCAACTTCATTCTGCTACAGATTTAACAAAGCTACTCTTTTTGGAATTGACTGACAAATGATGAAGTGCCTGGAGACACACAGTCAGGTCATGTATCCACAGCACTGACCAGAGGAGAAATGGCTGCTGGAGGAGCACAGAGAGAAGAGATGTCATGACGCATCTGTAGCAGTGAAACCAGATGCCTTCATCTGCCCCAGCTGCAATAAAACATGTCTCTCCTGTACTGATCTCTATAGCCACAGCAGACGCTGTAACTCTCCAATGGTTTGACTATACCCCCAAAGGTGCACTCTTCCACTGTATCTAAAGACAGAAGGAATGAATGAGTTCATCCTCCTGCAATCATTTCTGGACCCATGCACTGCTTTTTCAAGTAATGATTTTTAGGGCAAAATCCAGCAGAGGCATCTGCTAACTTAAGAAAAGAGGAGGCATTTTTTGCCGATTCCCTCTTCATCCCTCCTCTACATGCCACTTACCACAGGAGGGTCCCCCAAAACCATCTAGAACATTATTGGAGAGAATGCAGTGGACTGAGAAGTAATAAAAAATCTCTTTAATTAGCAGACACTTCTGCTGGATTAAAAGCCATTTCACATGCATAATTCCCACACTTAATTTCACCCTTACAATTTAGCCCAGCTATACAAAACCCTAGAAGTTACTGCTACATAGAAACCTAATTATAAAAAGAGCAAGGCAACAGAAACTCAGTAAAGATGGCCTCAAGATTTAAGAACCACCACCAAGCCACAAGCAATGGTCTTCACAAAAGCAGAACACCGTAACTCCAACCTAATATTGTGGATTCTCCTATTCTACTGCCAACATATGAAAACATAATTTTATCTCAACCACTCCAGTCAATTTGAAAGTGTCCAGCAAAAAATTAACAAGTGTGTGTTTGTGTGTGTACAGATAGATGGTTCTACAAATTTATCCTTCATGACTCCATTACCACCACATATGGATTGATGGATGTGCAACGTATCTCCTAACACAAAAAGATACATACCTGGCTCTACAGGAATGATAGCATCACCTTCTTTTCCTCACTGCAAGACAAAGTCCCTAAGCTGCAGCAGCTGGACACATTCTTCTTCTCAAATATTTATATATACTAATACACCTCACAAAACCAGAAGGCTGTTATCTGAGACTATTACTAATGTTTAGAAGTAGCTTTTCCCAAGCTTTAAAACTTGCCCACCACAAATTATACCACAGCAAATGTTGCTGAGAAGGCACAATTAGTAAAACAGAGCTTTGAATATGGTGGCAACAAAGCTTTGAACTCTAATTTATAGCATTAAAAAACCAGTTAGCAGTTCAAACGTGCAAGTTGAATCAAGAAAAGCATGCAAGCAGACGCAAAGAAGGACGCCATAAGCATAACAGCAAAATGAACATAACTTTCTTCTTGAAGAAGCTTTTAGATCATGGATCAAAGGCAGTCAGCAGGTAAGATGCAACCACTGCAGCAATTTTATCCAATTTAAATATGTGGACAGGGATGATCCAATAGACATTGCATACATGGTACTTTCAAAAAGCTTTTTACTATTTACTTTTCTAAAATCAACAAAGTGATCTTAACACATGGGATAAGAGACAGACCCTCTTATGGATCAGTAACTGGTTAAAGAACAAGAAGCAGAGTGTAGGCTTAAATGGACAGGATGTAGGAAGTGGGTCCCTCAAGGATCTGTATTGGAACTAGTACGGTCATACCTCGGGTTACAGCCCCTTCAGGTTGCGTGTTTTTTTTTTGGGTTATGGACAGCTGAAACCCGGAAGTACTGGAACGGGTTACTTCCGGGTTTTGGCGGTTGCGCATGCGCAGAAGCGCAACCCACATGTGCGCAGACACGGGTTGCGAATGTGCATCCCGCACAGATCACGTCTGCAACCCGAGCGTCCACTGTACTTTATATATATATATTTTAAATTATGCAGTTGGGGTGAGCAGTGAATTGACCAGGTTTTCCGATGACACCAAATTATTCAGAGCATTAAAAATAGAAAGAGACCGCAAGGAGTTCCAATCATCATCTGAGGCACTTCTTTGCTCCCTCCACAAGACACCTGGAGAGTGGCAACATGATAAAGGGCCTTTTCTGCAGTGGCTCCCTGTTTGCGGGATGATCTCCACAGGGAGGCTCCCCTGGCACCAGAGTTTGAAATTAGAAGGGTGTCAGGAGCATTTTGCACCTAAAGATTCCCCATTTGCGAGCACCTCAAAAAGTCTGGATGCCATTTTCCCCCCTGGCCGACACTCAAGGATTACTGAAATGTATGGAGCCTTGAAGTGTACGTTAAGGATAGACAATATGTTAAGGAGTTTCACAATAAAGAGTAGTGTGTTTTGAAAACTGAAGCATGGTACCAATTTTTTTATTGTAAACACCAAATTAAACATGTATTAACAATGTGTCACTTACGTGAATTGCATATTAGTTCATGCTTATCAAAATAATAAATAAAAATTGTTGTCGGCCCCACCCCCACCCCTAGACATTCTGTTTTGGTGCCCACAAGCCAGATCCCAGAAGCCATTTGGCTCCTAGCTTTTCTATCCCAGTTTCTAACATTGCCTGGTGCCTTCATTACATATCGTTAGGCACCAGGCAAAAACATTCTACTTCTCCTAGGCCACTGGAGAGGCACATTTGCAGCACATTCTTTTCCTCAAAGAATTCTGGAACTGTAGTTTACTGCCCCCTCAGAGTTGTAATTCCAGGAGTACTGCCATAAGAATACAGAAGTTGGCCAACTTTGATGATGAAGTGAGCAAAAGATGATTACTTTGCATAGTTTTTCACTGTGAAATATACTACAAAAATTGCAACACCTGAACCATTTTTTCAAGGTATCCAAAATTGTCCTAAATACAAAATTGCCCTAAATGAATTTTAAAAAGCTTTTAGAACATATAATTAAATACATCTTACCCAATTTCACTTACATGATTGCAGCTGTACACTGCCAACAAACAAACAAACGCAGAGCTGGGGAGGGGGATCAGAGAAGAGAACAGGAAAAATGGCAGGCAACAAGACTTCTAGTGCCTTTCTGCTACCCCTCCACTATGCCCATTCTGTTTCAGAATAAGACTGGGGGACAGAGGTCTACAGGGAGAAAAGTCTTCTCACCCCAAATGTATGGCCACACACCAGATTTGAAAATGGTTAAAAAAACAAGAAATAGCACAAGTGAAAGCTTCCTAAGAAACAAATTTTGAATGCCATTAACAAAAAATAAAAAGGCAAAGCAACAGCAAACTGACAGCACACAACTGTTAAAGGAAAGCTTTGAGGGTACCCCTGAAAGCATTCCTCTGCAGAGCTCTGGAGGTGTATGAATCAAGCTTATCAGTGCAAGCAAGCACCTGTTCATTCCAAAGAAGTGAAGCCAGCCAGCAAAAGGAACAAGCCCAATACCAGAAAGCATACAAAATGAAAAGGTTCCATAGAGTTATGAACCAAATTATTCACTGAGCACTGGAGAAAAGGAGCAATCTGCCTTCTTCCAAAGTTACACACATTTCTTTAGGCAGGCAGCTCTGCAAAGCTCAAAAACGTAACATGAACATAAATAGGAGTGATTTCAATTCTCACATGCATTGTTAATGCTTGAACAGGAATGCTCTTACCAAAATAGGGAAAAATTCGTATTAAACGCTTCTCTTTCAAGAACTGCATTTAAAGTAAGTACCTATGTTGTTGCAATATATCTTGTGGGTTTTTTTTCTAAAATCAACAAAAGCAAACACAGAAAAACTTCCCCTTCTATTTTAGCTCTAAAGGGGACTACCACTTTAGATAAGCTATTTAAAAAGTTAGCCAAATTGTGCAAGTTGACAACTTTGTAGATAAGTATCACATGTTAATGACCCATGTATCTAGATCAAATCAGAACATATGAAATGATGATGAAAACATGGCCCACCCCAGTGTCATACACCTCATACTGTCAGTTAGACCGGAAACTGCTCTTAAGAAACCACCTCCCAGGCCTCTTTTTCATTCATTCAAATATTACCACACTAGCTATAGCACATGGCAGCAGCTAGAGGAGTCAGACTAATATGCTCACTACTCGAGAAATGAATGGGAGGAAAGGGGAGGAGACAATAACACGCTCTTAACCATGCCTGATTCTCATCTTTCAATGGAGTAAAAAGGTGGATTTTGAATCTGTTGTTAGCTCAAGTTTTGCCTTGTTTTAAAGTGAAGATTACAAAACATGCTCTTACTTTACTGCTCACCTTTACAAATAGAGCATAGAGAACATGCATGGACAGAAATACAAATAAATTAACAGAAGGAGCCAGAAAGGAGGAACCAAACATCATGCACACCTCTATAAAACAGGATGAAAAGTGTTGCCGAGGGAAACACATGAATAAAGAGTTCTCTCACACCAACATTTCTCCGTAGATACCATGATTCTAACTTCTGACATGGTATCTCCCCAAACATGAAAGTGAGGGGAAGTTATCAAACCCTCTTATGAAACAAACTTCATGGACGAGTTCCACGCTGACCTATATTAACTGATTTGGGGGCACGCAAATCTAAGGTGGCCATCCCAAGCAGGGGTAGAGAAGGCACGGGTGGGAGGAAGTATGGTGTGGAGATTCCAAGGGACAGGGTGGGGTCGGAGGCAGTTATTTAGAAGGCAGGAAATGGAAGAGGGTCTATGACGTCAACATGCAAGCAGCGGAGTAAGACCCAGACCCAGGTCTCCCCAGCAGGCAGTCAGCCTCAGTCATGTGGTGCAATGTGAGAAGGGATCCTCTTGGGGACCAAGAGAGGCCACATGTTCCTGGCCTGATGACCCCATCAAGGGTGCCAGCCAGTGTTAGAAAGTGGGATATGAAAGCTAGGAGCTAAACGGCACCTTAAAACGAGGTTACAGGCGCAACAACTGAATGTCTGGGCACATGCTTTCTATAACAAGAATACAGTGCTGCAAATGAATGAACGGCAGCTAAAATATTATGTTCATTTTTCACCTGGTTTAGCCCACCCCCCTAATATCCTTAAGAGGGTCTCTTCTCCTGTCTTTGGAAGCGGGGAGGCAGGAAAAGCTCCTCCTTTCCTTCCATTCTGCAGTTTTAATCGAAAATCTAAGGCGCAGTGCTGTGCCCAGGGCTCAGAAACAGCACGCAAAACGCGCCCAGAACAATGGGAGTTTGGAACACCGAGTGCCAACTGGAGTGAAATATTGGGGGGGGGGGAGCCCCGCCTCACACAATCACATGATGCTGTGCACGCGCAACATTTGAATGCCCATCAGCTTTGGGGAGGGGGGGCAGACCCTCTCACATATTTTATTGATGGGGGGAGGGGGCTAGCCCTAGGAATTGGCTCCTATGAACTCTTATTGGAGCCAAGAAAGGAAGAGAGATCGAGGGGGTCTCCGTCTCCTCCTCGGCCACTTACTTGCCCAGGAGCTGGTCGTGCTCGTTGCGGATCTTGCCCAGCTCGATCTGCAGTTTGGCCCTTTCCCGGGCCGTGTCGTCCAAGGCTCTCCGGGCATCGGCGAGCTCGGCTTCGTAGAGGGACTTGAGGCCGGTGAGCTCCCGGCCGCGCACCTCCTCTCGCTCGGTGACCTGGAGGTGGAGCGCGCTGTTCTCGATCTCCAAGCTGCGCACCTTGTCGATGTAGACGGCCAGGCGGTCGTTGAGCTCGCGCAGCTCTTCCTTCTCTTGCAGGCGGCTGATGCGCGTGGGGCTCAGAGGGGTGCTCGCCGCGCTGCCCCGCGAGCGCTGCCCCGACGGCGTCGAGGCCATGGCCGCCACCGCCGCCGCCATGGCGCGCAAAAAACGCGCGGGGAAAGGGTGGGAGGAAACCCAAGGGGGGGAGAGGGGGAGGCAGGAAGAAAAAAAGAGCCCGAAAGGGGTTCAAAAGCGGAGAACCTGGCAATGCAAAGGTTAAAAAAAAGCACCACAGGAATCCTAAAAGCAAATTGCCAAACGAGCAGCGAGTCAGGGAGAGGGAAAAGTTAAGCGCGAAAGGGAGCGAACCGAGGATGCAAATGAATGAATAAAGAGAATAACCCGCGAGGGTGAGGAAGCGAGCGAGCGGGAAAAAAGGGAGAAGGGGGGGGAGGAGGAGCGAAAAGAAACGAAGGCGGCTCTGCAGGTGCTTCGCTGAGGCGAAATGGATGTTCCAAGCAAATAAAGAAAGGGAGCGAAGAGAAGCGGCTCCTGCTCAGCTGGGACTCGGCGCTGCTGCAAGGAGCGGAGCCACCCGCCCGGCCAGCCTCGCGTATCCCGCCTCCGGCCGCTCCTCCCCGGGCAGAACACACAAAACAGGCGGGCTCTGCTCCGAACCAATATGGCCGTCGCGCGCTCGAGCGCCGGCCCTCCCTCTCTTCCCTTCCTCCTCCTCCTCCTCCGCTCGCCTATGCCCCCACCGCACGTGACCCGCGCTCAACCAATAGGGCGCCGAGCGGGGCTCTTCGCCGAGGTCTAGACGCTAAATTCAAAACCCGCAACCGCCGGCGAGGCAGCGGCGCGCGCGCGCGCTCTCTCTCTCTCTCACTCACACACACAAACACACCGACCCACCCACCGCTCGCTGGGCCTGAAACCCTCAAGTGCGCATGCGGGGTTAGGCCGCCGCCGTTCCTTTCTTCTCTTCCTCGCTGTCCGCCATCTCTTGTGAAGGAGGAGGAGGCGGAGGAAAGGAGCGGGCGGGCGGGCGGACTGCTTGTTTCTCGGGCCCTAAAGCGCTTGGAAGGGGCCGCTGTGTTGTTTTTCTTTCCCCTCGCACACGCACTTGTCTTTCCCGACTTATATGTGAGGGCTGGCGGCGTGAAACTTCCCCTGGCCGCTGTTAAGCATCCTCTTCCGTTCGGTCTGTTTGAACGCGCGGACCGTTGGCTTTCGGCGGGAAAACCCTGAGGGGAACCGAAGGGGCTGCGGTGGCCGGCTCAGGGTGGCGTCCAAGATGCGGGGATGGGAAGGCCATGGTTTTGAAACAGGCGGGCTTAATCCTGGCGTTGAGGAGACAGGTGAGCGCTTCAGGCGCCCGGTCGAAAGGGTCTCGTCCCGTTTTGATGGATACAAAAATGGAATACTGAATGGTTTAGTTTTTGTAAAATATGCTGGGATTTATGATATCCAAAATGAATTTGGAAAGAGAAGAAGGGAAGTCAATGATTTTAAGGATGTTTAAATGAGTATTTTAAATGGCAAAACTGGAAATTTGTGTTTGTGTGTATGTACGTGTGTGTGTATACACACACATTTTATTATGCAGGCACCCGAGAAGAAATATTCCCGGCAACAAGGGCATTGGCAGGATTATTGTAATAACCAGCAGTTTCATAAGAGTAAATAGTTAAAGTCAATGAATAAAAGAAGTTAAGTTAGAATAGGCAGGAAATGATAAAATAAATTAAGGAACGGCACAAAGAGGTCAGGTTTCGAAAATGACAGTAAAACTATTGAAATAACTGAAAATCATAAATATAAAAAATAATGATAAAGTAACTTGGCCGCACACCTCTCCATTGACAGGGATGCCTTTTGCTGCTCTCTGTCTTGTTAGTTCTTACGTTTGTACACTTCCCTTCAGCTGAACCTCACAGGGCAGTTCACAACATAAAGAAAATGAAAACATATTTGACTGTCGCAGTGCTAACTGGCCTTTAAATCTGCGCTCCAATGTTTGAGGAGGAAAAGGGGAGTCTTCTTAAAAAAGGCCTGCCTTTTCTCCGCAAATAAATTCAGATTACATGTATTCAGATTTAGGAAATTCTGTGAAGGGAGTGCCTGTCCTACCTTGCCAGGAAAGGGGGAGCAAGTGGCCGTTTCGTTACAGCCTGCCAGGTCCTCTGCCCCCTGTAAATATGTACTCCCATTTCTGCGAAGCTACAACTTTTCCCTTGCTTCAGCGAAGAGAGGCTTCCTTTCTGCAACAGGTGGAGTTTTCTTGGCATGTTGCTTGGAGGCAATGGACACAAGACGAACTAAGATTTATAAGACAATACTGAGCAGATCTAAACGTATCCCCTGTAAGGAAAACAAAAACTCATTGGCAGGTTCTCTTCCGATAAAAAGTAGGCAATTCCGAAGAGGGGCTGGTAAGCCACTGCTAACATTATTTGTCAACGGCTGTTCTATACACGACATACAGTGGACGCTCGGGTTGCGAATGTGATCTGGGCGGGATGCATGTTTGCAACCTGCAGTGTTCAGAACCCCCAGTGGCGCATCTGTGCACGCGTGGGTTGCGATTCAGCGCTTCTGCGCATGCACAAAGCGCAATTTAGCACTTCTGCGCATGTGCGACTGCCAAAACCCGGAAGTAACCCGTTCCAGTACTTCCGGGTTTCGGCAGGTCCGAAACCCAAAAAAACGCAACCTGAAGCGTCTGTAACCCAAGGTATGACTGTATAGGAAAGCTGGACTCTGATCTCTTGTGCACCTTTCCTTGGAGACTAAAAACCAAGAGAGAGAAAAATATATTATCGTGTGATAATATGTGTGGCAGCCTCTGAAGACAGTTGGGAAGCTTCAGCAAATGCAGAATTCAGAGGCCCAGTTGCTCACCGAAGCAAGACAGTTTAAGCCATCCTGGTTTGACTGCACTGGTAGCCAATTAGTTTCTGGGTCCAATTCAAAGTGCTGGCTTTTACCTATAAAGCCTTAAATGGCTCAGGACTGCAATACCTCAAGGATCTCCTCTCATATGAATCAACCTGGACTCAGCAATCACCATCTGAGGCCCCTTTTTGTGTGCTCACTCCAGGAGAGGGCCAGAGGGTTGCAACATAAGAACAGGCCTTTTCTGCAGTGGCTCTCCATTTGCGGTATGCTCTCTTCACGGTGGCTCATCTGCCGCCTTCATTATCTTTAGCTGCCAGGCAAAAAAATTCCCCGTCTCCCAGGCCTTGACTAATTACTATTGCAAAAATTTAAGTTGTGCATTAGATTTGATGGCACATTTACATTTGCCAGCGAAAACGTTTTCGGTTTTGAAAATTTAGGTGTGCATTAGATTTGATGGCACATTGGACTCGAGTAAATACGCTAAATAATGGGATGATTAGGGAAGCAGGAGAGGATATATTATTTAATAATATCCTTCCAAACTTGCGCTAGCAAGTCCCATATTCTAGCAGAGTTCCAAACATCCCCCTTTTTAGATTACGCAGTGATCAGCTTGTTGCTGACTCATCTGAGTCCTACTACAATATTAAAGATTCATTCCTGGTAAAATCCCTTGCCTTTCCCTCTTAAAAAGAATAAGAACAAGAATCTGATTAACGTTAATATAAGAAATAATTTACTCACAGATTCATTCAGGTTCACAGACATATCCCTGAAGGCAGACTTAGGTTACTTAACAACTAGAACTATTCCATAAAGAAGTTAGTCCCAAGTGACTGTATCCAAGCATACAGCAACATCCAAAATGGAGAACACACACACTGATCATAATGTGGAGGCCGTGTGCTCCTCCATGCTAGTACAACAGACCATACCCTCTTCAAGTCACATGTCTACTGTAGAAATGTTGTACTTGACTGCAGTTTTACATCCCACAAATAATTATTTTTTTAAAACTGGAGGGGGGTGTTTTTGTTTGTTGCTATGGTATGTATTTTTATGTTTTTATATTGCAAGCAGCTCTGCATTTTTTAGGTGAAGGGTGTTATAGAAATTTAATAAATAATAATAAAGATTTTAACTGGGTTTGAATTGGCACTCTAGCAATCCATGGGGTCAGAGGGTAGAGCAGCAGTGGGGAACCTGGGGCTCTTTAGATGTTGGCCCCAGCCACCATAGTCATTGGTCAAGAGTGATGGGAGCTGCAGTCTTAACTACATCTCAGGAGGGCCAGAGATTCCCATTCCTTGGGGTAAAGCATAACCCCAGTACTGTATGTATAAAAGACTACGGTACATATACAAAAAGTTAACTGAAACAAATCACTTGTTTTATTGATGCATAATGCATCATTCAGAAACTAATGTTACAAATTTGATGGACTTTGAAGGGAAATGTAGCAACATAGAGGAAATGGCAGGCAGCTTATTTAGAAAATGATATGGATTAAGAATTACATAATTGCACTTGCAAAGTAATGCAGGGTAAACTGAATAGACATATAAGGCCATGTCTACATTATGGTCTTAAAACACAGCCAAGTTCTTTTTTCAATTCATACTGAATCTAGTTTGGGTTAAAATTAATCAAAACAATATTTCATGAGACAGGAGAGATATGGCTAATATTCTATGTACTATGCTTTTCCTTATCATAACTGAAAATTTTGAAGCTCTTTTGAAGTTCCTATTTTAGCATACAGAGTTTTCAAAAAGTATTTCTAAGTTTCCTGACATTTTGAGATAAAGTACTTCTATAAGTCAGATTGTTGTTTATTTCCTTGACATCTGATGGGAGGGCGTTCCACGGGGCGGACACCTCCACTGAGCAGGCTCTCTGCTTGGTTACCTGTAACCTCACTTCGCACAGTGAGGGAACCACCAGAAGGCCCTTGGAGCTGGACCTCAGTGTCCGGGCTGAACGATGGGGGTGGAGATGCTCCTTCAGGTATACTGGGCCGAGGCCATTTAGGGTTTTAAAGTTCAGCACCAACACTTTGAATTGTGCTCGGAAACGTACTGGGAGCCAATGTAAGTCTCCCTACATTGGAAGAGGTGGTAATCCTTTGTTCCTTATTCACACTGCTCACAATAAATCTAGCTTTCCATTTTTGACTCACCACACACTGATTTGGTAGACTTCCTCTTTCATCTGTTAGTCATCAGTGCAAACCAACTTCCCCTCACAAGCACTAATCCTAATCTCAAACTATCTAAATCTCAGTATTAGAACCTCAGGAGAACTGTGGCAACCCACATTCTGCACCTAGGAATGTTTATTTGGAAGTAGTCCCACTGAGTTCAAAAGTGCTTTTTCAAGGAAACATGGACAGAAATATATAGTCTTTAACATTTGCTAGAAATCTAAAGTACATGTGGAGTGGTAAAATCTGCAGATAAAATGAAGCCAGGAAGCATTGGTTATAGAGAAAAATCAGGAAATTATACGAGATTAACTGTATCTTCTCATGTTCTGAAGTAATAGAAATGGAATGTAATTCATAAGTAAATGTCTCTGGAGGCAAATGACTGTACAACTAGGCACTGTGAGTGCAGGAGCAAAGGATAGCAATTTAGCAAGGCCAAAGCACAGCAGGTCCAAAAGCAAGAGTCATGGTCCCTTAAAGAGAGATAATATACAAGTGTTTATATGCTAATGCTAGAAGCCTCTGAGCCAAGATGGGTGAAACAGAGTGCTTAGTCTTAGAGGACTGCATTGATATAATAGGCATAATGCAAAACTGGAGGAACAGAGAAAACCAGTGGGACATTGTTATATCTGGATACAAATGCTATAGGAAGGTCAGAGAAGAATGTACTGGAGCTGGTATCATTCTGTATGTTAAAGAGGTCATTGACCAAGTCCAACATGCTAGAAATCCCAAAAGGGACAGACTCCACAGAAACATTGCGGGTGATGAACAAGGCTCTAAGAATAATATAGTACAGGAGGTGTGCTATCGTCCCACTGATGAAAATGCTCAAGGAAATATTAGGATGAAGAATGAAATCAAGGAAGCATCCATAAGAAGAAATGTTGATTATGTTAGTAATGGGCTATTAGAACTAGTCTCGCATAGATTGGCTACCTATGTGTCCCAGTCACAACAAAAAGGAAAAATTTCTAGATACCCTAATATGACTCTGCCCTAGAACAGTTGCTCATGGAACTGATCGGAGGGGTGGTGACCCTAGAATCTGGCACGAGGTATAAGAAGTGATGTTAAGCCAGTTGGAAGCAGTAGCCATAGTGCTATTAAATGAAATATACATGTACATGGCCAATTGCCAAGAAAAGCCAGCATGGTCAAATCTGAATCAAAAGAGGAAACTACCCCCCCCACACACACACAAGCAGATGAATGTTAAAAAAGAATTTGAAAGACAAAGGCTTTTAACAGTGAGTCCGTAAGTGGCTGTGGAGGCCAGTTCTGGATCCACACGTCCTTCCACAGTGGGGACATAGGTTTCCAAGCAGGAGTTGATCATGGTGAGAGTTTACCAAGCATGCCTTCCTCTTGGCACATTTCTCCCTTTCGTCCTGCGTTTCAGCGTCTTCAAAGTCCACAACACCTTTGGTCAAGGCTGTTCTCCAACTGGAGCACTCGCAGGCCAGTGTTTCCCAGTTTCCAGTGTTTATACTACATTTTTAAAGATTTGCCTTGAGAGAGTCTTTAAACCTCTTTTGTTGCCCACCCGCATTACACTTTCCATTTTTAAGTTCTGAATTTACAAATTTACATTGGAACAACTCTGAAAGCATACTCACCATGCTCTGGTCAGCTATCCCTATCGCTTTCCAGAGTTGAGCTTCAGGAACCTAATTCAACTCATTGTCAGCAGAAGCTGGCCTCCGGTGCGCATGATGCTGATTGGTTGGTTCTGTGATGTCACAATGTCTCCCTCATCCTTCAATCCAGGAGAGGTTTGAGAAAATTAAAAATGCATTGTGCTTTTTGAAAGAAAGAAAGAAAGAAAGAAAGAAGGAAGGAAGGAAGGAAGGAAGGAAGGAAGGAAGGAAGGAAGGACAAGGCACCAATGGATGCTAAATTGAATAAAGAAGCAAGTACGTAGTCCTTTGAAAAGGTAAAGAAATAGGAGTGGCATACAAAAGATGAAGAGGTAAAAGCAGTAATGATACATTGGGCAAGACATTTTGGTTATAATATACAGTATGATGACTGGATGAAATTATGGAATGAAAGGTTAAAATTTATGGCATGTACTGCGTTGAAAGAAAATGTAATGAAAATGGTTTACAGATGGTATATAACGCCAGTTAAACTGGCTAAAATGTACAAAACATGCAACAAGTGTTGGAAATGTAAAGAAAAAGAAGGTACTTTCTATCATATGTGGTGGGAGTGTAAAAGGGTGAAAGGCTTCTGGGAAATGATATACAATGAATTGAAAAAGGTGTTGAAATATATGTTTGTTAAAAAACCAGAGGCCTTCCTATTAGGAATGGTAGGAAATGGAATTAATAAGAGAGACTGTAAACTGTTTCAATACGCAGTGACTGCTGCAAGGATACTTCTGGCCCAAAGATGGAAGCAGGAAGAAATTCCAACAGTGGAAGAATGGAGAAGGAAATTGACTGAATATGCAGAATTGGATAAATTGACTGGGAAGATTCGATATCAGAAAGACCAAAAGTTTATCGAGGACTGGGGGAGATTTACAGAATATCTGAAAAACATATGTGATGTACAGACAACGCTTGTTGGTTTTGAAGAGACTCTGTGAGATAGTAAGAAATAGTGCAAAAAAGAGAGTAAGAGGAAAAGGAGTTCTAAAAGGCAATATTATGTTTTGAAATGCGTTAACAAAATAGAAATTTTACAAAAGATTGACAGAGAAACTGAGGGAAGTAAAAAATTGAAGAATGAGTGTGAAAATATTTGTTGACTGTATAAAATTGTTTGGAAAATGAATAAAAATTATTAAAAAAGAAAAGAAAAGGTAAAGAAATAAAGTCTACCTGAACCATGTCTGAACATTGGAGTTTCTGGAAAAATATGCAGGAGGAATCCAGGCACACCTCAGGGGAGACTAAAACTGTAGCAACTGCTGCTATGTACAGTATACATTCATACCACACCCTATTGGTCCTTTATAAAAACATTAAAGAGCAGTGTCCTCTCTCTTTTTTACACAGTTCAGGCCTTTAATGATATAGGTTTTTCCTTTCCGCTTTCCCCAGTCTGTTGTAAGCAGAAGGGATGCCTTAAGAACAAGAGCTACAGAACAAGCTGCCTTGCCGCACCTGTCACAATATAAAGTTGCCATAGAGTTAGGATTACAGCATTAAATAGCTCTGTGTAGCAGCTGGCGCTGAAGTGAAAGAGTCTGTGCACACATAACCTCAGAGCCAAAATAAAATTGTGTGCGGTGCTGAGGAAGTTGAGGTCCCGTCCAGATGTTTAATGCTGGCTTCAATTCCCTTTCTTAGGCTGCTGCCTGGGCTCAATAGAGCGTACTTCTGGGTACATATATATAAAAGGTTTCACAGCTTAACAAATATTTATTTCCGGGGGGGGGGGGGGGGAACGGCATTTTTTCCTTGAGTAGAATATAAGTGGATATCCAAAAAACATGCCATTAAGCCATCTTACAAGGCAAAAAGCCCAAGGTAGGGTTGCCATATTTCGAAAAGTAAAATTCCTGACACCCGCAAAGTTGTCGGGCTTTTTTTAAGAGAATCACCAAAATTGTTGTAATTTTAAGCTGCTTTTTGCATACACGTGAGTTTTTTCGAACATTTTGCAGATTCCCCCCAACGCCATTTTTACACCCGAAAACCAGGCCCTGTCAGGAATTTTCCTCATGTATGGCAAGGCTAGAAGAAGGAGGAGGTTCCCAGGGCAACAGGGTTGTGATGTCATAAAAGTCCTTTTACACGGGGTTTGTTTTTTGCAAGGTTTTCTGGGAACAAGGAGGAGGGAGCAAGGAGAACACCGTGCGGCGATGAGAAATGTTATAAAGAAATATGAAATATGGGTGGTTCTGTGGCTATCTCAGAGCACTGGGCGTGCTTATCTGTGATGTGGATGCCCCGTGTTTGCACGTGTGACGTGAGCACGCCCTTTGGCGTGTGCGCACAGCCGCTGCAGAACTTGGGGGGGTTGCCCCACCGACCCGCCCCCATTGGCGCACCTGCTGATTATCATCAGGCCATGGCAAAACTAGCTGGATTCAATTAGCTGACTGCAATGCCTCTATTGGGAAATGGAGTGAAATCAATCATTGGGTTTGTTTCCATAGATGAGTGTCAGGTATCATGGAGGTACAGCTTCAGTCTGGCCCTTTCAGTGGTCTTAGCTAAAGGTAAAGGAGCCCTGACAGTTAAGTCCAGTCGCAAACAACTCTGGGGTTGCAGAGCTCATCTCACTTTACTGCCCGAGAGAGCTGACATTTGTCCGCAGACAGTTTTTCCAGGTCATGTGGCCAGCATGACTAAACCACTTCTGGTGCAATGGGACACTGTGACAGAAACCAGAGCGCACAGAAACGCCGTTTACCTTCCTGCTGCAGCGGTACCTATTTATCTACTTGCACTGGCATGCTTTCAAACTGCTATGTTGGCAGAAGCTCTCCCCATCGCAGGGATTCAAACCGCCAACGTTCTGATTGGGAAGCCCAAGAGGCTCAGTGGTTTAGACCACAGCACCACCCATGTTCCAAATAAACAAGCACACAATCACTGATAGGTCCACCCGCCATTGTGAGGCTCAAAGCAATGAAGAAGATGCCTCCCAGCTGTTGCCATTGGCTGTAGGTTTCTTGGGATGTCACAAAAGCACTTGGCAACTGAGTGGATATAAAGACCCTAGGCTCATTGGACTCAGCTACACAGCTGCAAATAAAACATTTTAAGTGTGTTGTAAAGGGCGTTATACAAATGAGACACTTTACGGCGATGGTGAGCTATAGCAAATTCAATATATTTTTTCAAAACGTTTTTTTTAAAGAAACATTTTCACAACGTTTTTAATACGCGTCTAGATTCCACCCCAGTCTCTCTCCCTGTCTTGCCTACTGCACATATGAACAATTGCAGACACAAATAGGCGTAGGAGGTGTTATAAGAATTTTAAGATCATATATATATTAAAAATGTTCATAACTGTATAAATAAACCACATGTCTGAAACCCCATAGAAAAGGTCCTGAACAAATTGATCTCAAATATTTCTCTGCAAGGACAAAGTGGGAAACCTCCCCATTGTCTCTTTCCTCACAAATCCTGTCCTCACAAATCCTGTCTGAAGGGCACATTCAAGATATGATCAGGGTGTGAGCCTGTGACCTAGAGTCAGGAATTGGTTATCATAACAAAAGAGTGGCCAGGATGCCATTTAATCCGATCAGCTAACCTGCCAGACAGGAAGAAACAACACACCCAGATTTGTTAAGGGAGTGGTCTGGGCTACACCCCTTCTGTGATGTATTCTGTGATTTATTTTTGGGGGTGGTCTTGTTCTCCAGGGCTGGCAATTTCAAATGTCTATATAAGGGCTTGTGCGCCTGTATGGGGGGAGCACCCTGTTGCAACAGCTTTAAGAAAGATCAGGCTTACTAGCTGCCTTGCTTCTCAATATTCTCTGGTTGGCCTCTGTTATTTTCCCCTATAGACAGAGAACCTAAAAAGAGGACTCTATATGGGCTCTTGGGTACCCCATAAGGGGAAAAGAGCAGGTTTTTTTCTTATAACAGAGGTAACTTGGTAAGGAAGAAAAAGTTTAAGAACTTTTAAAGTCATGTAAACAACACTTCCAAGCTTTAGCAAGTGGAATGACCAGTTCTCCATCTTTATTGTATAACCAGTTTTCAGCCGGAATGAGGAAAATAAAGCAATAGCCAAGATTATATCTTGTTCATTTTGAACACAATCACTTTACATAACTTGATTTCTGCAGTGTATGCATTTTATTCTTTATGCATATGCTGCTTTTTTAACCTTTCCTATGACGCGGGTGGCGCTGTGGGTTAAACCACAGAGCCTAGGACTTGCTGATCAGAAGGTCAGCGGTTCGAATCCCCGCGACGGGGTGAGCTCCTGTTGCTTGGTCCCTGCTCCTGCCAACCTAGCAGTTCAAAAGCACATCAAAGTGCAAGTAGATAAATAGGTACCGCTCTGGCGGGAAGGTAAACAGCGTTTCCGTGCGCTGCTCTGGTTCGCCAGAAGCGGCTTAGTCATGCTGGCCGCATGACCTGGAAGTTGTACGCCCGCTCCCTTGGCCAATAAAGCGAGTTGATCGCCGCAACCCCAAAGTCGGCCATGACTGGACCAAATGGTCAAGGGTCCCTTTACCTTTACCTATGCATACAGTGAAACCTTGACTTATGTATGGCTCTACTTACGTACGATTCCAGTTACAACCTTCAGTAGGTGCTTCGGCTTATGAACTTTCCTCTAGATACAAACAGAGGCCTTGCCAGCAGCCCGGAGCTCACCTGGCCGGCTGCAGAGCTGCGCTGAGGCCTCTGCTGCCAGGGAGAGGGCCCCCATCCCACCTCCAAAACTATGGAAGAGGTTCCGCCTGCAAGAGGCACAGAGGCACACTGCAGCCCCAAACCCCACCGAGAAACTAACCTGAGGAATTCCAAAGAAGAACCTGGCCTGGCAAGAAAAAAAAGTGACCCTGGCCAAAGTGAACCAGCACTTTACTGCCCCACCCGCAGCTTGTAGTCAAGTAAGCCCATCCACTCTCAGTGCATGTAAGGAAAATAAAATGTTAATTTTTTCATCTACAATACTGTCTTATTTATTTTATAGTACATTGATTATTGCCTTCATTTTATGGATCTATGGACTCGTTAGATAGTAAAATCTGTGTTAAATTGCTGTTTTAGGGGGTGTTTTTCGTCATCTAGAACAGATTGATTCACTTTTCCATTACTTTCTATGGAAAAGTGTGCCTCTACTTATGTACGTTTCTAGTTATGACCGGACTTCTGGAAGGGATTATGGTTGTAAGTAGAGGTTCCACTGGTAGAACCTCTACTTACGACTGCCTCTACTTGGGCCCGATCCAAGTTGCGACTGCGGCAAACCCGGAAGAAAATACTGGGTTTACCGCGATTCAGACGGACGGACCTCCGGAACTGATTACATCCGTAAGTAGAGATTCCACTGTAATAGGCCAGAAGGAGCCTGGGTTTTCTCTTTCTATCTCTTTTCCTTCTGGTGTGGTGTTCTGTACATAGTATGCTTAGTGTTATGTACTGAAGTTCTCACCCTGGGCCAGCAGGGGGATACTGTAGATAGTTTTCACTCAGGTCCACATATGTAAATAAGGGATTGAAAGTGATGTTCAGTGATTGGATAGTTACAGAAAGTTGTTACAGTTGCGTTGTAGTGGAGCTCTATATAAGCAGGCTGGCTGAACCCTTCAGTTCAGTTCTGTTCTGGCCTGTGAATAAACAAGAGCTGTTTGAAGAATCGCTGTGTCGTCTGATATGTTCACCCACAACTTAACACTTAGCGTTAAGGTTTAGACTTATTATAAGTTATTGTAAGTTTGAGTTAAGTCTGCTGCAAGTGGATTTCTTACAGACGGTGCCAATCCTGAATGTAGCAGATTTGTGACCATTATGTCCATTTGCCTTCAGCAGCATTAAAGCTCTGCTGGATGAAATATTAATTGCCTCTGGTCTATTTTTTTGGGAATCCTGCAATGTGTTTAAGTTGTTACTCTGCTAACTACACATTGGAATCTGCTCTGGATCAATATTGAGTAGAATTTCATGACGGGCCTGGCATAGAAGCCCTTCACATCCCCAGAGGGAGAAATGACTTTGCCACAGCCAGGAACGCCTCCCAGCCAGCCGGCATCGCAAGGTTCGAATTTGCCCTGTCAGATGCGACACTGCTGAAGTGTCAGCCCTCCATACGGAGGCTGAAAATGAATATACATCCAGTGCCTGATCAAAAGCCTACCTACATCTGTAATCAATAAAAGTTGCGGCCAATTTAAAATCCCATAACGCTGTTCTATTCGGTTTGAATCCCCGCGACGGGGTGAGCTCCCGTTGCTCAGTCACAGCTCCCGCCAACCTAGCAGTTCGAAAGCACGAAGTGCAAGTAGATAAACAGGTACCGCTCCGGCAGGAAGGTAAACGGCGTTTCCGCACACTGCTTTGGTTTTGGTGTTCCGTTGCGCCAGAACGTTGCGCCACATGACCCAGAAAAACTGTCTGCAGACAAATGCCAGCTCCCTCGGCCAGTAAAGTGAGATGAGCGCCGCAACCCCAGAGTTGTCCGCCACTGGACTAAACTGTCAGGGGTCCTTTACCTTTTTCTTTTTCTTTTTAAACTCTAAATATGCCCCTAGACATATAGATTAATATATGCAAATCCATATCCTCTTCTGTCCCTCCTTTCAGAGATGCGTTTTCTTCCTTTTCTGGCAATACAGTGGTACCTCGAGTTACATATGCTTCAGGTTACATACACTTCAGGTTACACACTCCACTAAGCCAGAAATAGTGCTTCAGGTTAATAACTTTGCTTCAGGATAAGAACAGAAATTGTGCTCTGGCGGCGCGGGGGCAGCGAGAGGCCGCATTAGCTAAAGTGGTGCTTCAGGTTAAGAACAGTTTCAGGTTAAGTACAGACCTCTGGAACGAATTAAGTACTTAACCCGAGATACCACTGTATGTAAGCGGCTGCTCTACCTGCTTAGCTTCAGCAAGGTGGTGTCCTCACATGCTTTCAGACTCTACCCTGACAACCATAAATCTGCCACCTAAACAAGTTTCAGAATATCAATTATATTTAAGTGCTGAGTTTTGCACCCCATCGGTGCTGGAGGCACAGTTGCGGAAACTTACATTATGATTTCACCTCTTAAATGTCCCTGTTGTGCTGTAGAATCAAGATCAGCAGAAGTAGCAATCATGGTGATGTGCAAATCAGGCATATATTTAAAATTAATTCCACTTGAAACGGACACTGTAACAAACACTCCAAACCCTGCTCTCCCTCAAAATATGTCTTGTCTGCTATGGACCTTTCTTCCACCCACAAAGGAAAGGAAGATCAGGGATGACCCTATTATCAGACAGAAAGAGGCACACACCTGAGACAGCAGAGACAGGGGAGTCAGCCCTGAGGGAGACTCTTTACTCGTAAGGCCCAAGCAAGTGAGCAAGCATCTTCATTCGTGTGTGTGTGTGTGTGTGTGTGTGTGTTTGTGTGTGTTTCAACTGCAAACTCATAAATAATATAATGGCGCCTGAGCAATAAAATCATTAAAACAGCATCAAATCATAAAACCCTTAAAACACAATAAATAGGGATTGTAGGACAAGATCTGCGAAGAAAAGTAAAGAACTCATTTATGTGTGCCACAACGGTAGCAAGAGCCTTGTTAACAAAAGGATGGAAGAATGAGGAAATCCCAACGAAAGAACTGTGACAAGAAAAATTGATGAGCTATGCGGAATTGGCCAAATTGACATATAAACCATGTGAAAAGGACAACTGTGACTTCAAGGAAGAATGGGAGCTTTTTACAAGCTATCTAAAAAGACAACAAAATGAACTAGACATTCACAAATTTATTAGCTGAACATATGATAGACAAAGTAAGGATATGTACAATTTTATAACATGCAGAAAACAATAAACGTAAAGAAATCAGGGAGGGGAGCTGAGGGAAGTCTGTGGTGGGGGAGAGGGAGGGTTGAGGGGGGAAGGGGGGGAAATGATGTAATTGGTTAAGAAGATTGATAAATTGTTATGTGGAAATTGGTTAATAAAAATATAACACAATAATATAACAAAATCAAAAGCAAAGGTTTAGTTTGAGTAGAAAGAAGCTAAACAAATGTAATCAGTGTTGGGTAATCAGGATGACTCCTCCAGATAATCACAGTGATCTGCCTAAGGGACAAGGTAATTTAGGTCATTTAGGATTTTATACGCTTGAACTTTGCTCAGGAATGTACCGGCAGCTGGTGCATTCTGCACTAGCTACAATTTATCAATGAAAGACAAGCGCAGCGTAGAGCACATTGCCAGCAGTTCAGACTACAAGTTAGCAACTTGCTGCCCCACTGCCTCTGTCCAGGAACAGCTGTAGCAGATGAAGCTGCAAGGAATCTTCAGCAGTACTAAGGACACCTGTGCCTCCGTTGACAGTGATGGATCTAAGAGATTTCCCAAGCTACATACCTGCTCCTTCACAAGACAGTGCAACCCTGCCAAGAACAACCAACAGGGAACAACTCACTCACACAGGGCTTACATCATACCAGAATTCAGCCTCAGTTTAGTGTCTCAGGGCCGTCTTAAGCATATCCGGCACTGTGGTGCAAAGATCCCTCCAGCGCCCCACCTCCCCACCCCATTTCCCAGAGTTGTCGACCTTTTCCCAAGCCTCTGCGGGAATTGCTCTCCTCCTGCGGAGGCTTGGGAGGCAAGCTGCACGCCTGCCAGCCATATGGTTGATGGGGCGCAGCTGGCAGGCATGCAGGAGGGAAAGGGGAGGCCGCCAGCAAAGCCGCACAGCTCCCCCACTCGCTAGGACGCCCCTGAGAGGCCGGCACCCTGGTGCAACACACCAGTAAGCCCAATGGGAAAGACGGCTCTGTATCAACCATCATGTAACCCATCACTGGGACATTGGTGGCGCTGTGGGTTAAACCACAGAGCCTAGGACTTGCCGATCAGAAGGTTGGCGGTTCGAATCCCCACGACGGGGTGAGTTCCCATTGCTCGGTCCATGCTCCTGCCAACCTAGCAGGTCGAAAGCACGTCAAAGTGCAAGTAGATAAATAGGTACCGCTCCAGTGGGAAGGTAAACGGCTGAATGTCATCTCCATGTGTGTCCTGCTGGAAACAGAAAAGGGCTTTCCCCTTGGCCTGCCTTTATATCCACTCAGTTGCCAAGTGCTTTTGTGACATCACAAGAAACCCACAGCCAATGGCAACAGCTGGGGAGGCATCATCTTCATTGCTTTGAGCTTCACAATGGCGGGGGGACCTATCAGTGATTGTGTGCTTGTTTATTCAGGACACGGGTGGAGCTGTGGTCTAAACCACTGAGTCTCTTGGGCTTGCTGATCGGAAGGTCGGCGGTTCAAATCCCTGTGATGGAGTGAGCTCCCGTTGCTCTGTCCCTGCTCCTGCCAACCTAGCAGTTAGAAAGCACGTCAAAATGCAAGTAGATAAATAGGTACCGCTCTGGCGGGAAGGTAAACGGTGTTTCCGTGCGCTGCTCTGGTTCACCAGAAGCGGCTTAGTCATACTGGCCACATGACCCGGAAAAACTGTCTGCGGACAAACGTCGGCTCCCTCAGCCAATAAAGTGAGATGAGCACCACAAGCCCAGAATCGGCCACGAGTGGACCTAATGGTCAGGGGTCCTTTTCCTTTACCTTTTAAAGGTAAAAAGGTTAAAGGGACCCCTGACCATTAGGTCCAGCCATGACCGACTCTGGGGTTGCAACACTAGACATTGGTCCAGGACTTGCCTCACCTAATTTGTACTCTATCAACATCTAACGGGCCACAGGTTAATAAGCCACCCCTGAGTCTAGAACTACATGCATGACCTGGAATGAACCCATGGAAAGCTCTGGGGTCACACGATGCCCTGTCCTCTTCCAGGAGGACTTTGTCCAGGTTAGTTTCCCTTTCACCATTTCTTGCGGACCTGGGAGAGTGGTTGATCACAAACTCCAGCTAGTAAAACGAGCCAGATGGAAATAAAGTTGGCTCGATCAGAGTAGGATTTGCAGTGAACCAAGATCTCTGGTTCTACATTTCAAAGGATGTGGGTTTCCCCACTGTGATTTTCATATTATAATTGCTCTTGTGGTTAAACTGTTTCAGGACCTACTTTTTGCTAGAAAATGTTAAGACAGCAACTGTTTAACTGCTGCTTTTCAAGACCTTTGATAAAAACTAAATTTGTTGTGGTTTCATCTTGGCTTAATGACTTTGTTTTCATTTCCGTACCTTCTGGACTTTACTCACCTCTTTATCTAGTTTAGTGAACTGGCTCAGTCCGTAAGGAAGTTGATAGGAAATGACAAAGTTACAGAGGGTTAAGGGCTGTTTTAGTGGAGGCAACCAGTGAAAACACAGTTAACTGGTTTTCTCCCTCCCTCTCGTGGTGCAGGCTGCACCCCATGATGTGACAATGGCTTACGTTGTTTTTTGTCCTATACTTCTCTCTCCTCTGTGATGCATGCATCTCAAAAAAAGCCGAGCAAATGTTTTCATACTTGTTCTCTTTGCATACATATTGATACACTGCCAGTTCAAATAAGCGCAGGAAGAGCAAATCATTAATCCATCGCTGTATGAAAGGTTACGATCTCTTCTTCTAGTGTGCCGACATCATGTGTTTGGCTGACTCTAATGCATACATAACCCATAATTCATGGTCCAGTGCTAAATTTCAAATAGCAGGAATGTAATTAATTAAAGGGTGCATATCACTGTGGTATTGTAAGGCTTCCAAGATTAAATTAATAACTAAACTCAGTGGGACTTACTTACAAGTAAAATGCAAATAACTTTGCTGAAAAGCTGTGATCGTCTGCAAATTCTCTTGGGAGTACAGTGGTACCTCGGGTTAAGTACTTAATTTGTTCCGGAGGTCCGTTCTTAACCTGAAACAGTTCTTAACCTGAAGTACCTCTTTAGCTAATGGGGCCTCCCGCTGACGCCGCGCTGCCAGAGCACGATTTCTGTTCTCATCCTGAAAAAAAGTTCTTAACCCGAGGTACTATTTCTGGGTTAGCGGAGTCTGTAACCTGAAGCGTCTGTAACCCGAGGTACCACTTTAATTCCTTGGTCTGTAATCCTACACACTTAACTAAAGAGTGTGTCTGAATGCAGTGGGAGTTCACATCCAGTGCCGGATTTACATATAAGCTAAATAAGCTCTAACTTAGGGCCCCACTCTCTTGGGGGCCCCCAAAAAAATTAAAGGAAAAAAACCTGGATGTACATTTCCAAAATATAAGATAAAACACAAATAAAATAAAACCTACATACAGCAACAGTGTTTTGTGTTGTGTAGGCTCCTATGATGCAAGTAATGGGCCCCGCCTGCTCCCTAAAATATCCCTGGTTTGCTCATTTCTATATATAGGGTGCCTACATTCTGCATGGGACGCGGGTGGTGCTGTAGGTTAAACCACAGAACCTAGGAGTTGCCAATCAGAAGGTCGGCGGTTCGAATCCCCATGACGGGGTGAGCTCCCGTTGCTCGGTCCCTGCTCCTGCCCACCTAGCAGTTCGAAAGCACCTCAAAGTGCAATTAGATAAATAGGTACCGCTTCAGCGGGAAGGTAAACGGCGTTTCCGTGTGCTGCTCTGGTTCGCCAGAAGCGGCTTAGTCATGCTGGCCGGCTCCCTCAGCCAATAAAGCGAGATAAGCGCCGCAACCCCAGAGTCGGCCACGACTGGACCTAATGGTCAGCCTTTACATTCTGCATGGACTGGTTGCATGGCAACATGAGGCATGCAGCTGCAGACTGCAGTGCAGCACAGTTGAACATATAAAGGGCCCCATTACCTTCAGTAGCTTAGGGCCACATCAAACCTAAATCCGGCCCTGTTCACATCTTATGCTATGTACCCACCATACATAGATTCTGTAGGAGGAAATAATGTGCTTTAAATGTATGGTATGTATGCAGTATCAGCAAATATGATTAGGATTGCATTGCACATCCCATTTACATCCAAGTGAAGACTAATAGAATTGACCCGAGATACGCAGAGATACCATTGACCTCCAGCTGGGGAGGCTTGCTAACCTTTCGGATAAGTCTAAACTTATTTTCTCCTCTTAGGCAAAGACCACAAGACGACCTGGATGGTTGCCAGATTCTGCGCGCAAATTTGCAGGCACAGACCACCCCCTGAAACAAATTAGTTCACTAGGAAAACAGTCGAAGTCGGCCTCTATGGTGGCAGGGCCAATTTGTATGGTAGCCCAAATTTTAGGTCTTTATGTGTATATGCGTTTATCTTAGATTTTAATCTTTAAGATGGTGTTGTACAATGTTTCAAATGTATATTTTATTCTTGTGAAAGCTGTCCCAGTTGTGCTTTTCGAGCTGGTCTTTGACCGTAATAAAATTATGAAAATGAAATAATAGAATTAACCGGTAAGACAATATTGTGACATAAAGTTCTGCGGATTAAAACCGACTTTGTCCAACAGATTAAGTAATCTAGAAAGTTGATGGGTAAGATTTAAGAAGATTGTTAAGATGAACAAATATTTTATGCCGTGTGACTTAAAAGGCAAAGAAATAACAGTAGGTGCATCAATGTTTGCTGTTGTTGTTGCAATGCACAAATAAATTCAAAATCCAACCATATGCATTGCGGAATTCTGTACTGTGGATAAAATATTCAGTAATGCAAATTGGTATAGGTTTAGAATCATGGGTTGCAACAGTACATTTAGAATTTGATTGATAAATGAGGCCGATCATGGAGTTTCTGCTGATGCTATTTACCATATCTATGGAATGCTAAACACTTTTTTTTAATAGTATATTTGCAGATGGCGGTTTTTCTTCTGCTGCATTTTTGGCCGTGTGTTGGAGTCTCACAAGACTATAATCTTTTAATTAAAAATGGATATGTTAATCCCTAGTATATTCTTAATTTAATATTATAGGCCATTCCTTCCAGGCTTCACATTAGTGCTACGTTTCAGCATCCAGTGAAACAGTTTTTCTAAAACCTATTTGCTTTTTAATTAAGAAGTACATAAAGTTAATGCAACCATTTAATAGCTACTGCAGAAGCAATCAGCCACTTCTAACAAAGCAAATGCACCTGCTATTAATAACCTTCTGCGTGTTTGGTTCCACTGCAGCTGGTAATATTCATTTAAAAAGTTAAGGGCACTTTCTGGTTGGATAGCTTCCTGGAGCAGAAATTCAGTACGGGGTTGTTTTTCCTTCTTTTGTGATACTAAAAAATATTAGCAAACAGGCCAATATGAATGTTAGTCTCAACTAGTTTTAATTCTTTGCTGAAACTATCCATGGTTTATGCCTGTTTTTTAGACTTTCGGAGAATGATTAATTGTTGTTGTTTTTAACTTGGCTTCATTGTTGACAATAGGCAATGGAAACGGTTATGTTTTCTCGCCTTTTATGGGAATATATCATTGCCCGTTACAGCGACGTTTTTGCAAATGAAGAAAGGCTTTGAGCACTTTGAAAAAAATGACTTTTTGAAGGGAGGCACATCACTTTATCTAGCATAGTGCATGCTAACTTTTAGGGATGCGGGTGGCGCTGTGGTCTAAACCACTGAGCCTCTTGGGCTTGCCGATCAGAAGGTCAGTGGCTCGAATCCCCATGATGGGGTGAGCTCCTGTTGCTCTGTCCCAGCTCCTGCCAACCTAGCAGTTCGAAAGCACACCAGTGCAAGTAGATAAATAGGTACCGCTGTGGCAGGAAGGTAAACAGCATTTCTGTGCATTCTGGCTTCTGTCACGGTGTTCCGTTGCACCAGAAGCGGTTTAGTCATGCTGGCCTGAAAGCGAGATGAGCGCTGCAACCCCATAGTTGCCTTTGACTGGACTTAACCGTCCAGGGGTCTGCTTCCGCACCGCCGGAGCCCAATTTCTGTTCTCATCCTGAAGCAAAGTTCTTAACCTGAAGCACTATTTCTGGGTTAGCGGAATATGTAACCTGAAGCGTATGTAACCCGAGGTACCACTGTATATGAAAACATAATAAAACATTTTAAAACTTCCCTAAAGATTGTCTAGTTACTTATCTCCTTGGCTCACAGTTCACATAAGTCCATACCCTCCAACATTTCTTCAATGAAAATAAGGACATCCTACGGAAAAGCGGGACATTCTAGGATCGAATCAGAAACCAGGACGGCTTCTGTAACTCCAGGACTGTCCCTGGAAAATAGGATCACTTGGATGGTCTGCAATATTAGACAAGCTTGGCAGTTTCAAGGATCTTCACTTTCAGTGTTTTTTGCTCAGCCAGCAAGGCCAATGGTCAGGGAATTATGGGAGTTGTAGTCCAGCAACATCAGGAGGGCAGCATGTTGCCTACACTTTCTCTAGGAGGGCATCCGAATATTTTCCAGCACAAACTGTCAATCTCCCTATGCAAATTACCCAAATTTGTATGGAAAACCTTTTCAGATTTTTCCAGTTAACATCTGGGATTTGGGTTTAATTGTACATTTTCTGTTACTATTGATTTAACTTGTGCCATGTACAGCTCTGGGATAGACAACAGAAATGTCAGTGCAGAAGTGCCTTAAATAGACAAATAAATGATTGGACTACCCATGTAAGACTTACCCATGTAAGGTGTCAAAATTAATATATGTAATGCTTTGATGAAGAGAACAAATGGTGAATGTAATGTATTTCCAATCTTAAAAGGAATAGAGTTTATTGCATGCCCCAAATGTTGATGTTCCAAACTTTCCTTTTTTCACACTCTGAATTTTCCATTTTTAGTTCTTGCTTCATAAAAGATTGATAGTTAAGAATTTCCATTTTTTTGAGGCGTATGTCTAATGAAGCAATTTGAAACTGCTTAGTTATGCTTTTAGAGTCATATTTGAAAGATTAACTCCTCGCATTTGATTAGATGGCCGTTGAGAATTAACTTAAAAAATGCAAAATAGCATCCCTCCTCCCATTGCTCTTGTAAATAAGTCAAACCATTTAAAACAAAATGGAAATTGTCTCTCTCAGATCCTGCAGCAAGGAGGAAATTTGTACTAATTGTTAAGTTGTGGGTGAACATATCAGACGACACAGCGATTCTTCCAAAGCAGCTCTTTATTTGTAAGCTGGAACAGAACTGAACTGAAGGGCTCAGTCAGCCTGCTTATATAGAGCTCCAGTATCATACAGTTGTTACTGTAACAACTGTCTAAAACTATCCAATCACTGAAGGTCACTTTTGATCCTTCATTTGCATACAAACTATCCAGTCACTGAACGTCACTTTCGATCCTTCATTTGCATAACTATCTACAGTATCCCCCTGCTGGCCCAGGGTGAGAACTTCAGTACATAACACTAATCTTTTGCACTATTAAGCTGCGGTATTATACACACTTACTTGGGAACGAAATTCACAAGTGGGATCTGTAGCAAAATGTGAACCAGGAAGTGACTATCCAGACAAATAGATTGTTTTTCTAGATTTAGATCCAAAAAATCTGTCTCCTTCTCTTTTTCCAGTCATTCCATTTCCTTCCCCCTCCCGTCCATTAGACAGTTTTGCCCCTTCCAGATCATATTCACACAGCACTATGATACCGCTTTAAACAATCATGGCTTCCCCCCCCCCAAAGAATTTGGGAAGCTGCAGTTTGTTAAGGAAGCTGACAATTATTATTATTATTATTATTATTATTATTTTCCAAAATATAAACATACAACAAAAACAATCCCCAATCTAATTATCAAGATTACTCTGGATCTCCTGAATTCCCCCCATCCCTTCCATGGATCCTGTTGTTGTTGTGTTGTTGTTGTTGTTTAGTTGTTTAGTCGTGTCCGACTCTTCGTGACCCCACGGACCAGAGCACTCCAGGCACTCCTATCTTCTACTACCTCCCGCAGTTTGGTCAGACTCATGTTTGTAGCTTCAAGAACACTGTCCAACCATCTCGTTCTCTGTCGTCCCCTTCTCCTTGTGCCCTCCATCTTTCCCAGCATCAGGATCTTTTCCAGGGAGTCTTCTCTTCTCATAAGGTGGCCAAAGTATTGGAGCCTCAGCTTCACGATCTGTCCTTCCAGTGAGCACTCAGGGCTGATTTCCTTCAGAATGGATAGGTTTGATTTTCTTGCAGTCCATGGGAATCTCAAGAGTCTCCTCCAGCACCATAATTCAAAACCATGGATCCTATTTATTCTATTTTCAACTGCATATCAATACTTCTCCAATTTTTCATCTTCCTAGGTTATCTATACTTTCTGTTACATTACAAGTGTGTTTAAAATCCTGCCAATGTTTTGACCTGTTTACAATGATTTTGTATACACATTATAAACATTTCCCATTCTTTTTAAAATTTCTTGTCTTCTTGATTCCTGAGCTTCCCAGTTAGTTTTGCCATTTCGGCATAGTCCATCAACTTGATTTGCCATAGGAAGCTGATAATTGATGCTACAATTCTCGGTGTGTTTAACGACCAATCCTTCACAGTGAACTCTGGAAATTGTAGGGAGCTAGGGACCCCCTAACAGCTCTCAGCACCCTTAGCAAACAATGACTCCCAGAATTCTTTGGGGAAAACCATGATGGTTTAAAACTGGTGTTTTAAATGTATAGTGTCGTCGTGACCTCAGTCTCCAACATCGCATGCTAGTTGAGCTCTTATGGGGATGATTTGTCCCCCCACCCACCCCACGCCGAATGGGGTGGCATCTACAAGCCTCAGGGTTATCTCAGGTTTGCTGATACCTCTCTCATGTGCATGAATGATGCCTTTTCGGCTATGAGCACAGGTGAATTTGAATTGGCACTAGAAGAAAACAAAATAATGATGGTTGAACTCAGGGAAGCTTATTAGTAAGAACACATACATAGGATTGCACTATCATCAGGTGTTATATACTGAGCTTGGATCCTAGAACAATAGGCAGGTAGGATCCTAGAAGGCAGCAGCCTGATTGGTCTGCAGGCGCCACCCAATCCGGCTCCAGGAGGAAGTGAATCAGCAACCTGATTGGCCTACAGGAGCAGCCCAATCAGGCTCCAGGAGGGGAGTTGAATCAGCCAATTACGTGTGATCTATTGTGTAAATAATGTACAGGGGTACCTCGGGTTACAGACGCTTCAGGTTACAGACTCCATTAACCCAGAAATAGTACCTTGGGTTAAGAACTTTGCTTCAGAACAGAAATCGCGCGGCGGCGGGAGTGGGAGGCCCCATTGGCTAAAGTGGTACCTCAAGTTAAGAACAGTTTCAGGGTAAGAACGGACCTCCGGAATGAATTAAGTACTTAACCAGAGGTACCACTGTATATATAGCGAGAGGTTTTGGAGTAAAACTCACTCACTGTTTACCATGAGCTGAAATAAAGAGCATGAAATCAACACTCAACTTTGAGTATATTTCATCATTAGTAATAGATCCTCTCTCTACCTTTTGCCTTTTCTTTTTTTTTTTTTAATATAAATTTTATTTTATAACACCATACAAACAAAAAAGACAAACACAACACATTCACACCAAAAAAAACATATACATACATATACATACTCCTGACATAAGACAACAACAAATTAACTACATTAACTACTTAACACACAACACTGACTGACTTCCCTTCAGGGATACCTTTTGCCTTTTCTAAAGTGACAACAATGGGGAAAAGCGCACAATGAAGTTATTCGCTGTCATGTTATTTGCACTAGCACATATTCAGGGCTGGTTGTGAGTTAGTACAATTACCTGGATTGTTATTGGAAGTCTCTCCAAACCCTTTCGACACCTGTGATTGTAGTCCTATCATATTGTTAAGTTTTGCGTGCAAGACCCTTCTAACCCCTGGATCCAGAAAGTTGTTAAAATGTAAGCCAGGCTAGCTTCCTGTGTTGAAGAGATCGCCTGGGTGATGGGCCATTAGGAGAACACAGGAAAGGGGGTTCTGTGTGTGTTGGCAAATGGGTGGGGCCAACGTTGCAGCTATGGGAAAAATAAGACCCTCTTGGGGTGTTAATGCTGTGAACTCCTTCCTCAAAGGCTCAGGTTGTATATATGTGTAAATAAACCATATATCATAAAGACACTTTAGTCTCTGCTGTGCCCCATCCCCAATAGGAAACACGAATCCTGGATACCCCTGGAATCTCACACCACTGAGAGATTGGAGTGGTGTTCAACAAAATGGCTCCCAGTATCTTTCTGAGTTCAATCCAAATTGTTGGTGCTGACCTTTAAAGCCTTAAACAGCCTTGGCCCAGTATACCTAAAGGGGCGTCTCCAACCCCATCATTCAGCCTGGACACTGAAGTCCAGCTCTGAGGGCCTTCTGGCAGTCCCCTCCCTGCGAGAAGTGAAGTTATAGGAACCAGGCAGAGGACCTACTTGGTTTGTCATGCCCACCCTGTGGAACACCCTCCCACCAGATGTCAAAGAGATAAAGAACGACACAACTTTTAGAAGACGTCTATATATGTTGGAAGCTGCCCAGAGTGGCTGGGGCAACCCAACCAGATGGGCGGGATATAAATAATAAAATAATACTATCATTGTTGAGTAGGAAATCCCTATTCTCATCTAAGAAATGTTGGAGGGTATATTATTATGTGTGTTCCAAGTTCTATTTTCCATTGCACAGATTTTCTGAAAGCATAGGCGTACTTTGCCACAGCCTAAAGGAACCACTAAAACCCATATCAATATGAGACACTCTCCCCCCCCCCCCGTATGCCCCTCCAAAATCTGCTTCAACTGTCTACTTACAGAGCTTTGATCTTGCTCGTATGCAGAGCAAATCTGCAGATGTTTCTGCTAGGTTTTCCTGACACTAGGTCAACTAATGAAATACAGCTTTAATATTTCTGCTTCCTCCCCTGCCAGAGTTATATTTCTATTTTCATTGAATTATTAAAGGATTACCACTCAGGCTTTGCTGGTGCCAAAAGAATGCTTGGAATCCTAAAAATTAGCTTTTTGTGGCTAAGCAGATAAGAATATAATTTAATGTGGCATCTCATGAAGGGTTAGATTCCATCGTGGTATGTTTGGCAGCTGTATTTTCGGAGACATTGACCTGCCTGCAACTAATGAAAGACTTTGGTCTTTGTAATGTTTATTAACACAAAGGTATTTGCTGCGTTGGAGTACATACTGGGAGTATTATGCATGTCTTGAACAAGTTAATACAAGTCTTCACAACTACCTTGATGTTGAATTGATTCTCTGTTGAGTTTGCTTTGCAAGGATGTCATCTGCTTAGATATGGAATGACAGCTTCATTGTGTTCTTGTATTCCTGTGCCAAAAGAAGAGATTTATGAGCTTGCATAAGATAAGAGAATGCCTTGCTAAGTAGGGTTTTATTCCTCAACAAATGCAGTTAATAGAATGTTTCTTGGGGTTTTCCAGTGTTTGTGGTACACCATTCAAGGAAAGCTGAGCAATGAAGAGTCTAGACACACCTCTGTGGGGAAGACGTTCCTCAGTTTATCACTTTGTTACACCCACCATTGGAGTATGAAAATGATGGCTGCCAAAATTCAAATTGGCTGCGATGCTATAAAAAATATTTAAACTATTCCTGGCGCAGGCCACAATATGTAGTTGTAGGAGGAACTCAAGCACAGTGGATAAGGAAATTGGGTACAAAAGGTCACAGGTTCACTCTCTAGCCCTCTAGGTACGGTTGTCTGAAACTCAGCGCAACCAGGGATGGAGAACCTATGGCCCTTGCTGGTCCCTTAACGCACATCAGCCTCAACCAGCATAGCCAGGGATTGTGGGAGTCACAGTCCTGCAACAGAATGAAGGGCCTCAGGTGTTCCCTACCTCAGCATAGATAATACTGAGATGATGATGATGATGATGATGATGATGATGATAATAATAATAAAATTTCATTTATATCCCACCCTCCCCTAACAACAGTAAAATAATACAGCATTCTAAAATAATTCATTATAAAATCAGTTCAAATCAAATTGATGGCAACCATTGGGCTAGAGTTCTGTGAAGAATTACCAAAGGAGGGGGTCAGGCTGTGCCTTGGCCAAAGGCCTGGTGGAACAGCTTTGTCTTGCAGGCCCTGCGGAAAGTCCCGCAGGGCCCTAGTCTCTTGTGACAGAGCGTTCCACCAGATTGGAGCCACAGCTGAAAAAGCCCTGGCTCTGGTTGAGGCCAGCCTAACCTCTCTGTGGCCCAGGACCTCCAAGATGTTTTTGTTTGAAGACCGTAAGGTCCTCTGTGGGACATACCAGGAGAGGCTAGAGATAGATGGACAAATGTTCTGACTTTGTGGAGGCAGTGTTGACTTTTTGCAGTATGGTAGCGCTGCAGAGAGCTTGCTGGGGAGACCATGCATTAAAAAGGGACTCAAAAATAACTTAAACAAGGTTTTAATAAGAAAAACAAAAACTCCTTTTACACTAAATACATTAACAAACAAACATGACCCAACCACCAACCCATCCCCCAGGGGAATGGGAGAGCTAGGTGCTGCTCCTTATATACTACACCCAATTACCAACACAGCTTAATCAATACAACTCAGCAGCACCTGCTATGTTTCACAGCTGTAAAGCTGGGTCTCGTTATTTTGCTCTGGCCCTTTCTCTGGCCCCTTAAAGACATACACATCGAGTGGAACAATGATGAACCTTTACATATTAAACCATTCAACATTTCCCCTGCGGTTCATCATTGTGGAACAAAAACATAAAGCATACTTTGTACATGTTTTTCATGTATACCTTTTGGAAGTGCTTTAGTAAAAATGTCTGCAATTTGATTGTCACCTGGAACATATTTAAATACAACCATTTCATCAGCAATTAGTTTCTTTACAAACTGTAAACGTAATCTTAAGACTTTAGTGCGCTGCGTATTGGTTTGTGAACATAGGATAGCGAGTCCACTCTGGGAATCAAGGTAAACTTTTACTGGTAGTGTTACTTGCATCTGTAGGTCTGCGAATACTTGCAGATACCATTCCACATCACGAGTGGCCTGAACGCATGCACATAACTCACTCTCTGTTGTGGAGAGGCAAATAATGTTTTGTGTCTGGGACTTCCATTCAAATGGACAACCATTATAACAAAACACCATACCAGACACACCCCTGCAATTATTTTGTTCCACTGCATGAGATGCATCACAGAAAATTTCAAAACCTTTGTCAATACATGTTGTAAACTGCAACCTATAATGTTTGGTATGTTTAAGGTACATTACCACTCTCTTAAGAGCAGAGAAACATTGTGTAGTGGGCTTTTCCACAAATTTTGCCAGAAAGTGAAAGGCATAAGTTATATCTGGTCTTGAGATTCTTTGAATGAAATTTAGCTTGCCTATAGCAGAACGATACAAAGTTTTGTTAGGAAATGGCTTATCTTCACCTGTAAAAGTGAAACCACACACCATGGGCGTTTCCTTCCCATTTGCATTTTCTAAACATAGCATTTCAACAAGATCGTCAATTTTTGCAGTTTGATGAACCAGAAAAGATCCATTTTTGCCTTTCTCAATTTGCATGGATAAGTAATTTTTAGCTATGCCTAATTCCACCACATCAAATTTCTTCTGTAACTGTGTTACTACCTGTTCATATTCCTGTTTAGTTTTTGTAGAAATAACACGTCATCTACATAGACACATATTTTTGCTACAGAGTTTGCCCTTTCCTTTATAAACACACAATTGTCTGCCTTTCCCTGTGAAAAACCAATATCCAGCAATTCTTTTGCTAAAGTTTGGTGCCAGTTCCTTCCACTTTGGTGCAGACCATAAAGGGATTTATTTAATTTGCATACCAAACCTTCAGCGGCATCTATGCCTTCAGGGACACGCATAAAAATTTGTTCTTTTAAATCTGCAAACAAATATGCAGTTTTTATATCTAGGTGATAAACAGAATGTCCACGCTGTGATGCATCTTTTAACAAAAGCTTAACTGTTTCATATTTTACACTTGGTGAATAACACAAATCATAATCTTCGCCTGGAATTTGTTGAAAACCCTAGCAACTAATCTTGCCTTGTACCTTACAACTTCATTTTTGTCATTCATTTTAACTCTATAAACCCATTTTGAATCAATAAGTCTCATATCTGGGGTTTGTGGTACAAGAGACCAAGTGTTATGCTCTTTTAAAGAAGCTATTTCAGAGTTCATAGCTTTATACCAATTTACAGCTTGGTGCTTAGGTAAATTCTGAACATCATTGTAGCTTTTGGCTCAAAACTGCCTTATTGGCATACACAGTATTAAAATGTTCATCTGCAAAACGTTGTGGCTTCTGTCTCTTTCTATCTGAACGTCTCAGTCCGGAAGGAGAGTCAGACTCCTCAGACTTAATGGGACTATGTAAACTACTAGTTTCAGGTTGTAAATCATCATTGTCAGACTGAAGAGATGCCTGTTGGCTAAGCTCACGGTCAGAAAACTCAAGAGAATCTAACCTCCCCTCGGGTGCCTGTGACTTTAAATCATCAAAGAAATTATCAGATTCAACAGGCTTTTTTTTTTTTTTTTATAAAATATTTATTGGTTTTACAAGAAAAATTCCCAAAAAAAATACAAAATTACAGAAGTTCAACAAACAAAAAACAACAATAACCATAACAAAAAACAAACAGAAATAACAGTATCCATAACAAAAAAGGAAAAAGGAAAAAAAGAAAAAGAGACAAAGAAATTCAAAGAATATTATACTTTCATTTATCCTTCTTATCTTTACCTGGTTCTTTGACTTCCCCGCACCTCCACGCTTGTATTTCCATTTAAGAACTCCTTTCAGCAAATCCTTACCCTCCTTTCATTATCTTAACTCAGAAAACTTAATCTATTTATATATAAATATTTTTACAACCTTATCAGTCAAATATTCCATACTCTTAATCCCAAGGCTTTTGCCAATACCAGTTATTTTCAATCAGACTTCAATTTAACATTCATTAATTTTATAGTATTTCTGTAGATAGACTTTAAATTTCTTCCAATCTTCTTCCACCGACTCTTCTCCCTGGTCACGGATTCTGCCAGTCATCTCCGCCAGTTCCATATATTCGATTACCTTCATCTGCCATTCTTCCAGAGTGGGTAAGTCTTGTGTCTTCCAATACTTTGCGATGAGTATTCTTGCTGCTGCTGTTGCATACATAAAGAAAGTTCTATCTTTCTTTGGCACCAATTGGCCGACAATGCCCAAGAGGAAGGCCTCTGGTTTCTTTAAGAAGGTATACTTAAATACCTTTTTCAACTCATTATATATCATTTCCCAGAAGGCCTTAATCTTTGGGCACGTCCACCAAAGGTGAAAGAATGTACCTTCAGTTTCCTTACATTTCCAACATTTATTATCGGGCAAATGGTAGATTTTTGCAAGCTTAACTGGGGTCATGTACCACCTGTACACCATTTTCATAATATTCTCTTTTAAAGCATTACATGCTGTGAACTTCGTACCTGTGGTCCATAACCATCAGATTCAACAGGCTTTTTGTCTTCTTCCATTAATTCAGAAGCACCATTTCCTGCTGCTGCTGCTGCTGCTTCTTCTACCTCTTCTTCCTCAGTATTATCTATACCGTTAGTATCTTGGAAAACAGCAACGCCATTCCAATTTACAGTTTGTATCATGCTTCTGGTAATATGAAATTTGCCAGTTGCTGGTATGTAAATTCTGTACGCCCCTGCTGGTAGCCCATTAATTTTCCCTGGACACTACGTTCACCCAATTTCTGCTTAGCGGGATAATGCATTATTACATCTGAACCCCAAATGCGTAGGTATTTCAGATTAGGGCGTTTTTAAACAGCTTCTCATAGGGGGTGACATCTAAACCAGAATGATAACTGCGATTTCTAACATAACAAAAGGCATTGAGCGCTTCAGCCCAAAAGTCTTTGGGCAGATTAGCATCATGCAGATAAGTTTTAACCCCTGCCTGCAGGTCACGCTGCACAACTTCAACAAGCCCATTTTGCCAGGGACTTCGGGGGCAAGATAACTCATGAGTAGTCCCCTGCGCTTCCAGGAATTTCTCAAAATCCTCAGAAACAAATTCCCGCCCGGTCAGAAAAAGGTTCTTAATAGGTATGTTAAAATGTGTGTTTACCCAGTTGAAAAAAACATTGTACTTCTCAAATGCTTGGGACTTCTCAGCTATTGCATAAGTCCAACAATATCTACTATACTGGTCTATCAGGGTAAGCCAGTACTTAGAACCTCCTAAGGATGGTGGGAGTGGCCCAACTAAATCACAATGTACACGCTCAAATGGCTCAGTTACTTTCCTATCTGAGCACCTACCCTTGCGTGCAACCTTAATCTTATTCTTGCAACAGGATAGACATTGCATAAAGAATTTACATGGTTTTAAGTTGAGGCCATTAACAATATTCTTGGTCTTAATTACATCAGCAAAATTCAGATGTCCCAGAATTCTGTGCGCCTCATGGACACACCCAGAATGTGGCCTTACATTCCTCAACCCCTGGCTTGACTGTGCTGCTCTGCAATTTATAGGCGATTGGGAGTAGGTGTGAAAATACAGTCTATATAAACCATCAGATTCCCGGGCATACAATAGACGTTTGTTCCCCTCAAAAAACTCACACATTGACTTTAAGAAACGCACAGTTATGCCTTGACGAGCAAAACACCTTACTGACAATAAATTGTCCACTGACGGGCAGTAAATGCAGTTCGCTATAGTAATGTTTAAAGAGTCAAGTTTAACAGTACCCCTGCCAAGCGACTGCAAGACTTGTGAATTGGCTAAATGTACATTACCAATTTCCTCTTCGAAAGAAATAAACAAGCTTCGATCGTTGCAAACGTGCTGAGATGCTCCTGAGTCCACAATAAAAGAATTCCACTTGGCACCTTTAATTCTTTTACGATCTCTTGTGCTAGCGTGAAAAGCTCGCGGCTCGTTTCTGTCTTTACAGTACGATGCCGGCTGCTGAGCTGACGACCGTGACTGACGAACAGAAACAGACTTGGGAGTACTTTCCTTTCTTTTGGATCTGCAGTCCTTTGCAAAATGTCCTTGCTTATTGCAGAACCAACAACGCTTTGCAGCTTTAAATGCAGTTGTATCACCACAAGTTTGCATATGGCGTTCCTCATTCTTTCTGGAAATAGGAGTGCTTATGGCACAAGCCTCCCTTCTGTCCAACTCGCCCATTAATCTTGCCGTTACCCCTTCCACAGTTAATTGTGCTGGTGGAACGGCAGATATCTGGCTAGCTATACCATCAAAGTCCTCATTAAGGGAACAAAGGATGATGAAAACATACTGAATATCAGGTATCTCCATGTCCCTTCGAATTAATTCGCCGCGTATTGCCTCCAGACGTCTCAAGTGTGCTGCCAAATCACCACCAGGCTGCAACTTCGTCTGGTACAACTGCTTGAAAACGTCAATGCAGACGCTGACTCTTTTCTAACATGCACTGCTGCAAGACTGTCCCACATTTCTTTGGCAGTTTTCTTATTTCTTATATAGACTACTTGCTGGTCGCTGACTGCCAAATTAATTATCGCCCTGGCTTTCGCATCTCCTTTCGACCACGCATTAGTCACAGGGTCAGGAGGGTCATCAGTTACATAGGTCCATACTTCTCTAGAGGTCAAAAGCGCCTCCACCCGAAAAGACCATAAACTATAGTTCTCATCTGTCAGCTGTGGGAAGACCAGAGCCTTCTCAGCTTCAGGAACCCAGTCAACCATTCTGGAACTCTTCCAGACCCACAGAACTACGCTAACAGGAGAAGGAGTTTTCAAACCTTTCTCAGAGTCCAAAAATATGCAGTCATCCACTCAGCAGCTGGGCCCATAACCAAAGATGTTGACTTTTTGCAGTATGGTAGCGCTGCAGAGAGCTTGCTGGGGAGACCATGCATTAAAAAGGGACTCAAAAATAACTTAAACAAGGTTTTAATAAGAAAAACAAAAACTCCTTTTACACTAAATACATTAACAAACAAACATGACCCAACCACCAACCCATCCCCCAGGGGAATGGGAGAGCTAGGTGCTGCTCCTTATATACTACACCCAATTACCAACACAGCTTAATCAATACAACTCAGCAGCACCTGCTATGTTTCACAGCTGTAAAGCTGGGTCTCGTTATTTTGCTCTGGCCCTTTCTCTGGCCCCTTAAAGACATACACATCGAGTGGAACAATGATGAACCTTTACATATTAAACCATTCAACAGGCAGCCCCCATGACAGTGGAAGATCATTGGCGAAGGAAAAACAAGGGTGATTGAGGGTAATTATCCTTGCAAATTCCCCCCAGGGACAGGGGGAATGGGCTTCACTCACAGTTCATCTCAGGAATCTGACTCTTGCTCCGGCATAGAATGTGGAAGGCAGGGAAGTGCTGGGTGCAAAAACACTTCGTCTGGTGAAAACCCTCCAATGGCGCCATTAAGAAGCAGAGATTCACCTGTTTATGCTGCTTACCCTCCCCGTCTAACAGCTGACATGTGGGGTAGCACAGCAGCAGCAGCAGCTGCTTTCCCACGTGTCCTCCAGCCTCCTGCCAGCCCTAGAGTTCCAGTTCTGGTTGTGGATATTTTTGGATACAGTGTTTTTGGTATGGATTGAGGAGAGAGCATTGAAAGGGTATTTAGAACGTGCTCCTCACTTTACGCGATTTTACTTACGGTGGCCCAGAACGTGACCCCTGCGTATGGGGGGAGTCGCCTGTACAGTGGTACCTCGGGTTACAGACGCTTCAGGTTACAGACTCCGCTAACCCAGAAATAGTACCTCGGGTTAAGAACTTTGCTTCAGGATGAGAACAGAAATCGTGCTCCAGCGGTGCGGCGGCAGCAGAAGGCCCCATTAGCTAAAGTGGTGCTTCAGGTTAAGAACATTCAGGTTAAGAACAGACCTCCACAACAAATTAAGTTCTTAACCTGAGGTACCACTGTACTGTTAATGTAGTCTCAGATGCCATGGGCCTGTGACCCCAAAGCTACAGGCCAGCATAATTAAGATGGCTTGCTAGTTGTCTGGTCTCTGGAATCAACAGACTGTTTATAGCAGGATGAATCCACCCATTTCTAGGAAGTGTGAGCAAGCTGTGCTTCCTGTGGTTGTGCATCTGGCCTAGTGAATGAGGGGACAACTCATTTACTTCATCAGGAGGAGCTGCACGAGCTGTCCCTGCATTGGGAGCCCACACATGTCCCCACAGTGAAGAAGTGAATGCTCATACTTCCTACATTACCCAATAATTGCAAAGAGAAACACAGTTCCTCTTTGGGCGTTTTATTTGATCATTCTTCCTTGGAGAACATATGCTTCTATTTCCTTTATAAGTGCATTTTTCTTTCTGTGAAACTGGCACAGTTAACAGCGCAAATGTTCTCTGCATGGAAAGAAATAAAGAGATTTCACAAAACATGAGAACAATAGTGACGCATATCGAGAAATGTGCCATTCGTATGAAGCACTTTGTTTTGATGTTTTTGCTTATTATAAATGCATTTCTCAATAAAATTTTAAATGTCTGTCTAGGAGAGACATAGAAGGAAGATGGCTAGCATGCTGTGCTGTGTCCACAATGCACACTGAATGTGTTTCTAATAGGTAAGCAATGAAAATAAGAGAAAACTTCAAAAGATGGCATCGTATTACATTCCACCCTATATTTGTTCCATGCTGTGCTTTTTCCTGTTCTGCTGTAGTTCATCTTCTGCCCAAAACTGCATTATGAGTCTTGTTATCTGTTGTGGTGAAATTATATAACTTACGGGGGGAGCAGGTGGCGCTGTGGTCTAAAGAACTGAGCCTCTTGGGCTTGCCCATCAGAAGGCCAGCGGTTCAAATCCCCACAACAGGGTGAGCTCCCATCGCTCTGTCCCAGCTTCTGCCAAGCTAGCAGTTTGAAAGCACCCCAGTGCAAGTAGATAAACAGGTACTGCTGCAGCGGGAATGTAAACGGTGTTTCCGTGCGCTCTGGTTTCCCTCACAGTGTTCCATTGCACCAGAAGCAGTTTAGTCATGCCGGGCACATGTCCTGGAAAGCTGTGGACAAACACCGGCTCTCTCAGCCTGAAAGCGAGATGAGTGCCAAAATCCCATAGTTGCCTTTGACTGGACTTAACCACCCAGGGGTCCTTTACCTTTACCCCCCCTTTTTTTTTTGGTGTTTTAGTTTTTTTTTTATTAAAGATTTTCTTGTTTTACAGAAGTATGTGTAATATCTCTCGTATTTTTTCCATGTAACATTTTTACAAATCCGTTTCATTTGTTGAGACATTAGGGGGAGAAAAAAAGGGGTGGGGGGAAGATGGGTGGGGTGGGGTCGGGTGGCGATGTTTCTATTATGCTTAATGTATGTACGGTTTTGTGTCAGTGTTGCTCGTGCAGGTTCTCTGCTGTTCACTTGTGTTCCTTTGGTGGTGAGAGAGGTTGGGGTTGGCCTAGGGTGTGGTTGTTTCTTTGTGATTGGCTGTGGTGATCTTTGTTTTCGTGTGTGAGTGGGGTGGGTGGGTGTTTTGGATCAGATTAGCCATATTGATTTGTATGCCGTTGGTGGATTATTGTCATTGTCTTGTTGGGCTGTGTATGTGATACAGGGGAGCCATACTGGGGTAGAGGTGTCTTCTTCTGTTTGTCTCCATGTCAGTTTCAGTTTATTGGTTAATTTTTCTGGTAGGGCTGTTTCCCATACTATTTGGTACCATTGGTCCATGCTTACTCCTGACAGGTCTCTCCAGTGTCTGGTTATGGTGTTTCTGGTTGCTGAAAGAAGGTGGGTTATGAGTTTTTTGTGGTGTAAATGGGCATTGTTGTCTTGGAAGATGTTTAGTAGGGCCAATTCTGTGGTGATGTCTAATACTTGCTTAGTTATTTTACATATTTCTCATATGGCTGTTGTCCAGTATAGTTGGATTTTGGGGCACTCCCACCACATGTGGAGGTATGTGCCTGTGGAAGTGCACTCTCTCCAGCATTTTGGTGAGGTTCCTGGGTGTATTAGCACTAGTTTTCTTGGTGTTAGGTAAAATTACCTTTACCTTTTTATATAACTTACATAATTAATTATGTGAATTATGCTGTCATTCTTTTATTCCACCCCTGGCAGGGGTTCTTCTTTAGCTGTCATGGAGTGGGTGGTCTGAAGAAGAATGAGAGGAGCTCAGAAAGCTGGGCAACCCTTTGGAGGGTTCTGTGGGTTGGAGAAAGTGTCTGTTGGACCCATGAAATTGTCCAAGCCTAGGGACATGTCTGATAGCCTGGGGGATGATGAGCCAGGGAGGCACCAAATGGGCTAGCAGAAGAGTGTTCTGCTCTGGTGACACCAGACACCCCATGTCAGATTTGTCCTATTTGACCTGAAGGAGCGTCTCCACCCCCATTGTTCTGCCCAGACGCTGAGGTCCAGCGCCTAGGGCCTTCTGGCGGTTCCCTCATTGTGAGAAGCAAAGCTACAGGGAACCAGGCAGAGGGCCTTCTTGGTAGTGACGCACACCCTGTGGAATGCCCTCCCATCAGAAGTCAAAGAGATAAACAACTACCTGACATTCAGAAGACATCTGGAGGCAGCCCTGTTCAGGGAAGTTTTTAATGTGTGACATCTTAGTGTGTTTTTGGTCTTTGTTGGAAGTTGCCCAGAGTGGCTAGGGAAGCCCAGCCAGATGGGCGGGGTACAAATAAATTATTATTATTATTATTATTATTATTATTATTATTATGTAACCAGTGCTTCTCCCTGTCAGTGATGAGCCTCCTTCGAAGAACAGGACTGCTGAGACTAAGCCAGATCCTGAACCAGCATAGACATCATCTCCATCTCCTCGGACATGGAGACACCAGCGGTGGTGCAAACAGGCCTTACAAGCTCAGCCAACCCAGTGAAGTCCTAGTTTGCCTGCCCAATCTCACTATGGCTATTTCCCATGCTAAGTGCTGTGCCCAACCCATCCTTCCTAAGGAAAGTGTGGCAGGTGTGAGTCACTTGTTGGATCAGTGCATTCGCTTGCACTTAGCCTTGTATATAATCCCCTTGCATACCTGTTGAACCATGTAAATGTTCCTTGTTTATGTACCAATCTAGTTTCTGGCAGAAGCCCAGCTGGGGGTTCATGTTCTTCATCAGCGGCGAGGCTTCATCGCCAGCTCCATTCATTTCAGTGCAAATGAAACTCAACGAAAGCGCAGGAAGGGGGTGTCATCAATGAAAGCGGAACAGAGCAGAATGTGGATGGAGCAAAATGGAAGAGGGGGCATCACATTTGGGCCTCACACAGGATGATGCTGAAATTTGAAAGACCAAAGTTCATCCTCGATTAAAGCAACAACAACAGGGTTGATTTTCATCCTGGGCATGGGCAAATAAGCGAACATGGGCAATTTCCATTTCCATTTTTGTCGGAACTCTCCAACAGCCTTATGCATAGGGTTGCCATATTTCAAGAGGCAGATGTGAGGGTGATCTGGCTGCGACATCTGTCACCCCATTGATCGCCAGGGTTGATTCGGCTGATCTGGCTGGCTAGGCACGTGTCTCCTTCCTCCCTCACCGCTCCATGTGCGTCCCTCCCGAAACTGTGCGCTCAGTGGAAGAGGATGACCATCCCAGAGAGAAGGAGTGTACAGTGGACGCTCTGGTTGTGAACGTGATCTGTGTGGGATGCACGTTCGCAACCCGCAGCGTTCGCAACCCGCATCTGTGCACGCACGGGTTGCGATTTAGCGTTTCTGCGCATGCACGACCGCCAAAACCCAGAAGTAACCCATTCTGGTACTTCCAGGTTTCGGCGGTCCGTAACCTGGAAAAACGCAACCTGAAGCGTCTGTAACCCAAGGTATGACTGTACCGTTCTTTAGTCAAGGGTATACGATAGCTGCGCTTGCCTGCTAGAACCTCCAAACAAGCTCAAGGCCATATTTCAAGAGGTAAAAATCCGGACACACAAAAAATGTTTTTGGGCAATTGCCTGACAGCCCCTCTGCCACTGCCAAGCTCAAGTCTAAGCCACCCACGCCAGAGCCAGAGCCCAAGCCAAAACCTGGATTGCCCAAGTCAGAGCCAGAGCCTGAACCAGAGCCGCCAGAGCAGATACAGATAGATACAGTGGTGCCTCGCAAGACGAAATTAATCCGTTCCGCAAGTGTCTTCGTCTAGCGGTTTTTTCGTCTTGCGAAGCAACCCTATTAGCGGCTTAGCGGCTTAGCGCTATTAGCGGTTTAGCGGCTATTAAAGGCTTATCGGCTTATCGGCTTAGCTGCTAAAAGGCTATTAGCGGCTTAGCGGCTTAGAAAAAGGGGGGGAGCGGGAAAAAAATCTCAAGACTCGCAAGACATTTTCGTCTTGCGAAGCAAGCCCATAGGGAAATTCGTCCTGCGAAGCAACTCAAAAACGGAAAACCCTTTTGTCTAGCGGGTTTTCCGTCTTGCGAGGCATTCGTCTTGCAGGGCACCACTGTACAGCTACAGCTACAGCTACAGCTACAGCTACAGCTATAGCTATAGCTACAGATACAGATACAGATACAGATACCCAGTGCTTTTTTTCTTTAAAAAATTGTTTAGGAGTACTCTCATTTTCCTACTCATATTGAAATACTGCCCCTCAATGAGGCCAAACTTAGATTCTCAAAATGTTTAGGGGTATGCGTAGCCCTGCGTACCCCCAGAAAAAAAGCACTGCATATACATATATTAAAAAAAACCAAAATCCCGGATATTTGCTTTAAAATGTAAAATTCCCCCTGGTTAGGCATGTAGGACCCCCCAAAAGAAGACATGTCTTTGTGATGTAATATGATAATGTTTGCCGATGTAACATAAGAACTTTAATAAATAAATAAAATTATGGAATTCCTGGATGTATGGCAACCTTACTTATGCATGAGTGATCTTCCAAACTATTTAGCACAAATCAAATAATTTTGCAGCCTACATGATTGCTATTTCTGGCAAGAAACAAACAGTTTTCGTAAATTTTCAAGATTAACGTGCAAGGTCAAATTATGCAGAAAGTGAAAAAAATATCCCACTAATGACAATATTAGAGACTGATAAAGAATTTTTAATATTTGTGTGCTCTCCAGGTAGTACCCAGTATTTATCGCCTTCCGCGTAGATGCCACACATTCGCCAAACTTTGCATAAGAAGTTACGGATCAAAAAAGTGTATGTGACTCCGCTCAAATAATCTCATCAGCAGAGAAAGGAAACATTTAATTCATGCCACAAGCAACCAATTTCTTACTGAACAATGATAGCACGTCTCAACAGGGATCGCAGAGATGCATTAATACTGCATTTGTTTCCAACCTCTTGGATAACTGACAAGAGATTGTGGGACTGACACATCTGATGAATGAAAAGATCAATAGAATCACTTGTTTAACCTCTAGGCTACGTCTTGCTAGTATTTTTGGGTGCTGACTCATTACGAAACCACCTACACTTAACAAAAGCTGGCTGACAAGTCGCCCCTCCTGCAGAACTCCAGGCTTTCCAAGAACAACATCTGTCACGCTTTTACACAGAGGCAATTTGTCTTGCCCAAACATGATAGGGTTTCCACTTAACTCTCTTCTTGACCTTGGTCACATGTGTAAAAACAAAGGCTGGTTCTCATTCTCAGGTTTCCAGCTAGTGTGAATTCCCCCTTGGTTTGTTTTTAAAAGACATAATTTGCCTTAAAGATTTTCTTCGTTTTCAAAAAGCACATGCATTGTCTCTTTTTTCAGGTTGTGTTTTCTACAGATCAGTTACATTTGTCGTGAGACATCGGTGTTATATTCAGAATAGGGATGGGAAGAAAAGGGGGGTCTGGAAAGAGGGGCTGGGGAGGTAAAGCTTGTTCTTTTACTTAGTGCATGCATGGAAATTTTGTGTCAGTGTCACTTGGGTAGGTTCTCTTTCTATTTGCTTGTTATGTCCCCTTGGCAGTGAGCCGTCCCAGATTTATGTACAGTGGTACCTCGGGTTACATACGCTTCAGGTTACATACGCTTCAGGTTACAGACTCTGCTAACCCAGAAATAGTGCTTCAGGTTAAGAACTTTGCTTCAGGATGAGAACAGAAATCGTGCAGCGGCGGCACAGCAGCAGCGGGAGACCCCATTAGCTAAAGTGGTGCTTCAGGTTAAGAACAGTTTCAGGTTAAGTACGGACCTCTGGAACGAATTAAGTACTTAACCCGAGATACCACTGTATAAAGTGATGTGCTTCCCCTCAAAGTGCTCAAAGCCTTTCTTCATTTGCAAAGTACAGACCCCCAGAACAAATTAATTACTTAACCCGAGCTACCACTGTATAAGCTAAACAAGCTATCGCTTAGGGCCCGAATCTCTTGGCCCCCCCCCCAAATTACGAGTCTTTATAAATTGCATTTCTAAAGGAACTCTTGTTATTGCCAAATGCCAATGAGTTTGCATTATTAAATTTGTATGAATAAAAAATCATTTTAAGTTATATCTTAATAATTATTTCACTATTAATATACTTCTTCTTAATTGTATTTCATTGTTAATATACTTGGGACGCGGGTGGCACTGTGGTCTAAACCCCTGAGCCTAGGGCTTGCCGATCGGAAGGTCGGCAGTTCGAATCCCTGTGACGGGCTGAGCTCCCGTTGCTCTGTACCAGCTCCTGCCAACCTAGCAGTTCGAAAGCACACCAGTGCAAGTAGATAAATAGGTACCGCTGTGGCAGGAAGGTAAACAGCATTTCTGTGTGCTCTGGCTTCTGTCACAGTGTCCCATTGTGCCAAAAGCTACTGTTAGGTCCATCATGAGACGTCCGCAAACTTCCAACCATGGATACCAGCAGCCTTCAAGCAAGCAAACTTGCCTTATTATTGTTCCATAGCATCCCGCTGTCAGAGGATTGCCTCCTTCCATTCACCAGTTTGCCTCCTCCAAATGGAAGAAACCTGGGCAGTGCTGAATGTCACATCCGTTGCCAGGTGTGTCCTGCTGGAAATAGAAAAGGGCTTTCTCCTTGGTCTGGCTTTATATCTACTGAGTTGCCAAGTGCTTTTGTGACATCACAAGAAACCCACAGCCAATGGTAACAGCTGGGGAGGCATCAACTTTATTGCTTTGAGCCTCACAGTGGCAGGTGGACCTATCAGTGATAGTGTGCTTGTTTATTCGGGACATGGGTGGAGCTGTGGTCTAAACCACTGAGCCTCTTGGGCTTACCGATCAGAAGGTCAGCGGTTCAAATCCCTGTGATGGGGTGAGCTCCCGTTGCTCTGTCCCAGCTCCTGCCAACCTAGCAGTTTGAAAGCACGTCAAAATGCAAGTAGATAAATAGGTACCACTCCGGTGGGAAGGTAAACAGTGTTTCCGTGCGCTGCTCTGGTTCGCCAGAAGCGGCCTAGTCATGCTGGCCACATGACCTGGAAAAACTGTCTGTGGACAAACGCCGGCTCCCTCAGCCTATAGAGCGAGATGAGTGTGCAACCCCAGAGTCATCTGCGACTGGACCTAATGGTCAGGGGTACCTTTACCTTTATCTTATTAATATACTTCTTAATTGTATATCAGTTCAACAATTACTTTGATAAAATGCATATTTCGTTATGTGCAAATGGTTTTAGATACCTATTAGGTCCATAAATTACCATATAGCATACAACAGATCTAAAAACATAATAAAACATCAATCCTAAAAACACTTCCCTAAACAGGGCTGCCAAAAGTCAGATAGTTGTTTATTTCCTTGACATCTTAGTGCGTTCCACAGGGAGGGTGCCACTACTGAGAAGGCCTATTATGACAATAAGCATACACTCCCATTACTCAAAACATTTTGGACTCGTTAGCTGGACTGGTCATGTTGTGCGGATGCCTGATTATCATCTTCCTAAGCAACTACTCTATCCCAAACGTAAAAATGGAAAGCATAATGCTGGTGGTCAACAAAAGAGGTTTAAAGATTGTGTCAAGGCAAATCCTTTAAAATGTAGTATAAACACCGACAACTGGGAAACACTAGCCTGTGAGCGCTCCAACTGGAGAACAGCCTTTACCAAAGGTGTCATGGGCTTTGAAGACGCTTGAACTCAGGACGCAAGGGAGAAATGTGCTAAGAGGAAGGCACTCTTGGCAAATCCACACCATGAACAATTCCCGCCTGGAAACCAATGTCCCCACTGTGGAAGGATGTGTGGATCCAGAACTGGCCTCCACAGTCACTTACGAACTCACTTTTAAAACCGTGTTTATGGAAGACAATCTTATTTGGCTGTGAGTGATTGCCAAAGAAGAAGACTGAATCGTATTCACTCTGCTTTGGAGTGAATTGGATAACGTTGCGTTTTTGGTGAAACTGTGACCCTGCAGGTTAGGGCACTGAAGGTTCATTTTGTAAGGCGCCGTGAAACATGGGATTTTCACTTCCAAACAATGCAGGGGTCCTTTTGCTGGTTTTAAGCAGAGTTTTGGATTGAATCGGACGACGTCGCATTTTCTGCAAAATCGTGAACTTGCGGGTAAGGGCCCCGAAGGCTTTTTGTGTGGTGCAGTGAAACCTCCAAATGAAAGATAACAGTGGATCTAAACAGACTGTCTAAGTACACAAATTAAAAACCAGCTAAACAAGATGGGAAGAAAGAAATCGCAACCCTGTACTATCAAACAGGTGGGGTGGGGGGAAGACAAAGAAATCAAGGTTTTATTGATTACAGTTCTGGCAGCAGGGGCTTTCAAAAACTTGGGTGCCAAAGGAAATAAGGTTTTAAATCACAAACCAGATCGGTTTTCTGTGTCCTGTGTGCTTCTCCATATGTTTTGCAAAGTCATCCTTGGGAAATGTCGTTTTGATAGAGTGGTTTAGGGATTAATTCCGGGGCTTTGTTGCCCAATAATTGAACTAACAAGACTTCCAGATATGACAAAGTAAACCTTCTTCCCAGATATTTACAAAAGTGAGTCGCTAAGGATTTTAAATGGTAAAAATGGAAAAGAACTCAGAATTAAACTGAATTGCAAGGACAGGAATTTACTAGGGAGAAATTCATAGTGAAAAAGCAGTTTAACAGAAAAGCGAGGACAGAAAGATAAACTCCTGCAAGGTTGGGAAGTAACAAACCATAAACAATATTGAACCAAAGGAACACCTGCGTTGAAAAATAGGGTAGCTAAATTGCACGGAGCAAACGTACAAAAGTGTCTCTGGCGCCATCTGGTGGCCAAAAGGGAAACGGGAAAGTGAAATAGAAACAGTGGGAAAAGAGAAAGGAAAATAGAAAGGGAGAATAATGTACTGAAATGAATATATAGACATTGGGGGAAGGATCGGAAAGTGAAAAGAAAGAGGGAGCAAGTGAATATAATAAGATTGAGGTTGAGAAAAGAGAAATGGCGACAAAAGGAAAGCAGGCACCCTGGCCAAGGAGAGAGAGGATCTGCGCAAGAAGGGGAAGCCAATATAATGGAATTATTAATGGAAATTAGGAAATATTTACAAAGCCATTCTATGAAAGTTGATGAGTTCTGGTGAGTTCTGGCTGAAAAAAAGACCCGCGTGTACAGGACACATGCAGAGATTAAATGATCAGGCACAAGCAGGGGTCTAGACACGTCGAAAAAGCGTCTCAGGATTGAATGCAGGCCTTTAAAAGGGCCTGTCTGGCAAGTAAATGAAAAGCAGCAGCAAAGAATGGCAAATGAAACTGATGGAATATGCGGAGATGGTGAAACTGACGGGGAAGATCCAAAACCAGGAAGATCAAGTATTTTCTAAAGTTTGGAGCAAATTTGTAATTTATTTAAAAGACCCCTGTAAACAGTTAAAATCACTGGCAGGGGTGTAATGACTAATGACACTTGTAATGTAGAATTTTTTAATGATAGCTATGGAGCGCTGCAAACCCAGAGTCGGTCACAACTGGACCTAATGGTCAGGGGTCCCTTTACCTTTACCTTTATGGATATTTAAACAGGACGCGGGTGGCGCTGTAGGTTAAACCACAGAGCCTAGGACTTGCTGATCAGAAGGTCGGCGGTTCGAATCCCCGCGACGGGGTGAGCTCCCGTTGCTCGGTCCCTGCTCCTGCCAACCTAGCAGTTCGAAAGCACATCAAAGTGCAAGTAGATAAATAGGTACCACTCCGGCGGGAAGGTAAACGGCGTTTCCGTGCGCTGCTCTGGTTTGCCAGAAGCGGCTTAGTCATTATGGCGACATGACCCGGAAGCTGTACGCCGGCTCACTCGGCCGATAAAGCGAGATGAGCGCCGCAACCCCAGAGTCGGCCACAACTGGACCTAATGGTCAGGGGTCCCTTTACCTTTATGGATATTTAACAGGTGGATAATGGTAAAAGAGGCAGCAAATTTAATCTTAAACATGGAAGCCGTGGAGGGAGGGAAGGAGGTCCGAAGGTTCAAAAGAACCTTGTATTTTAATGTTTGAAATGGTTATGTTAAAATGTAAAAAACTGTGAAAAAACAACCAATAAAAAAATTATAAAAGAAAAGTAGCAGCAAAAGGATGTAAAGCCAGTGTCTAGAGTCTGATTAATCAAGCTCCCGAGTTCCTAATTCCATCAACAGGAATTGTTTAGATCAGGCAAGTCCAAAGTCCGTTTCCTAAATCTTAAAAAAAGCTTTGGCCCTCATGATGCATGTTCGGCCCTCATGATGCATGTTCACTTCATCAAGTCTGGCCTTCTGTTAAAAAAGTTTGGACACCCCTGGTTTAGGTGGACTTGCCATTTATGTTCTGTGGGTGCTCTTGCGACATCATTATGCTGCAGTATTGCGCATTGCTTCTCAACGGGTGAAGCGGCTTGGCTATGGCATCCACAGAGGCGCCTGGTTGCGCTTGGCTGAAAAATGAGAACACAATGACCAAATGGGACAGAATGGAGTAGCCGCTTTGGGTATCTCTCTAGTTGCTGCACTGTTCACATATGAAGTAGGGATGGATCAAAAAGCCACAGCTGGGCTTGCCCAGAGCTGGAAAGACGATAAAAGACCTACGAGGGCGGACTGGCAGATGAAACTATTGGACTATGCAGAGACGGCAAGGTTAACTGGGGAAATCAGAAATCGGGATGATCAAGACTTCAACAGAGAATATAGATTGTATTTGAAAGACCACTGTAAACACTTGAACTCTTTGGCAGGCTTTAAATAACTCTTGCAATGGTACTAGATTCAGGTAGGTAGCCGTGTTGGTCTGACGCAGTCGAAATATATAAAAAAATTGTCCAGTAGCACCTTAGAGACCAACTAAGTTTGTTCTGGGTATGAGCTTTCGTGTGCATGCACACTTCTTCAGATACACTGAAACAGAAGTCACCAGACCCTTATATATAGCGGGAGGGTGGGGTTTTTCTCAGAAGGGTGGTAGGAGATGGGTGATTGACATAATGGGTATGCTAAAGCTGTTGACGACTGTTAACGACTGCAATTAGTCCTACAGGAAAAAGCAAGGGATGGTATGCAGATGATTAGCTTATGTAATGAGACAGGAATCCAATATCTCTTTTAAGACCAGGTCTCTCAATAGTTTTCAGTTTAGTGATAAGTTGTAATTCAGCAACTTCTCTTTCAAGTCTGTTTCTGAAATTCTTTTGTAATAAGACAGCTGCTTGGAGATCCTGTATTGAATGTCCTGGGAGACTGAAGTATTCTCCTACTGGCTTCTCTGTCTTGTGATTCCTGGTGTCAGATTTATGTCCATTTATCCTTTGGCGTAGGGTTTGGCCTGTCCTACAGGAAATCTTGCAATGGTACATAGACTTTGGATATACTGGAGGGCTGTAAACTGGATGGACTTAAAATATGCAGCTGGAAAGTTTTTTAATGGACACACGAAGGGGAGGAGGGAAGTCTTGGGATTCGAAAGAATCTTGTGTAAAATTCTAATATTTGCAAAAATATTTTCCTGTGAATGAATTTGTAAAACCCAATTTTTTAAAAAAGAAAAAGTAAAGCCACAGCTGGCCATTTTACACAGATATATTCTTCATCAGAGCACCTGCAGGGACATGCATCAGCACAAAGCCCTCCTTTCCCACAATTCCTATATAAACGTATAATTATGTGGTTTTCTCTCTTTGCAAGATTCTCATTTCACAAATGAGCATGATGCTGGCCCAGATGGAAGTCGGCATATCAGCCACACAAAATATTTATCTTGGGGTTTTTTAATTGCATTTGTTGTCTCCTCCTCCTCCTCCTCTGAATTTATATACTGCCTTATACCCAGATGTCTCAGGGCAGTTCACAGAACAAAGTCAAAATATAAAACCACAAAATATAGAATCAAAATAAAAACAACCCAATAACCACCCACCCACTCCAAAAAACCCCCACATTTTAATAGGGCATAGGATGCTATGCATTTTTTGCTTTGCATCTTGTTATCAAAGCAAAAGACAATACAGTGGTACCTCGGGTTGCAGACGCTTCAGGTTACAGATGCTTCAGGTTACAGACTCCGCTAACCCAGAAATAATACCTTGAGTTAAGAACCTTGCTTTAGGATGAGAACAGAAATCACACGGCGGCGGCAGCGGGGGGCCCCATTAGCTAAAGTGATGCTTCAGGTTAAGAACAGTTTCAGGTTACTAACGGACGTCCGGAACAAATTAAGTACGTAACCAGAGGTACCACTGTATAAGAAATAAAAATAGTGATACACATGCATTTGGAAATCATACATGTTCTAGCGCAGCACATTGCAATTGCTACAGAAGGGGGGCAGAAAAACCCGTTAAGTGGTCTGAGACGACTCTATGGCTTTTAAGCGGTTCGTGGGGAAAATGTTTGGGAGCCACAGCACTGCAGAAAAATAAGGAAGTGGGAGGGATGAACATAGTTAGAGTCATGCTGAAAAGTCAAGGAGAGGCCAATGGCGAATCATAATGGTTTTGCAGGCTGGAGAATGAACTAATTTAGACTGCAATCCTATGCCCACTTAACTGTGAGAGCAGGCAGGCCCTTTCAGTATCATTTGGATATCAGAATTACTGCGCTTAGTTAAATGCTTACGGCATGTCACATACCATAAATGAATCTCCTTGGTTTAACAAATAGGATTCAATGTCCTTGTTTTCAAAAGCTTAATGTGGTAAAAGAAATGCGCAGTCGTTATCTGCTGGCCGTTTTGCTTCATTTTCCCACCAGTAATAGTTGTTTCAGTGTTCATTATTTGTAGCTGTGGTTTCAGGCAAGCGCCGGCTTCTTAAATCAGTGTTCTTGATCTTTCCATTACATCTGAATTGAAAAGAGATAGCATCTCTCTAATCGAATTGCCATTCAAAAATTGGGATCATCGCTGTAAACAATGCTATCACTAACTCCTTTTTTATTTTATTTTTACGTATTGCCATTAATTTCAGATCTCATTCAGATTGATTCTTACAGGAAAATATTTTAATAGATTTTGACATTGTCCTCAAAGCAGGCAAACCTGACGAGCAAAGCGATCGGCTGCCCTCTGCTGGAAAAACGTACGTTTTGACTAAGGAACGACTGTGCTTATTTCAGCATCAAAATAAAACTTTATTTCAGTTGTATATAACTAAATATATATGAAGTGTTTCAGTAGCAGCCTAAAAGACTAGAAAATACCGGTTGAAATGGTTAATTTAATGCAAGCCAATCAATTCCAAAAGCGTTAAGAGGCATGTTTTGAAAATACTGCAAAACCTTAATCCATACATTGCATAAAGTTCAATTAGACGCAGCTTAACATCAAGATCTTTCCCTGACTCCTGATTCGCACTGATTATTTTTTGCTCTGGTGAATAAAATAGCGAATGACATCTGTGAAATAGTTTTTTTAATTACTTCTAATATGTATAACGCTAGTCAATCACAATTTTAAAATTTGTGCCATTATCCATGGCATTTGATGCTGTAAGAATCATAAGAATTCACAACCACATGATTATTTATTTTTACTATCAGTAATATTTTTTTAAAAAGACTCGTATCACTTGAGATGGTGTTTTCTCCTTTATGCCAGAATTCATTTTTTTCAAGCTCACATTGGATTTGCTTAAGTTCCGAAAAGTCTGTGTTTTGCAGAACTCAATGAAATGGACCTAATAGTTTTGCCATGTTGTTGTTGTTTAGTCGTTTAGTCGTGTCCGACTCTTCATGACCCCATGGACCAGAGCACGCCAGGCACTCCTGTCTTCCACTGCCTCCCGCAGTTTGGTCAAACTCATGCTGGTAGCTTCCAGAACACTGTCCAACCATCTCGTCCTCTGTCGTCCCCTTCTCCTTGTGCCCTCCATCTTTCCCAACATCAGGGTCTTTTCCAGGGAGTCTTCTCTTCTCATGAGGTGGCCAAAGTATTGGAGCCTCAGCGTCAGGATCTGTCCTTCCAGTGAGCACTCAGGGCTGATTTCCTTAAGAATGGATAGGTTTGATCTTCTTGCAGTCCATGGGACTCTCAAGAGTCTCCTCCAGCAATAGTCTCTTCATTTAAATAAATGATGTTAAATGATGTTGTGAGCCACTTTGCGCAATCATGGAAAGGCGAGCTCTGTACACATTTATCTGGGAATCGGTCCCATTGAGCTCAGTAAGGCTTGCTTCTGAGTAGACACGCGTATGGTTGCCCTTGTCAGTCAAGTGCTTGCCTGCATGAGTGCCATGCTTGATCTCTCAACATATTCACTTTCCTGTAATAAAGATCTGTTCTCCAGACATCTACCGCGACCCTATTTCAAGAACAGCTCTCATATCCATTCTAGAAAGGGGGAAAGTATATACAACAAATTGCTGCATATCCATCGCTCAGTGGTAGATCACCCCCCCCCCATTTTTATGTATTTTTATTTTGTACTTTTCAAGTTTGTACATTTCACTAATTTTACAATCATTTTGACATTTCAAAACTTGACTTCCTTCCCCCTCTTTCTGCGGTTCCTTAAATTTGTTTTTAATATCTTCCTGCATATCCAGATTAACTTAGTTTGCTCATTTATTCATCTTCTTTAAATATATACTCTTATGAAACTGCAGGTTGTTACAATAATCCTGCCAATGTTTTTATCTGTTTATAATTTATCTGTAAATATTCAATAAACCATTTCCATTCTTTTATTTAAAAAATTGTTATCTTGATTTCTTATTCTTCCGGTAAGTTTCACCCTCTCTGCATATTCCATAAGGTTTTTTTTAACCATTCTTCCTTTGCTGGGGCTTCTGCTGCTTTCCATTTTGGGGCAAGAAACATTCTTACTACTGTATTAGCATGCATTAATAAGTTTCTATACATTTTAGGTAGTTCTGTCCCTATAATTCCCAAAAGAAAAGCTTCTGGTAAAATGACAAAGGTTATTTTACAAAGGTGTTTTTTTATATACAAAGTTTATTTTAAACATCCTTTTCATTTCGGTATATATCATTTCCCAGTAAGCTTTAACCTTACTACAAGACCACTACATATGATAAAAAGAATCTTCTTTCTCTTTACATTTCCAACACTTATTTGATTTATATTTTTGCCAATTTACTCAGTGCTAGGTACCATCGATATAACATTTTCATATGATTTCCTCTTAGACCATAACATGCTGTAAATTTTATACCCATATTCCACAATCCTTCCCATGCTTCCATGTCTATATTATGACCAATATCTATTTCCCAGTATATCGTTGAGGGTTTTACTTGCTCATCCTTTGTCTCCCATTCCAATAATATTTTATACATTGGAAGAGCATCCTCTTGGCTTACAGACTGTTCCAAATTTAATCTCCCGCATCTCCAGGTAGGACTGGGAATGTTCCAGGTCGGTACCATTGGAGTGCCACTTCCAGTTGGTGTATTAGTATATCATTAATAACAAAAGTGTGCATACTGACCTTTATCTGAAGATCACAGGGCAGTTCACAACAGGGGCATAGCTTGGGGGGCTGTGGTCCTGGGCACACAATTTTGAGGGGGCACAAACCAGGGATCCCCATGCAGCAATCTCCGTCCTGCCCTACCTGCCATCAGGGGTCTCTGGGCCCTGGAGCCTGGCGTGGCCTTGCCACTGCATCCCCTTGCTGAACGGCCGCCTGGCCAGCACTCGCTCACTCCTCGCTCAGATGGTGAGTGGCTGCATGAGGAGGGAGAAGGGCAAGGGGCGATCCCAGCATGGCCCAGTCTGCTTTGGGGGGATTCACCCGTCAAGGGCTGCGTTGGCCAACTCAGCTTTCCCCTGTGCGGGCAGGCAGGCAACACAGCATGCCCCGGGCACCAGCAAATGACGCTATGCCACTGGTTCACAGCATAAAAGGTGTAGACGACAGTGAATGTCTATCAGCCAGAACGAATTAGCTTGCTCGGGTGGCGGATGCTGACAGGAGGGCAGTGAAGTGATGGAGGAGAGGTGGCAAGCTCTGTGCGCCACTTAGGCTGCCCGTCGCCCTTAAAGTTAGCCTGCTGAACTTGGTTGTGATGGTGGGTTCCCCCCCGTCATCAGTGTGGCTTCTATACATGTCATGGAAGGCCACCATCTTGTCATTTGAGCAGCAAAATGACTTCGGCCAAACCAAGCAGCCTTCCAGAGCATGACAGGTATACAGACTTTGACCAAGAGGCTGATCCAGAAAGCCAGGGTAGCCCTGGGATGGGCAAACAGGAACATATATCAGTGGCAGAAACAGCACCAAGAACATGAGTAGGCAAACTAAGGCCTAGGGGGACGCATCCGGCCCAATCACCTCTAAATCCGGCACGCGGACAGTCCGGGAATCAGCGTGTTTTACATGAGTAGAATGTGTCCTTTTATTTAAAATGCATCTCTGGGTTATTTGTGGGGCATAGGAATTCATTCGTTTTTCTTCCAAAATATAGTCCGGCCCCCCACAAGGTCTGAGGGACGGTGGACCAGCCCCCTGCTGAAAAAGTTTGCTGACTCCTGATCAAGAAGAAAGAAGATGAAACTCAGCAAAGAGGACTCGTTGGCAACATTAGATACAAGCCTTTCCCTTGCAGAAGTTGAAGTATTAGCATTACATCTGCTCAATTACCAAAGCTAATTAGCCCCCTCCGCCCTTATTTCAAAGCTATTTTTATGTTTGTATGAGAAAAGCACCTGGCCAATTTGGTTGCCAATAAATATCTCCACAGACTTTTCTGAGATCACAGTCTTTCCAATGAGTGGCTCCTGTCCAGGTTTGTTAATTGTCTTACTTTAAATGTTGTGAGGATCTTTTGAGGGGTTTTTGGGGGGGGTATTGGGGTTGTTGTTCTTATTTTGATTATGCATTTTGTGTTTTTATATTTATTTTATTCCATGAACTGCCCTGAGACCTCCAGGTATAGGGCAGTATATAACTTCAATAAAACAACAACAACCATGACCCTCTTTCGGAACTTAACTTTATCCATCTGACAGATTCAACTGAGGAAAATTCAGTTGTAAGCAGAAACATCTCAATTTCTATTTCTCTCGACTCCAGATCTCTAAGGTAGAATTCCTCACAAAAATACATCCTTGAAACCTGAACATTGGTATTCAGAAACCACTTTTGGTTTCTCGTGCTTTCCTCACAGAAGTACATAAAGCATGGTTGTTGCAAAATAATCAGGATGAAGGGAAAGAAGGAGCCAGTGCTCTTTTATAGCACCAAGCTCTCAGTCCTGGAGATGGATCAAGATAAAATTTAACCTTTCCATCCCCATACATTCATCTGTTCCACTCGGCTTTGCTGAAAACTGGAGTTTGACTGCCTCATAAATCTAGGCGATGCGAGGTCACAGCCATTTTGCAATCCCACCACACGAAGAAAAGAGGTTGAAATGTTATTTGGACCTTAACGCTATTTTACTGGAAACAGAAACTCCATTGATGGGAATAAGAATGCTTCACAAAACATACTTTGGGCAGTCAATATCTACTGAATTCAGACCAGAAAGTTTATGCTGTGAGGCTCAGGTCTTGTTGTTTGCAAGATTTAAAAGATGAGATCAAGTGTAGGAGAAAAAGCAGCAACAACAACCTCCAGCTGGAAATATGAGGCGCCGCAGAAAGATCAATAACTCGTTAAAAGTGACAGTTTGAGCGCGAAGGAAGCTCAGTCTGTCTTTGAAGGCTTCGGTTCAATTTAACAAATGAGTTCCGCGGAGCACCATAGATGCTCATGTGTGATACATCTCGGGCCATTTCTATAGACAAGGTAATCCCGAGTGCTTCAGTGGGAAAAATAGGTGTGTTGATGGTCAGTTCAGGAGCCGCAAGAACTCGAGAACTTGTAACGGAATCACAGAATCATAGATATGGAAGGGAATTATGTGGAACAGTGGCATGCGTCATTGGACTGAGGGGACTAGGCTAGTTCCCTAAATGTTCCTCTGGCGTCTCCTTCCCAAATCCCAGGAAGCTTCTGCCCAGCTTAGGGAGGGAGGCGTGAGGCCTTGATGGGTCCAAGAAGAGGCGTAGCAAGATCAGGTGGTACCTGGTGCAAAAAAAATCTTGTCAACCCCCTCCCCACACACATTCAAATTATTAAAAGAAGGAAAGATAAGATACAGTCGCAAGTGTCATTTTCTGGTTTATTTACTGAACATTGGGAGTATAAGCAACTTTGGCTTAGCGGCCCAGGAGGTCGTCCATGGCGCCCGCGCTGCCCAGAGCCCAACCACTGTTGGTGGCCGCCTCAGCCTCTGTAGGATGGCCTTGGCCTTTGCAGGCCACTGCTTCCTCGGCAGGTCGCTGCAGCGGCCCAAAAAACCCAACTGCTGCTGGCAGGGGGCCTTGGCAGCATCGGGAAGTCGGTCTTGAGAGCACCAGTCCTTTCCTTGCCTTTGCCCTGCCCTCAGCCTGCAGCTGATTGGCCAGCTGGGTTGGGGGCGGGGCGAAGGTCCCAAGGCAAGGGGAGTGGCATCCAGGACCCAGGAAGTCCCCCCACCTCTCGGAGAGGAGCTTCAATAAGTTTATTTTTTAAATACTTATTCTTTCCAGTTTGTCACCCCCCTCAGCGGTGACACCTGGGGCGGCACGCCCCTACCGCACCCCCGTTCCGATGCCACTGGGTCCAAGATCCATCCTGCCATCTTCCCAAAGCCCATCCAACTTTGGGAAGGAGCCACAAGGACTTCAGCATCCCTTAAGGGCCCTGGCACCTCCTTTGCAATGCCCGGGAAACTCCTGGTTGGCTTAGGGAGGGAGGCACAAGGTCAGGACATCACAACGTCACACGTGTGACATGGGTCCCCCCCCATCCCTCTCACAAGCTGGTGCCTCTGGCCCTCAACTGCTCCCCTACAAAAAAATTCACCGCACACCCCTGATGTGGAAAGCAATTAATAAGGAACAAGAACAGATAACAAGTGGCGAAGGCCAGCGCTTGCTGCACCTCAACAAGGATGCTGTTCCACAGAACGAGGGCAGCTATGCAGAAAGCCCTGCAATGAGCTATTCTGGATCATGGTGCCTACATGTGAGCAGCAATGCTTGAAATGTCTGTAGTCCTGGTGGTCTTCCGGTTGCCATATTTCAAGAATATGGTGGCGCTGTGGTCTAAAGCACTGAGCCTCTTGGCAGAAGGTTGGCAGTTCGAATCCCCACAACGGGGTGAGTTCCCATTGCTCTGTCCCAGCTTCTGCCAACCTAGCATTTCGAAAGAACACCAGTGCAAGTAGATATATAGGTACCACTGCGGCGGGAAGCTAAACAGCATTTCCGTGCACTCTGGTTTCCGTCACGGTGTCCTGTTGCGCCAGAAGCGGTTTAGTCATGCTGGCCACAAGACCCGGAAAGCTGTCTGTGGACAAACACCGGCTCCCTCGGCCTGAAAGCGAGATGAGCGCCGCAACCCCATAGTTGCCTTTGACTGGATTTATCCGTCCAGGGGTCCTTTACCTTTACCTTATTTCAAGAAGTAAAAAATCTGGACATTGTTCAAAAAGTTGTTGAGCTGTTTTGGGGTGGACAGCAGGGTGGCGATCGGGCTTCCGAAATTGCCATCTAGGAGGCAACAAGGAACTGACTGCTGTACAGTGCTTCTGCTGGGGAACAGATAAAATCCAGGACATTTACTATTGATTTAACCCCAGGGAACCAATTTAGCCCCCACCTCCCAGACATTACTGGAATTTTCCGGTACATATGGTGACCCTACTTCAGATGAAAAGTGGAACTCAAAATTCTAACTATTCTTTTACATTTCTCTTTGGTACCTGAAGGGAGGGGGGGAAATTATATTTTATATTGCTGCACCTCAGACGTTTCTTATCTGATTTTCCTGACATTTGTCTCCTTCCGCTGCAATAGTGGTGATGCTGGGCTGTTTCTAAGTGGTTGTTTCTGGTTTGCGTTGATTCATGAATTATAATTTTTATTACATTACTGTGAAGTCAAAGAGAGTCCCTTCTTGGGGAAAAAACGGTGATGTATACCTTCTTGGATTTTTAAAAACCCTATTTGGAAGTGCTGACAGAGGAGCGAAAAGTCACAAAGGTTTAATAACTATTTTGACTGCAATCTCCCTTTCTTGCTATAAATATTGCATTACGTGATGTAGAGATTATCTACCGTGTAACTTTGAAGGGGGGAAAAAACCCAGTAATATATGTGTTCTACTTCTATTCAAGAGGGTGGGGGGAGACTTTTTTTACACCTGCTGTTTAGAATGATTATACTTGCTTTTAAAAAAATATAATCTCTGTAGATGGACAATACTAAGCACATATAAAGTGTAGTTAAGTGTTTTATTTTATTTTTTTAAAAAAACCTCTGCTTGTCTGTTTCCATGGCAACTTCAGAACCGTAAGTCCTTAATTGTTTAAAAATTGCTTCTCCCTGCAGTGTGCTTATTAGTGAGAAATCCTCCCCAGACCCCCAAATCTGGAATTAATTTAAATAAACGCTCAGAATTATGTATTTGTATCAGTGCTGCAGAGTTTTAAAAGTATCTCGGTGCATTGGTATATTTTACATTTAATTATTACACTTCACAGCCAAGTCCGGCACTTAATGGTCTTTGTAAATAGTATGGGCAATCTAAAAACATCTCATCAAATGCTTCTCCCTTCTGCCCCTAGCCCAACATTTCATCGGGCATATCTGCTTAAATCATGAACGGAAAGTGTTTTGAGGATTTGGGGCAAGTGTTGTGGAAATAATAATTAGCAGTTCTACAGCATTTGAGAGCATTCAAAGCAATTCCCGCACATTATCATCCATCACCACCATCATTTTATTTGCATGCCACCTTTCCATAGTTAAAACAATGCTCAAGGCGGCTTACGACATGACAAGATTTACATAATTACCAACGTAACAAAAGTCATAAGCAATATAGAAAACAAACCAAAAAGTACACTACCAAATGGAAAACAATTTCCACATAAATAATAAAATCTAAAACTAAGGATACAGCATTAATATCAGTTGCAATTTAAAAGGACATAGATAAAAAATAAAAGCAATTTTAAGAAAGCCCAGATGGAAGGAGGCCGGCAAGGTCCTTCAGGCCCTCAGCAGCAGGTGAGTCTCAGAATTCCCTGCAACAATCCTGTTATTTCCCACTTTGGACTGCACCAGCCTGTGGATTTGCAGAGGTGGACCAGGCTATGTGCCTCCTGCTGACGACAGAATCTGCAGAAGAGTGCCTGCGTTTTTTTGGGCGCACCCTACTGGGCTCCAGGCACCTGTCTCTTCTCTTACCTACCCCCCTCTATTTTGGGAAAGTTTGCACATATTTATACCTCCATAGGGACGTGGGTGGCGCTGTGGTCTAAACCACAGAGCCTAGGGCTTGCCGATAAGCAGGTCGGCGGTTTGAATCCCCGCGATGGAGTGAGCTCCCTTTCCTCGGTCCCTGCTCCTGCCAACCTTGCAGTTCGAAAGCACGTCAAAGTGTAAGTAGATAAATAGGTACTGCTGTGGCGGGAAGGTAAATGGCGTTTCCGTGCGCTGCTCAGGTTCGCAAGAAGCGGCTTAGTCATGCTGGCCACATGACCCGGAAGCTGTACGCCGGCTCCCTCGGCCAATAAAGCGAGATGAGCACCGCAACTCCAGAGTCGGCCACGACTGGACCTAATGGTCAGGGGTCCCTTTACCTTTACCTTTATACCTCCATAGGGACGTGGGTGGTGCTAAACCACAGAGACTAGGGCTTGCCGATCGGCAGGTCAGCGGTTCGAATCCCCGCAACGGGGTGAGCTCCTGTTGTTCGGTCTCTGCTCCTGCCCACCCAGCTGTTCGAAAGCACGTCAAAGTGCAAGTAGATAAATAGGTCCGGTGGGAAGGTAAACGGCGTTTCCGTGCATTGCTCTGGTTTGCCAGAAGCGGCTTAGTCATGCTGGCCACATGACCCGGAAGCTGTCTGCGGACAAATTCTGGCTCCCTTGGCCTACAGAGCGAGATGAGTGCGCAACCCCAGAGTTGTCCACAACTGGACCTAACAGTCAGGGGTACCTTTACCTTATACCTCCGTAGGTTTCTTTGCATCTAACCAGTGTGCTTAAAAAAAATGCAAATAGCATCAGCCTGTGTGTGTGTGTGCCAGGAATCATTGGGACTGCAGTGAAAATTTAACGCTTTCCTCTTCTCTTGTGGCCCCTTGGAAAATCTCCCCTTTTAAGCTGCTACTTGCATTAGGAGAAAAATCCCCATTGGCGTCAAGGTTCAGCTTCAGAGGAGGGATTTTCTTCATTATTGCCATGAGGAAGGAAAGAGGTAAACTTCCTTTCCATACCTTCCGCAATCAGACAATTACCATCCGGTGCCATCTTTTTTAAACAAAACAAAACCGCCAAGGCCCAATTATTAAAAATGAAAAATTAAAGGAGATTGAGCAGGCATGGCTCACAATGGATTGTCTGAAATGTGGGTAGTGTGTTCACAGCTTTTTCCATTTCTGAAAGTCTGCTCCCTTTCAACTCTACCCGACTCAAGAAAAGAATGTTAGATTTGACACAGAGACTTGGATGCTCCCTAGCCTAAATTTCCGGAAGTGGTTGCCAATCAAATTTCAAATTCACCCAAGCAGGAAGAAGGAAGAAAAAGTCACATCATTCATTTAACGGAACACCTTACAAACTTTTTTAAAAAATAATAATATGTGGGTCTGGTTGGTTGTCTTTGGTTGGCTGTAGTGAGATTTGTTTTTGTGCTTGAGTGGGTGTGGGTGTGAATTTTTGGATCAGATTAGTCTTCTTCTATTTGTCTCCATGTCAGTTTCAGTTTATTGGTTAGTTTTTCTAGTAAGGCTGTTTCTCATACTATTTGATACCATTGGTCCATGTTCACTGCTGACAGGTCTCTCCACTGTCTGACTATGCTGCTTCCAGCTGCTGAGAGTATGTGGGTTATGAGCTCTTTATAATATGAGTGGGCATTATTATCTTGGAAGGTATTCAGTAGGGCCAGTTCTGGGTTGAGTTCTAATACTTGCTTAGTTATTTTGCACATTTCTTGTATTACTGATGTCCAGAGTTGTATTTTGTGACATTCCCACCACATGTGGAGGTATGTGCCTGTGGAGGTGCATCCTCTCCAGTATTTTGGTGATGTTCCTGGGTGTATCAGCACTAGTTTCTGTGGTGTTAGGTACCATCTGTTTAAGAGTGAGTTCTTTTCTTTTCGCTGATATGGATTTAAAGGGAGGTTTAGATCACATTCTGGGATGCGGGTGGCGCTGTGGGTTAAACCACAGAGCCTAGGGCTTGCCGATCAGAAGGTCGGCGGTTTGAATCCCCGCGACGGGGTGAGCTCCTGTTGCTTCCCACTCCGGCGGGAAGGTAAACGGCGTTTCCGTGCGCTGCTCAGGTTCGCCAGAAGCAGCTTAGTTATGCTGGCCACATGACCCGGAAGCTGTACGCCGGCTCCCTCGGCCAATAAAGCGAGAAGAGTGCTGCAACCCCAGAGTCGGCCACGACTGGACCTAATGGTCAGGGGTCCCTTTACCTTTACCTTTAGATCACATTCTAGTCCATTGGGTGAGGTTAATCTCATAGCCTATGTCATCCTCTCATTGTTTTTTGATTATGTCAAGGGTTTTTTTGGGATTTTGGAGCAGTATTTTGTATATTGTGGATACCATCCCCTTGCCATGTCCCTTTGTTGTTAGGAGGAGGTTTTCAAAGGTTGTCAAAGGCCCAGTTGCTGCTGGTTTTACTACTGGATTGTTTAAGAGCATCTTACAGACTTGAGCAAAAGTTAACACAATTAGAAAAAGGGTGAACAAATCGTGCGCTGTTTTCATGCAGCATTGTTTAATTTTTGGCCGATGCAGCTGTCGCTGGAGAAAAGCACCTCAGAGTCTGATCCTGAAGCCATAAGCCACCATGGACTTATGGTATCTAGAAAGATGGGAATAAATGGGAATGTCTTCAACGGTCAGTTGACAGGGAACTTTTTGAAGAAGCTGCTTTCGGTCTTCTCCATGACAATGCCGTTCACGCTTCTCCAGAAACAGACTGTCTTCAAGGGGACCAGTATATAGCTCAACAAGTTTAGCATGCTAAGGAAAAGAATTCAAGCAATTGTCAATAAATAACAACATCACCGCCGATAATAAAACACAAAGAATTAAGCAACTATGAACTTAGGAAGTCCTTCGGGATTTGTACTTCTCTGGTTTTGCCATTCGGTTCTGCAGTGTGTAAAGCGGTATGAAAATCGCCAACAGAGATGCATCATATAAGGGAAATCGCTTTGCAAAATGGTGTGAAATGAGCTTTATCTGCGCTAGAGTTTATGAGAATGCATGGCGTGAACTCCTTATCCTGTGCAGTCAACAGGACACAGAATCAGAAGAAGCCTAATTTGGGGAGAAGATCCCACAGGGCAATTGCTTTCTTCAAAGAACTGCGATGTCACCAAAAGACCAACTCCAAACAACCTTTCTTTATATCTTAACATTGCCTCTGTGCTTTGGTCTTTGACATCTGAGATGTATGTTTTCAGCAGCCATCCTATTCCTGTGATTGTCATTTCCTTGAAAATGTTTTTAATATTGTAATTTAGATTGTAACATGCCCCGGGACCTTAGGACGAAGGGTGGGTAAGAAATAATAATAATAATAGTGATGAAGATGATGATGATGATGATGATGATGATAGAAAAGCTACAATGGTGGATAGGAGTGAACAATATATACATCATTCAACTTCCTGTATCAGGACATTATTATTATTATTATTATTATTATTATTAATAGAAAAGTTACAATGGAGGATATGATTGAACGATATATACATCATTCAGCTTCCTGTATTGGGATGCTTTTAACGTTTGACATTTTATTATGTTTTTATATGTGTTGGAAGCCGCCCAGAGTGGATGGGGCAACCCAGCCAGATGGGCAGGATATTAAAAAATAAAATTATTACATTTGAATGATGTCTATGTTAATGAGGAGAAATGCTCTCAAACTGCAGTGACTTCAACAGGTACTTTGTCGATGCTAAGTATCTTTCAAAAATTTGAGTCCTTCTTAAAATGAGAGTCTCCAAGGAAAAAATGTATTTCCCTTACCTTTAAAGCCATATCCCGATACTTCATATCTTGTTTCCAGGGCATCACGTAGAGCTTTGGAATCATTCCATGTCTGTACGAAAAGCTTGGCAAATGGCAATGAATCAGCCTGGAACATGACAGAGTTGGTTTTACACACACACACACAAACACACATCATGTGGATGTTGTTATTTAAATACAGAGGGGGGAGACGAACAACACAGAGGAGAACAATTCCCTTCCTTCCCACCCCTAACTGAACTTATCTATAAAGTGCTATTTATATGACAAAAAGAACCAGCACGTGGTTTAGTCATGGAGGTCCAGTTGTTAAGAGAGTTGGACCAGAGTGGAAAGGATGCAAGTTCAAGTCCCCACTTGGCCATGACCTTGGGCCTGCCACATTCCCTACCACAGGGTGGTTTTGCGCATAAGCAGAGGTGAAGAAACTATGGGGTCTTTGGAGGAAAGGTGGTGCCTATAAACGGAAAACAAACAAACAAATAAAGTCACATATTTACCCCTTTCCTTGGCAATGGTCCAGAATCAAATCACACAGTTAGGAAAGAAGTTAACCAAAATATTATTCCTGGCCTTAAACCCTGTCAAGTTTTGCCAGTTCCTGCATGAATCTTCTGGAATTAATCCATTTACTAGCCATGGATGTCTGCCCTTCGCATGATGTCAGGTGTAGAACAGCTGGGCGTGGCTTGCCCCAAATAGCTTGGCAACACAAATTTGGTCCATGAGCTGATGGTTAGCCCCCTTTATGTTATGCACCAACCTGGAACTAAAGGAATATCCGCCCCATATGTTGAAAGCACTGTGATACTGTTTCAAACTGTCATGGCTTCCCCCAAAGAATTCTGGGAGTTGTGGCTTGTGAAGGGTGCTGGCGGGTGTTAAGAGACACCCCATTTCCCCTCACGGAGCTTCAATTCTCAAGAGTGGTTGAGCAATCAAGCCCTCTTCCAAAGGAACTATAGTTCTGTGTGAGGAATAGGCAGTCGTCTAAAAACTGTCGGCACCCTTAACAAACTACAGCTTCTAGGATTCTTGGGGGGAAGGCATGGATGTTTAAAGCTGCACCATAAAGCTTTGAATGATGAGTAGACATGAAAAGGATTGCACAATCAGCCCGGTTTGGCAGGCCTGCTTTATTGTTAGTGTACTGGGAGAAGCAAAGATGGCCAGTATCGAAGCAATGATTCTTCAACATCAACTTCGTTGGACTGGTGCTGTCGTTTGGATGCCTGATTACCGTCTTCCAAAGCAACTACAGTGGTACCTCTGGATGGGAATGGGATCCGTTCCGGAGCCCCGTTCGCATCATGAGCAGAACGCAACCTGAGTCTATGCATGCGTGGGTCACGATTTGCCTCATCTGTGCATGCATGTGACATCATTCTGAGTGTCTGCGCATGCGTGAGCGGCGAAACCTGGAAGTAACCCATTTGAAAAGATTTAACCTGAAGCGTGTTTAACCCAAGATATGACCGTACAGTCATACCTCATGTTATGTCCGCTTCATGTTACGTTCTTTCAGGTTATGTCCCGTGGCGACCCAGAAGTACTGGAAAGGGTTACTTCCGGGTTTCACCACTCGGGCATGCACAGACGCGCAAAATGACGTCACACGCATGCACAAAAGCAACCCGCGCATGCGCAGACGCGCCACTGCGGGTTGCGTTCTTTTCATGTTGCGAATGGGACTCTGGAACAGATCCTGTTCGCAACCAGAGGTACCACTGTACTCTATTCTGAACTTAAAAATGGAAAGCGTAATGCCGGTGGTCAACAAAAGAGGTTTTAAGACAAGGCAAATCAGAAAAATATATAGTATAAACACAGACAATTGGGAAACACTGGCCTGCGAGCGCTCCAGTTGGAGAACAGCCTTTACCAAAGGTTTCATGGGCTTTGAAGACGCTCGAACTCAGGACAAGAAACATGCTAAGAGGACGGCACGCTTGGCAAACCCTCACCACGATCAACTCCCACTTGGAAACCTATGTCCCCACTGTGGAAGGATGGGTGGATCCAGAATTGGCCTCCACAGTCACTTACGGACTCACTGTTAAGACCGTGTTCATGGAAGACAATCTTACTCGGCTACGAGTGATTGCCAAAGAAGATTGTTAATCTTTAACATCACAACTTTCCTTTCCAAAATGGTTTACTGTGCTTGCTAGCCCATGGGGGGGTGGGGTGGGGAGGTGATCATGAATGCTCCTGCTGGAGATGAAGTCTCTCTCTTACCCTTTCAAGTCAGTATTGATTGCCTTTGAAACCAAATTGGGATTAGAGCCCTGTCTGGGCACAGCATTTGGGTTACTCATGCTGCCGCCGTTGTCACTGCTGCTTCTCTGGGCTGAGATCTGTGCAAACAGCCGGTCCCTGTGTGTGCCTAGGTGGAGATTATGATGCATCAGCCATTGTCAGGCTGATGACACTAGAGCAACAACAAGGAAAAATGTAATTTAAGAAATATCGGGAAGGGATCAGGTCCACCTGAAAACGGTGTGATTAGATAGATGTAGAAGAACATCATGATACAACTTCATGAAAGTGGACGAAGTTAGAAGGAAAGGCATTAATTAGGTTCCCTGGAGAGTCGCAAATACTTAATCAAAACTGCTTGAATTAAACTGTTCCTGGGAGTGTGAAGCTTTGGCCATGCCGACTACTGGTGGTTAATAAGAACCCCATGGGATACCACCTAAACAGCACCAAATCCAAGTGGAAGCTGCAAAGGAAGTTCCTCTGCCTTTGGCGCAGTTTGAATTCGGCGCCTTACGCTGTTGGCCACGTCCCGGCAGTGATCAGATAGACTCAAGAATTCCTGCTTGCTGTTTCGCGATCCCGCTTCTCCAAAGCGTGCCTTCCATAAGCTGAGAAAGGGACCTAGGTAAAGCTATGACGGTAAAGGAATGATCTTAACGTCTATGTTTCTCACCCTCGACATCATACGATAGCTTGTTTGGCTGGTTTCCCACCCCTGCTGTATGTCGGGGCTGGAGTCAGGTCCTCGACCAAGCAATTACTCACCAGAGGCCGGTGAAGTATGTGGGATGTGATCCATGAGAGGCAGTCAAGTACAACATTTCTTGTAATGCCAGAGAACACATGCGGGGGAATGTTTGGTCCAGCCAGTTTAAACTTCCTGTTCCTCCTGGCTGGAGCATCCTTCCTTATGCATGTGATAGAAGGTGGGCGTGACCTTACCTGTCCAGGTAATAAAAGGATGAGTCGCACAGCACCCCCCTTTTTTTCACCTCCTTCGTTTGACCAGCTTTTAGCTAGGACTGCTCTGGTAGCTCTCAGCTAGCAGGAGCACTGGGATTATCCCCCCATATGGGGTAGATCCACATGTACGTATTTGTAACTAAGTCTGCTTTCAAGAATCCAGCTGTGAACTGATGTGAGTAAACTTCTTTTATCATATTTGAATAAGATTGTGGAGTCTTTATTTTTTTTTTTAAGAGGGATTCAAGGGAACTTACCAGGAACGCACAATTCAATCTGAGACAGATTGAATTGTATAATAGTGAGAGGCTCACACGAGCCTGCAACCAGTTATCTGCTGTGCGTGAGAAGGGGAATGTAAACTCTGCGAAGTAAAGGAACTTGCTAGCACAAGTTAGGAAGGATATTAACAAACAACATATCCTCTCCTGCCACCCTGTACATTCCCACAAAGTTAACTCTTCCTTCAAGCAAACCACAGCTCAGGCCTAGCGCCCTCAGCAACTCTTTCAAGGAGTGTCTTCGCACAGCCACCCTCTGCTCAGCCTGTTTCTTTTATCTGTGTGTTCCAGGAGACCAGTGGAGAGGGGAGCTGGTCACAGCAGAAGGGGGAGACTCCCTGGATTCTTCAGCAGCCTGCCTCCACTCTGCCTCTTGGTCTCCCTCTGCTCCAGCCTCAGAGTCTGAACTGCTCTCTGCACAGCCTCTTCCTGCTCACTAAACCCCATTGCCACTTCTGCTGCTGACACCTCTTCTCAGTCTGCTCCCTCTTCTCCCTCTGAACAGCTCACCGTCATCCCACCACCAATTCCCTGGCTCTGACCCTCTTCTTCCCTAGGGGGTTCCCCAGCTGGTGCCTTCTCTGCATCCAGTCTGTGACACTGGACTAGACGGACCTTTGGTCTGATCCAGCAGTGCTCGTTGTGGGTACCCACATGCTCCTTTTCTACAATGCATTTGAATCATTGGATGCAAACCCATTCAAATGCATGGTCTGGTGAAGGAATCTGGGTAGCTGAGTTATGAAGAGAAAAACCCGGGTGATATCAGCTTGTTCCCCTCCTGGTCCCTATAACATTTCCTGCATGGACTGGATGCAATGGTGATTGCATGAGTGACCCAAGTACACTTGCTTTTTCTTTACTAAATATGCACAAGGAATTGTCCCCATCGTGCTCCCTACTCCCTATCAGACCACGGCCAAGAGCTGCTCTTTGCTTAAGGAAAAAACACACAATGGCCAACCATGTGATTCAAGTCACATCTAGCTTGCCCTTAGAAGTCTGGCAAAGCTGACAGTACAGGCTCCTTAAGTATGTTTATATCCATAGCCTTAATCAATTGTATCTTCTATAGTAGTGGCTAAAAATCTGTTATATTTATCCTGCTCACTGTATAAAATGCCATAAGAGACATTCACGCCTGAAGGGCTCACGCTCCAGAAACTAAGTAGATAAAATGGGTGTGCTAAACTCGAGCAAACGACAAGACAATATTGATCCGTTCCACAGACAGAGGCCTCTGGCCATCACCTATTTTATCAACTTTTCTTCCCCCTTTTGATCCCCGCAGCAATAGCTTAAAGAAGGATTAAAAGAATTCCAGGGCAATATGGTTCCCTTTTAAGTGCAATGGGAGTTTGTCTTGTTAGTTTCCCTGAGTACACCTGTCATGTCAAAAGGACTGCAAGGCAATAAAGGGAGACTACAGGAGTATGGGAAAATAAAATTTTGCCAAAGGCAGTTAAGTGATCAAATACTTTTTGACACAACGGGGGATTGAAACATGTGTGCTCAGTGCCATCTTCTCCTGCAATAACATTTCTTACCGTGATTCATTGTGCAGGTCTGAGCTGAGTAGTCAGGTACTCATAGAAACAGCATTGGAAGTGAAGAATCCATACATTGAGAATAAGCATACAATGCTGATTATTCTTGACTCCATAACCCCAACGCTGTGCTGTTTCACTTCCTATATTGTTTTTTAAGCCTCTTTCAAGCTCAGAGGTGGGGTGGGGTGGGGGGTTTAGAAATTAAACATTCGGTACACACCAAGTTTTATTAAAAAATCAAACTATCTTTTAATTCCTACAACTGAACATTAAACCATACATGAGAAACTCTGCTTTTGTCCTCTCAGAGTCTTTAAAAATGGGATATTTGCATGCCTATCATTATGGTTCAGGCAAATGTGTTGCTAGATTTTAACTGTTAAATCCCATGACCTTAAAGGAAATTATCTTAAACTGTGATGGAAAAATCGGGGATTTATATGTTCGGCCTCAGTTAAATGTTAAAATATTAAATAAAGCAAAAATAAAGTGCTCTTGGCAACTGCAGATGGCAAAATAGTTTTACTCCAATTAAGTAGTCTTAATTATGAAACAGGCTGTGGGGGTGATTCTTTTAGACTTCCTACACCCAGCATAAGGTTGCTAAGGATGCAGACTATTAACAGCCTTGGCAAATAACCCTACTTTACCAACACTGTAACGGTGTTTAGAGCAGCATTTCAGATAGTTTTCTAGCGAACAGCCTGCTTTCATGTGCATATTCCCAGAACAACAGAGGATTGTAGTCCCTAGGATGTTAAGGACTAGAGTTGCAAAATACCGATTAATAAATAAATGGAAAATTACCAAGACCACTGCAAAAGGATGTCCAACTTGAAGTATATGCAATAGTTATCTTTTAAGTACAGTACAACCATCTTATAGGTGAAGTTTGAATTCTCTACAATACGGTTTGAGAGAGCAATCCTTTATTAGCTGGCAATAACATGTCATTGTTTCCACATCCGGAACAGCAGTTTTAACTTAACATTTTGGAATGAAAACACAAAAATAAATTGGGGTTCTTTCACATAATACCCCATACGCGTGTGAGGTCATCTCGGATACCAGATACTAAGAAAAGAGCATTTCTATCCCAAGAAATTTAGTTACTGTGGTTATCTTTAGCCTTGTTGATCTTTAATGATCTATTGATAATTGGTATACTTGTTATTTGAGCAGCAACTCACAAAACAATTAAGTCAGTGTAGTCAAGATTTAAGGCAATTTAGTGCCATGAATTTTCAGCGTAGGTGATATGCAGCAGACTGTTAGACCCTCTGAAGGCTATCAGCAGACCACAGCCTAAGCCTCAACAACCCTTTCGTGAAATTGTTGGGTATTAACACAAAAATACAGAGGAGAATGAGCCAAAAAGTCAGCCTGGAAAAGTTCAGAAGGGCTTTTTTTCACCCGACAAATTGTACTGTGCACAACTGCCGTGTACAACACAACACTTGCATGTAGCTAAACTTTGCAACTCAGACCCCCCCCCCCCCGGAGATAATGAAGCAAACAAAAATATGCATTTAGAAAGAGAACTGTAGTCCTAAATGGTAACCAAGAATCTTGAGTCTGGCCTACTGGGGGCTGCAATTCTGTACCCAGTTACATTGTGTTCAACGCCCAACAGATTTCAGTGGTACTTAAGTACATGTAATTTGACACAATATCACACCATTAGCACAAAACTCATCAGCATAACTAAAAGTGTGGTGCAGTAAGTCCATTTGTCTTACTGCACAATATTCAAAAATGGGATAAGAGTTCTGCAAATTTTTGCATCTACCGCTTCAGATAGGGAAAAAAAAATCCCAGATACTTTGTCATTAAAACAAAACATAAATCAGAACATTCCTTACAATCTTCTAGAGAAAACAGTCTCGTGGATAGTAATGCACATTCAGACAAAGGACACCCAATACCTCTGCACTGCATTCCTTCCTATTATTAATGCTGCACCTAAAGAGACATTTTCAGTAATTTGCAAGCATTTGGAATACCGTATTAGAAAAATGTTCCCAAACTCTGCAACCATGAACACCATATTATAAATGCTTCCATGGCAGATTAAATGTCCAAGTGTGGTATGTCACTTTGTTGCATATTACCTTTAGTTAAATAATACAGAAAACATTTCTATGCAGTTAGCAGGCGCCAGACATGAGCCTTACTCTGGAATGAGAATACTCAGTTTTGCTCTTACCTAGAAACTATCCCACAGGTGAGGGAACAAAGCCTAACTAGGTGCTGAGTTATATCACAAAGGAGATAGCGGATCAAAGTATTTTCATGATCTAAATCAAACTGAAAACTCAAGTATGGACACTAAGTTAGAAAACAAAGGCCCTCTTCAGTATACAACCATCGCCACTAATGAAAACAAGACGTAGTCTTAATATAAAAACTGCAGTTTAATATATCTCACAAAAAGCATGGTCTCTCAAGTACCCGATGCATTAAAAGAGATCCACGTCGTGAGTGTGATCAATTTCAATAGCATCTTCAGGATCCAGTTTCATTTCTCCATGTCCTTCCTGCAAATCATCCAGTGAAGCCAATGCCTCATTTGTATCACTAGCAAAAGTCTCTCTCGAGGCATCATCATATTCTTGAAGGTTGAGCCCTTTAATAGCTTTCTTCATCTTTTTCCCCAGGACTTGAATTCTCCTCTTCTTTGCTGCTTTCTTGTTCTCATACTCCTTCTGGTTTTCAATATAGAAGATTTCCTTCAAAGAGAATGTTAACACTCCATGAAGTGCTGAGGAATAATAGGCAATGTCACCTTTCAGAAACCACCACTTTCCTTCGCTAACCTTTAAACTAGAGATGAAAGCTAACTGTATGACAAAAGAACAAAAATCTCTTTTGAAGAATGCCATATCCTTTCAAATGCTGCTACAGAATATTTGAAAATTAAGACTTCAGCTCCCTAAAGTGAGAGAGGTGCTCTATTTTAAACAGCTGCAAGTCTGCCTGTCCAGAATACAGAAAGGGCTGTTTCTGAAGCCCATCACCGCTACAGTCATTTGTTACATATTTTGCAGTTAGAAGGAAGATTTCAATTTTATGATTTCACTGATTTACTAATAGACTAGGAAAGAAACAGGGAAATATGATGATTTTTTGGATTATGAAAAATGTTAGGAGGTATTTTTTTACTGTAATGTTTGAAGAGCAAACCATCAGAGATACAGTTGTAAGCTACAAATGCTGAGACTGCTAAAAAGGCCTGAGGCCATCTTGTCTGTGAGTCCTGGAAGACCTGTTCCCTACCCCTGCAGATTTTTTTGTACCTAGCCTGGGAAGGTGGGGCCCAGACTGACTCCAGCTACAAAAGCTGAGGCTGCTGAACAAACTCTTGGGCTGGGGGGTTGTTTAAGGGGGGGGAGTTGTTCGATGGGAGGGAATGGTTGTTACTTTTCTTGTATCTAAATAATGATGATAATAATGAAGATGATAATAATAATAATAATAACAACAACAACATTATTATTACTATTATTATTATTATTATTATTATTACTATTATTATTCCGCCCATCTGAGTGGGTTGCCCCAACCACTCTGGGCGGCTTCCAACACATATAAAAACATAACAGCAAACATTAAAAACTTCCCCATACAGGGCTGCCTTCAGGTCTCTTCTAAATGTCAAATAGTTGTTTATTTCCTTAACATATTGATGGGAGGGCAATCCACAGGGCGGGCGCAACTACTGAGAAGGCCCTCTGCCTGGTTCCCTGTAACCTCCTCACCTCTTGCAACGAGGGAACCAGCAGAAGACCCTTAGAGCTGGACCTCAGTATCCGTGATGAACAATGGGGGTGGAGACTGTTTAGGGCTTTAAAGGTCTGCACCAACACTTTGAACTTTGCTCAGAAAGCATAATTTTAATAAGAATATTAAAAATGTGATCTTTAAAGAACAGCTGGCTTAACGGGCTGTCCATTTTCTACTTTAGAAGATGTATAAATCGAAATCAGAAGCCAGCAAGAAGAGATATACTTTAAACATTCTCATTTAACATTTGCTTTTCAAAGTAATCTAAAAATGTGCTGTTTTTAAATGGTTTACATATATTATGTTATTTACCTTGATTTGTTCTCCAGTTACACTAGGTGTGTTTTTCAGCAAGTTTAAATAAACTCCTCCTGGTGTTCTTCTTCTAGTACCATTCTGCATAACGGAAAAAGAAAACTTTTTAAAGCTTTCTACAGATATAACAGCTGCAATCCTATACGCTGTTCAACTCAATAGGACTTGCTGCTGTTCCTCAAAAACTCAAAATATTTATAAGAAGTTGTGCACAGAACCCTTGGAGCAAAGATCATGTCAAAAAAAATTTTTTAACAGGGCTCTATATTTGTTAAAAGATTAAGTATGTAGGCTGAAAAAGCAATTATTTCCTACCACTATGAAAAGGCCTCCATTTTGTTCCACTTCAGCTGTTTCCATCAGTAGTTCAATAGATTTTTTCTTCCCAATGATTTTCACAACCCGTACGATCAGATCCTTCTTTGGCTCACAAAGCCTAAAAGGAGAAGGGAAATTCTATGAAAACTGGAAACCCTTGCATTCTGTAACCTGCTTGAATGGCAAAACATAATTATGAACAAATGTACCCACTGTTACAAGCTTAGCACTATCTGACACTCGCCTAGCATTGCTGTAGTGAAGGCTCGCTGTGTTGAGTTTTGGGAGGAAGGGTGGAATATATCTGAATTGGTAATATTTTTAAAAACTGAATTGTCAGCCTGTACTTTCTACTTTTAATTTCCCTTGACCTTACTGCTTACCATCACTTACTCCCCCAATTTTACACACACTCCCCGCTAAGGATAACCTTCCAAGCAGGTGGGAGTGCAACCCAAAATTATCTTTAGTCCTTTGAATATGGTTTAAGAATGTTTTCAGTTATTGGGAATTACAGACAGACACCTATTTTAACTGAGTATTACCAGCTATCAAATTATGAGGGTAAAGAATGGTCCAATGATAATTATATGGTCTAGTGGAACTTTTTACCTTGAAACTTTAATTTTATAAAGTCTCATTCTCTGGAGCCTAAAAGCATAGGAGGCACAATGGCTAATTTGCTCCAAATTCCACATGGGACAGCTGTGCCCTCTGCAACAACTGCAAACCAAGCAAACAGAAAGACTGCATCGTCCACAGCACCCGTTGGCCTCATAAGTATCTTCTAAAGGGGGGGGGGGCAGGGAACCATCATGTTCTCTTCCTGACAAAGTACAAAACCGCAAAATTTTACAACTGTATCAGTCCAAGGCCACAGTGGGAAACCAGAAGCACACAGCCGATAAACCAGAATTAAAAAGATAATGCCATTAAAACGTTTACACATGCACAGACTCAATAATCATGACAGACAAACTGTAATTCTGTTTGTTCACATTACTTTTGGTTTCTTTTGATATAAATTCATGCTTTTCTCCAGTTAACCACCGCCCTGGTAATTTCACCAACCCCATGCAATTGTCTAGGACACAGATTTGATCTAAAGAGGAGAAAACGAGATAGTACCAAAATGGGTCCAACGTGCATTCCTAACTTCTCACAGTGGTTTTTTAGTTGTGTCTAAGTAAATCAAGATATATTTCAAGCATATTCTATGGCTGTGCAGCGGAGGTGCCACACAATTCATGTGAATAGCACACATTTTCAGGGTGAGTCTAAACAGCTAGATTTTATCAGTGGGGTTGTACTGAGTAATTCTTGGATGGCTATATAAACCTGTAATATTTTGACTGAATATCTGGGCGACTAGGAGACTTCATGCAAATAAACATTATGAACTGGGGTTCTGCTTTGGGGAAGGGCTGTAGAATATGCTTAGTATGCAGAGGCTCCCAGGTTCAACTTTACTCACAAGATCAAATTATTCAGTCAGTTTTAGGTAGAAGCCAAAGCATTTGTCCGTCCAGTCACCATGAATTGAAACAGGAACCTCAGAACTCTGATTTCACACAATGACTAAAAACGTTGGCAGGTGGGAGCAGCCAGACTGGCTCAGTCACAGAAACTGCTTACAAGGGTACCTGCATATTTTGCTAAAGACTTGGTTTCTTTTTAAACGGAATCTCAAGGATCTGGGATCCCTGAGCCAATGAAAGCATGGCACTGGCGGGTTGGTCACCCGGTAATAGCTTTTCTTTAGTACCGTTATTTTTTAAAAAATAAAATAAACACCCAATGTCCCTCAAGTTTTGTTATTGCGTAAGGTGACATTTATTGAAATTCTGATGAGGGTGTATTAAAAGATCAAAATCTTACCGGTAGGCAATTTCATCTGCCACTTTTTCCTCAGGATCATCCTCAGTAATTTCATACCTCCCTTTGTAATTCATTTCTTGTCTTTCACCCAATCTGTCCTTAACAGGCCGTTTCCGTTTCAAGAGGCCTTGTCCAATTTCCTCCTCCTCTTCCTCCTTTGGCAATGTCTTTTTGTCATCCTGCATATATTCATCTAACTCTTTGTCTAAAGATTCAGCCACTTCTGGCTCAGATTCTTTCATCAGCTTTTTCGCCAACAAGTAATTGTAAGTCTCTGATGCCCGGCTCCTATCAATGCTTCCCTCCATCCCTAGAATCCCAAGTTCTGAGGCCACTGCATCTTGGTTCTGCTCCTGAAGCACTGCACCCCAGATGTTGTTGATCTTTTTACCCCCTACAGTAATCTGTTTCTGAGGGATCGGGCCAAAATTGAAAGGCTCTGGTTTAGCAGGAGGAAGATTAGAACATTTCTGTCGCTTCCGCTTCCACAGACAGCTGTCTTCATCTGAATCCGAGAAGCTCTCGTCACTGGAGTCCAAACTTTTGGTTGTGCGGTAAGGGACACTTGGTGCACAGGGGGGAATGCCAGTTGGAAAAGATCTGGCTGAGTTGATATCATGCTGTTTCTGAAATGTAAAGAGAAAGAAAGACGGATGTTTGCTGCCGTTGTTAAAAAAGAAACATTTTATTGTGCACTAATTTGCCACCTTATAGGGGATTTTTTGGGGTGCAAAACTTCCCAAGGCAAACTAGAGTGTACTAAGCCTCCTCTCTCATCATTTTACTTTTGACACTTGCATGCTGCTCAATAGCATGTTTCTCTGGGAAGCTTACAATAAATTAAAATAAGTTTAAAACGAAACAAAAAACCAAAAGCTACATAAATGCAAACACAAAACTCATTGCACCCCCAAAATCAAAACAAAGATTTAAAATTGTATTATCCACAAGAAGACAGGCACTAGAGCAGGAAAGGCTTGAGGTCCTCAAACAGGATACACAGTCTTTCAGGAGAGTAAAAAAAAGGGGGAGAACACCCATCTGTCCAGGTCCCCACTGACATAGGATCTGAGCCCATCTCTCTCCTCTCAGTCTGACCATAGGCAAATTGGAAGCAGGGCGGTGCCAATATTCAATTTAGAGCCTCTGACACTCCGCTTCTTGTTCATTTTCTCCAAGCTTCTCATGTGTATCAGCATGCCAAATAAGAATGAATCGCTAGAAAATTGTGATCAAGATTCAAGGCAAAGCTCAGTTCCAGTTCTCTCTCTCACACACCTCTTTAACCTTTAAGCGACGGTACTCCAATTTGAACGGAACAGGTATTGAATTTCAAAGTGACTTACAGTATTGAATAAAGAATCAGCTTTCACCCCCTCCTTTCCAACTGGTCAGTTAAAACGTTATAAACTTCTGAGTACCATTCCAAGTGCACGAGAACAGCCCTGCTAGATCAGGCCAGTGGCCCATCTAATCCAGCCTCCTGTTCTCATAGACGGATGCTCTTCAGAAACTGGCAATCGGGACCTGAGCACAAGAGCACTCTACCGGACTGCAGTTTACTGGTGTTCAGGCGCAATACTACCTCCAACAGTAGAGAGAGAACGCAGCCATCCTGTTTAGTGGCCATTGCTAGTCTTCTCCTCCATGAATTTTGTCTCAGCTTCTTTTTAAAACTATCTAAGCTGATAGCACCAGAACCCTGTGGGAGCGATTTCCATAGCTCAAATATGCCCTGAAGAATTACATTATTTCACATGATTCTGCTTGCATTCAGCTACATTGGATGACCATGAGTTCTAGTACAGTCATACCTTGGGTTGAGCGCTTTCGGGTTGCGCTCCGCGGCAACCCCGAAATAACAGAGCACATTACTTCCGGGTTTCACCGCTCGCACATGTGCAGACGCTCAAAATGATGTCACGCACAAGCGCGGAAGTGGCAAAACGCGACCCGCGCATGCGCCGTTGCATCTTACATTCCATTCAGGATGCGAACGGGGCTCCGGAACAGATCCCGTTCGCATCCCGAGGTACCACTGTACTATGAAAGAGAGAAATGTTTCTCTATTCACTGTCTCAATCTAGCAACATCTGAGGACACAAGGCTCACGCACACTGGGTTAGAACATTTTTGCTGCTCTTGCACACTTCTAGGCACTTTTATTTGGAAGGAATCCTCCTTTGAATCATTGGAACTTTCATTCAAAGAAATATGTTCATTGACTGCCCTGTAATTGGCTTTGGCAAGTTAGGCCTTAATCTAACTTTTTTCATGACATAGCTTTAAGGTTAAAATACCACACTGATTTGTGGCCTTCTCTTCGAAGCTCAAATAAATTCACCCACCACCAAGCTTCCAAGTACCTAAGGAGGCTAAAAACCGCAGTGGATTGGTTTAAATCATCAGAGGGGAAATGGGCCAATTGAAAAAACTGATTTAAAATGGGAAATTAATACATTTCCAGGGAAAGTGTGCATATCAAGTGATTGCTGCAATGATTAGAACAAATTGGCTGGAAACTATTTAGAGTCTTACAAAACCCAGAAGCATACAGTAATGCGAACCTTACCCTCTGCATGCATTGCAGAATCTTATCTGCTTAACAAGAAACAAATTTCTGTTTAGCTCTCTGACTACACATGCAAGGACACAAAGTATAATCACTTTCTTGAATGTTAAGCTTTCGATTCCACAAACTATTATTTGCAACTAGGATCAAATTAGTAAGACAACAAGTCTTGCTTCCATCCACAGCAGAAGTTGGCTACCCCAAGCCTGCTTGTGGCCAGATATAAGGCATGACCCTAGCCATAGAGTATGGTGCAGAAAGCATTATTCCTATGCTGTAGGCACACTTGTAAGGAACGCGGGTGGCGCTGTGGGTTAAACCACAGAGCCTAGGGCTTGCCGATCAGAAGGTTGGCGGTTCGAATCCCCGCAATGGGGTGAGCTCCTGTTGCTCGGTCCCTGCTCCTGCCAACCTAGCAGTTCGAAAGCACATCAAAGTGCAAGTAGATAAATAAGTACCGCTCTGGCGGGAAGGTAAACGGCGTTTCCGTGCGCTGCTCTGGTTCGCCAGAAGCGGCTTAGTCATGCTGGCCACATGACCCGGAAGCTGTATGCCGGCTCCCTCGGCCAATAAAGCGAGATGAGCGCCGCAACCCCAGAGTCGGTCACGACTAGACCTAAGGGTCCCTTTACCTTTACCTTAAGGCACACTTGTCACCCAATCACATAGCATGGGTATGCATAGCTGCTTTCTTGGCAACTCTTATTTCTTTTTGTGACAGCTTGCACAAAAGCACAGGATTTGTGTGGAGTCACGGGGGAAGAATACCGGGGTCAATGAGGCTCCTGACCCCTCTTACTGGCTTTGCCCGTGCCCTGTGCTGATATGTGGGTCCCAACTATTTTCCTCTTGGTGAAATGCTGCTCTCAACTTCTGCTTTTGTTTTATCAAATTTCAAATGCTTAATAATTTTACTTTTATCTAAAAAACACACACCTGTTTTGATGCACCCTATTGAAAATTCACAGTCCAGATTCCTGAATGACAATACAGTCTTACGTAAAGAATGTACGTCTTGTCTCTTTCTGACACCTGGAGGAACTTCAGAAACTTAGCTATTGCCATGTATCATCTGGAAGGTTTACATATAAACACAGCATATAAATATTTCACCTATTAGATATACTATGAGATTTATACATATATTGCACATTTGCTGTTTATTTGGTTCACTTCAACAGAAGGCTGCTTTCAGACTATCTTGGTCACATAATGAAATATTTAACTGTCTTGTGTTTGAAGGATATCTGATAGTGTGACCAGCACATTTCAGCAGAGCCTAAATTCTTGAGTTCTACTGCTACTCAAGGCCTCAGTGTCACAGTCAGATTTTAGGGGAAATGTTGAAAGCTCAAACAAGAGAAGCACCCCATTTTTGTTATCACAGAGCATTACCCAGTGTTGTTTTACAAAAACCTAGCATAGATACATGCATAGAGACTAAAAAGACAAATATAAAAAGCAAGCAAAGTGAGCACATTGCAGTTTTAAACGATTAGGTGAGGAGCCTGTGGCCCTCCAGATGTTGTTAGACTACAGCTCCCATCAACCTGATCATTCACGGTAATAACTGTGGCTGATGAGAGTTGCAGTCCAACAATATTCCTTCATGTAAACATGCTAGCTTTCTAACGAGGAGAGCAGAATGAAAGACTAGGAGAGGTAGAATAATACACCACTGACTCCACTTTAGCCACCAGCCCAAAAACTATCAGTGTTATGATCAGCTTACAGCAAGTTGCCCTTGCAAAGTGTAAACATGCATGTGGCTATTTGAAAGGCCCACACTGACCTGACTTTCTAAGCGGAAGAATTTTCAGTTTAGCTACTGTAGTCAAGGTCTGCTTTGTATTAACAGTCCTCAGCAAGTCTGGCACCACATTTCCACTGGGTTAGCTCTGCCAACAGCAGAACCGGGTCAAAATTTTGGCGGGAGAAAGGAAAATTGCTAACATTCACAAAAGGTTCAAGTAATAGGTCTTTCAAGTGCAGCCAATTGAGCTTTGTTGGGCTTGGGCACAGCCCTCTAGGTGCAGGCAGTAGTCAGCTACATCATCTGGCGCAGGAATGTATGGCCTTTGTGGTGCAATCTGAAAACACCCATACCCTGACACCCCAGCTTGTGTGTAGAGGTTCAATTCAACAAAGCCCAGCAGCAGCTGGTTTCCACAAATGGGTGTGGGAAGAAATGGCCATGGGTCCAAAAATTTCACAGCAATACACTGTCTGAATTTGAGTGCATAGATGTTATCAGTCCTCCTCCAGCCTCTGCCCATCCCCAGGTACTAGGACCACTTCCCATAGACAGAAATGTAGAAATACTAAGCTCAGATTTATAAGCACCATCTCCCACATGTGGCATAAAGTATACATCCATAAGTAAACACGCCTATTTCTATAATCCTTCCACCCCTTTCTGAGGCTGAAAGCATGTAAAAACTGAGTACATGCCTATGGAATATCAAATGTATCACTGATTTCTACTGGATGTATAATATTTCTATGCTGAGCTTTGAAACAGTGTGGATCTTCACAAAAAATAGCATTATCTTGTTAGTTTTGATAATTTTATGTAAAATACGTAAGAGTTCTACCACATTTTTTACTTAGCCATACCAGAGGTGATGGTAATATAATGATGAGTATCATTTGCTCTACAGAAACTAGCTGACAAGTCCAGAAGCTTGGAAAATAAATGATGCAGATTTCTATTTATTTTAGTTCCAAACACACGTCAGCTGACCAATTTGGCGTATGCTGAAAGCTTTGGTTGAATACCTTTCAGGAAAGTGAGTCGCCTCTACTTCATTACACCATTATTCTCTTTCCTATCTAATGATAGACAAAAGCAGCACAGGCCTAAATATACAAGCCAAACTTTGATACAGAGGTAGTTTGAACGCACTGTTTGAAATCTCTTTTAGGACATCTCTAAACACAAGGAGAATTTGGTGGCAATCTTGTTAAGAACAGTTAATGCAGACAAACACTAATTATAATAGTTTGTTTTAAGTTAGAAAGCCAAACATTGTTTTAAGTTAGAAAACCAAACATTGTTTTACGTTAGAAAGCCAGGTCAATGTGGCCCTCGAAACAGCCACACACAGAGTTGTTCCTTTCAAGTACAAACTGCCGTAAGCAAATCAAGAAGGCTTGGTCTGGGGGGGAAATTAAGACCATGTCTGCTTCCATATATCGTTAGAGAGCCATCACTGTCTAGTGCCAAGTGTCCCCAAAACAGACGTCCATACATGTGTCCACAGAGGCCTAGTCTGGCAACCACAGGTTCCCCTGCTTCTGCTGAAGCCTGAAAGAAACATTATATTGTTGCCAACAGAATAGGATGCAGAGTGTGCTTGGTTGCAGGAGATTTGTGTGGCGGCAGCCCATGGCAGTTCCCCTGATTTACAAATGTTCATGCAGGCCCCCAAAGTTTGGAGACTCCTGGTCTAGTAGAGACAACTAGATCTGGATCAAGGAGAAATGAGCCCAAGGTGGTTCTGTCCGGCTTGGTGAGGGAGGCGTGAGGCTCAGATGAATCCAAGATCCGTCCTGCCACCTTCCCAATGCCCATCTGGCTTTCGGAAGGAGCCAGGAGGGCTCCAGCATCCCATCCGAGCCCTGGCACCTCCTTCCCAAAGCCTGGGAAACTCCTGACCGGCTTAGGGAGGGAGGCGCGAGGCTCACATACACAACATCAGGATATCACATGCATGATGTTGCCCCACCCCCCTCACAACCTGGCACCTCTGGCCCGCAACTGCTCCTCCATGGAAAATTTCACCGCACACGTTGTTGCACCCTCGGCTTAAGGCAGGCACCCCCAAACTTCAGCCCTCCAGATGTATTAGACTACAATTCCCATCATCCCTGACCACTGGTCCTATTAGTTGGGATCATGGGTGCCGTTTAAGGTGCTGTTTGGGCCTCCCAGCTTCCCCATCTCCTGTTTCTAGGCGTCGCTTGCGCATGGGAAAACGGGCCAGACCCCAGGATCTCCCCGGCAGGCACCTCCAGATGGTGGTGACGTCAGGCGCCATCCCGCCAGCAGCCCGGGGCAAAATGCGCCTGGCGAATTTCGAACGCCGCTGACGGGCTCCGGCGAACGCTTGCGAGGAGCAGCATCTCTTGCCCTTGGCCGCCGCGGAGGCAAAAGCGAAACGCAGCGGGGAAGGCCGCAAGCCGGGGCCGTCCCCTCGCTCGCTTCGCCGCGGCTTTTTCCTCAGGAAAGAGAGCGCGGGGCTGCTCTGGGCCTCCGCCGCCCAGGCGGACCCGAGCCTACGGGGAAAGAAGCGGTCGCCGCCGGGCAGCGGCCTCACCTGCGAGGGGCTCCTGGCGGAGGCGGGCATTTCGCAGTCGGAGTCCGAGATCTCCCCGTCCTCCTCCATCCCGCGAGCCTCCAGCGCCATCTTTCCCGGCTCCTCAGCCAGCGCGGGAGGAGCGCGCGGGAAAAGGCCCGGCCTCAGCCGAGCCAGGACTACGGCGCCCACAATGCTTTGCGCCGGGAGGGGCGGCGAACGGCGGGACCAGCCTTCCGAGAGGCATGCTGGGACTTGTAGTCCGAGCCTTGCCGCTTTCGTCGCTGTGGGAAAGACTACGCCACCTGACCTGAGAGGGGGAGTGGCAGGGGGGAAAGCAATAGAGACTACGCTCGTACTTTCGTAAAGCAAGGAAATGTTTAATAAAAATTATATAATTAAAAACAAAAACCAGGCACACGCGAACGACAGATACCGAAGTGTAACGGACTCAGCGTGACCCGCTCCATATTTCCTTCACAAAGATGTAAGGGCTAAATGTAGCTCTATGCATCCATCTAGGAACAAAGACACTGGAACAAGAGAAATGCCTCGAGAGAGAGATGTTTATAAAAGAATGTGTCCAGTTGGATCTAACTATACAGCATACCCTCCAACATTTCTCCGATGAAAATAGGAACGTCCTATTCTATTACAGTGGTGCCCCGCAAGACAAATGCCTCGCAAGACGGAAAACCCGCTAGACGAAAGGGTTTTCCGTTTTGGAGGTGCTTCGCAAAACGAATTTCCTATGTGCTTGCTTCGCAAGACGAAAATGTCTTGCGAGTTCCTGCGGGGGTTTTTTCCTTCCCCCCCCCTTTTCCCAAGCCGCTAAACCGCTTATCAGCTGATCCTTAAGCCGCTTAACAGCTGATCCTTAAGCCGCTTATCAGCTGATCCTTAAGCCGCTTATCAGCTGATCCTTAAGCCGCTTATCAGCTGATCCGCTAAGCCGCTAATACTGTAGCGCTAAACTGCTAATGGGCTTGCTTCGCAAGACGAAAAAACCCGCAAGACGAAGAGACTCGCAGAACGGATTCTTTTCGTCTTGCGAGGCACCACTGGATTATTATTGTTGCTGCTGTTAGTGTTATGTACTGAAGTTCTCACCCTGGGCCAGCAGGGGGATAGTGTAGATAGTTTTCACTCAGGTCCACGTCAGTTATTTTAGGCGGGAAACCCTGGGTTGTTGTTGCTACAATGTTGACAGCCGGCTGCCTATAAAAGCAGGCCGGCTAAGCTGTTTGCTGTTCAGTTCTGTCCAGCTTACAAATAAAGAGCTGCTCTGGAGAAATCGCTGTGTCGTCTGCTATGTTCGCCCACAACCTAACAGTTAGTTTTTTACTATTATAACAATAACCGTGTCTGGGTTGCACCAGCCACTCTGGTAAGTTTCCAACACATATAAAAATATAATAAACATTTTAAAAACTTCCTTATCAAAGGCTGCCTTCAGATGTCCTCTAAAGGTTGTGTGGTTACTTATCTCCTTGGCTCAGGGGTCACATAACTTAACACCCTCTAATATTTCTTCTATTATTATTATTATTATACACGTGACTGTGTTGCCCCCAGCCACTCTGGGCAGCTTCTAACATATATAAAAACATAATAAAACAAACCTTTAAAAGCTTCCCTATTCAAGGCTGCCTTCAGATATCTTCTAAAAGTCATATAGTTACTTATTTCCTTGGCTCAGGGGTCACAAAATTCCATAGCCTCCATCATTTCTCCGATGAAAATAGGGACGTCCTATTCTATAATAATAATAATAATAATCTGCACATCTGGCTGGATTGCCCCAGCCACTCTGGGCAGCCTCCAACATATATAAAAACATAATAAAACATTAAACTTCCCTATACAGGGCTGCCTTCAGATATCTTCTAAAGGTTGTCTAGTTACTTGTCTCCTTGGCTTGGGGGTTGTTGTTGCATAACTCCATAGCTTCCCACATTTCTCCCATAAAAATAGGGCTGTCCTATTCTGTTGTTGTTGTTGTTACACTCTGCACATCTGACTGGGTTGCCCCAGCCACTGGGCAGCTTCCAACATATATAAAAACATAATAAAACATTAAACCGTTAAAAACTTCCCCATCCAAGGCTGCCTTCAGATGTCTTCCAAAGGTTGTCTAGTTACTGATTTCCTTGGCTCAGGAGTCACAAAATTCCATAGCCTCCAACATTTTTCCGATACAGATAGGGTCATCCTATTCTATTCTTCTTCTTCCTCTTCCTCTTCTTCTTCTTCTTCTTCTTCTTATTATTATGAGGCATCTGATCAAGGCCTGTATTTTAAAATGAGCTTAAAGATATATTTGCAAATGTTTGTATGTTTCATGCCAGGCAGAAACCAGCTGGCTAAGTACTTTGGCAGTTGTTTATCTTCCTGCTCTCCTGAACAAGGGCCCCCCTGATTTATAGCAGTAGCAGGAGACAAGTTTCTCAAAGTTGTAAAAGGAAATTACAGGCTGGGAGCAAATGTTACACTGACCCTACATATTACAGAATACAATCAAGCTGCAAAAACACTAATTAAGAGTTGGTAAATAGTAAGATTTATTGTTTAACAGAAAATAATACCATGTGCCTCCCATCAGACTCTAGCCATATTTTCCTAAGGTTTAAGGTATACTGAGAGAGTTAAAGGGCAATAAATTTTGGGAAGAGCTAATGGGAAAAGCAGCTGGCTGGGAAAGGGGGGTGTAAACTGAAGAGGCTTCTTTTGAAGCTGTTTTTACTGAGTTCCTTTTTACTTTGCAAAGGCCTTTTCTTCTAAAAAGCTATCTATGTTATGTATGAGATTTGTTGGCTTAATGTAATTATGCAAAGGATTTAGAAAGTAAGAAATGTTAGATTCTTATGTTAGATTCTTATTTCATTGATGGTGTGTGAGAATGTGAACCCAAGATCTCTGTTTAGATAGAATTTAATACCATGAGCCATTTGTTTTAGCCATTTGTTTTGGAATGCAGGGGCAACAGGGGCAAAAGGTGATCTGGTAATTAAGGTGCCTTGTCGAGGCAAATGTAAGATATATGGCTACTTGTCTGCCATTTATGGATAGAAGGAAATATAGCTCTTTGTCTCCCATAAAAGGTAATAGGAAATGGGTGTATCTTTTATGATTGGTTCTAGCAAACAGCCAATAGGAATTTCAACCAGGCTGATTGGACAGAGGCAGCCATAGGAGGAGCAAGGGGGCTGGGCTGAGGAAATATAAGTGCTGGCCATCAGGGCTGGAGGGGGCAGAGCTTTGGTAACCATATACCACTGTGCCTATCATTTATTTGTCTGACAAATAAATTATTATTTTAATTTCTCTATTGCTGCGTTGAATATTTCATTCCAGCTAAGCGTTAACCACGAGCAGGGTGCTACAATTATTTTCCGCACATCTGACTGGGTTGCCCCAGCCACACTGGGCAGCTTCCAACATATATAAAAACATGATGAAATTTTAAACATTAAACTTCTCTATCCTAAGCTGCCTTCAGATGTCTTCCAAAGGTTGTCCAGTTACTCATCTCCTTGGCTTGGCGGTCACGTAACTCCATAGCCTGCGACATTTCCCCAATGAAAACAGGGACATCCTAAGCATGGGTGTCCCCTAAATCAATACAAATCTGAGGTTCTGCCCCTCCCCAACAAAAGCCAGCCATCCCCAACAAAAATCTTGGCTCCGCCCATGGTCCTAAGGAAATGTGGGACATCCCAGGATCCAATTAGAAACTGGGGCGGTTTCTCTAAATCCAGGGCTATCTCTGGAAAATAGGGGCACTTGGAGGGTCTGAGATCTGCAGCTTTTACCAGAGGCCCAAAGGGGGCCGTTGCCCTCCCAATCAAGTAAATAAATTTAAGAATACTTAACTAAAAGTAAAACTACAAAAATAAAACTTAAAGTTAACTCTTTTGGGGGAGGTGTTATTGGGTTGTTGTTTTTATTTTAATTAGATATATTGTGGTTTTTATGTTAATCTTTTCTGTTAACAGCCCTGAGACCTCCGGGCAGAATATAAATTCAAATTAATAATAACAACAATAACAATAATAATAATAATAATCAGAATATTTGAAACTGAAATGTGCTACGCTTACTGAGTGTGCCCAGAAAAACTGCATTGGGGAAAAAAGGAGGAATTTGAGAAGGAAGTGCTGACAAGGTTTTCAGCAGATCCAAGGAAACTTGCTTTAGATAAAAAGGTTCTTTGCGATTTTGCAAAATATACCCATTAACAGCATGAAAGGTACTCCCCGGTGTTAATCTTTTTTATTTAACTTCCTGGTTTTCAAACGGCTGAAGGTTTTGACAGATTTTTCTGAGTGCTTGGGGGAGCCCTCGGATTTCTCCGTTAACAGGGTCAAAAGAAAGCAATTTAAAACAACCGTTGTTTTAAACGTATCGCCTAAAACAGTGGATTCGGAGAGAGAAGGCTTGTCTAATATTGCAGTTTTGCATTGAGGCTTGTTCTCTTTTCCCAATTGGAAAAATGTAAGGACTTGATACAGTTTTGCCATGTGACTATCACAGCTCAAGGCCTAGACGGAAGAAAGCTTGTGCATGCTTATGGAAATCATCCAGGTACTTTTCATTTTCTCATTTATAGCTGTCTTTTTCCTCATGTTATAGCCAGAAGCTTAATTCAGCAGGATTTCTTGCCGCACAGTGACATGGTGTAGAAAAATTACTGATTGGTTCTATTTGTTGAATGATTTGCCTATGCAGTGATTTAAATCCCAGTCCATAAACAGCCTTAAAAATATACATGTCTATGAGCTTCAGAACATAGGTAGCCCACATTTACCAAATGAATGTGCAACCATTTCTGTGATTTTCTCCCCTATTCCACCTGCATTACAAGCCAGGATCAGGACCAAGGTATGTAGCACTGAGCAAAGGGGAAAGCGGCCTCTTTCTAGCTGAAAAACCAGATACCTCTCAGGGCCCCACTCAGACTTTATTGTCTTTTTGCCAGATGTCAGAGTCAGAACTTGTGAACAAAATCTCTCTGAAGTAGGGTCACCCGAGTTCAGAATCTCTGTGAGGCTTCTTGTCAATTTCAAAGGCTTGTGCCTGGGCTGCTTGCCTTTCTAGGGGCTCATTGTGACAATGAATGGTACACCATGGCAGTTATGGCCACAAAAAAACCTTTTAATTAAGTGAAATCGGAAGCTGCTCTTTAAGTATATGTTCTTGCTTGATCTACTTCTGGGGCAGCTGAAGTTCCGACTGCATCAGAAACTGCACAACTTACAGCCAGCTGGAGCCTACTTGATGTTAGGAACTAAATTAACCTTTTAGGAATAAGACTTGGTCTAAGGGTCACTAGAACGAAGTTCAAGAGATACAGTGCAGAATGAATATCTGAATGTAATGGATTTAAAATCTTTAAATTATTTAACATACAGAATAACAGGGTTTGTTTGTTTTTTAATTTTGGGTGGGCAGATTGCATAAAAACCCAGCACAGTGTCTATCCCTTTTCAGAGCAGAGTAAGTAGTGGCTTATGGCTGTAGAAACAAGATAGTGTGTGATTTCTACAGTTTAAATATTGTTATGAGTTTGTGGGTGCCCTGATTCCCTTAAATTCCTGGGTGCCAGATCCTCCCCTAAATTCCTGAGTTTAGTGGGTGTTGGAGTTTGATCAATGTCTGGAGTATTAAAACCCAACCTGATGGACGGGGTACTATCATCATCATAATCATCATCACCATCATCATTATTAAAATGGGTTGCCAGATGCTGGATTTAGCAAAGTGTTAAAATACATGCCAAACCAGTTTCCTGTTCAGGAGATTGGCTGGGAGAAGAGCCATTGACCAAAGACAACCCCAATAGAAGGTAATGGACTCTTAAGAAAGTCATTAAGAAGGCAAAGTCTGTCCAGTGGGCAAAGGGGTGGGGCCCCTTCTCAAAGCTCTGCCCTTGTTAGCAGGACAAAGGCAGAGTTGGAAGGAGGGTAGTTGTTTAGGACTGCACTTGGCTGGGATGTGAGCTGAGAGAGAAATAGTGGCAGTCTGTAAAATGCAGCAAGCTGGAGTATATAGTCAGGGGGCCCTGGTGGATTTCTGCTGGCATCCAAGACTGAGGTCATGGGAGAAGCTCTTGGGGTATAATGCTGTGAGACCCTGCACCATGGGGTCTGGTTGAAGATACAGTATGTGTAAATGTACCATATATCATAAAGACACTCCAGTCTCCGCTGTGCCTGCTTTTCCAAAGGAAACCCAAATGCCTGGACCCCTGGAATCTCACACACCTCGGAGATTGGGGTGGCATGTAACAACCTGTTCTACAATAAGGCAGAGAAGATGAACTGCTGTGCCTTTAGTTAGCTGTATTTATTTGGAAAGAAACACGAAGGTTTTCAGCTGTCCCCAAAGAAGTTAAGTTCATAATACCCAGAGTTGAACATTGCTGAAGATCATCAAAATCAGTGGTTTCAGCCCTGAAAACAAATATTAAGGAGTGTAATTAAGTTAACGCTCACACCTGGAGGTAGGAGTAAGATTTTACGTGGCAACATTCTGGATTTTCAGGAATGAGTCCCGGAACCTTTTCACTGGAGAGCTCAGCTTTCAAAATAAGTCCCAGTTCATGTGTTCAATTACATCAAGTAGTAAACCTTTTCCAAGACTTCAGGTGGAAATCTGCATGTTGGGCAGCTTCCTAGTCAACCCCCTCCCCCCAAGTGGCCAATCATCAGCAAATGGAGGCTAGCTGCTAACCAACTTGGGACCAAGTTACCTGGAAGACCAGCTGCCCCTCTAAAGACCTGCAAGATCACTTAGATCAACTGGAGAAATTCTATTCAGGACACTGTGCCCTACAGAACATAATAGAATGGTGACTCAGAAATAGGCTGTTGCCTTTATACTATGGAATGCCATTTCCTCTGCAACCATCAGTTGCTTCATATGTCTTGCAAAGACTTTTATTTTTGCCCAGGCTTTCCTTGAATCATAATACCGATCCCTGATTTATGTCCTTGAATGCCCTGAATTTTATTTTATTTGCTTTCTATACGGTTTTGCATGTTTTTATATGACCATTTCATTGGTTTTCGGTTGCACTTTTGTTTCAACGGCATTGCTTTTGAAATCATATGCCACATAGATTTTTAAAACATCAAGCTGTTTATAAATGCTTTTGAACAAATAAGTGGCACATTGCAAAAAACTTAAAACCCTAGGATGTCATGTGAAACCTTACGTATAGTCTTCTCCTTGCCATAGTGCTTTTCTATATCCAATAATATGTTTCTTCCCCTTAATGGGGAATATTAAGGACACTTAATTTTGGCAAATGTATAAACTGGGTTTCAGAGAATCAAGTTAATGTATAAAAGATGGGACTTTTATCATACTGAGAAACCTAAGATGGGGAAATTATTTATTTTTCCTTATTTATCTCTCCCAAGGTACTGAAAACAAATCCTAAGTTGGTCTGCCACTCCTTTGCCTTTAGGAGCTTTACAAAAGGCAAGCTTGTTTTCTCCTGCTCTGGTCTGAACCAATGGCTTTAAGTTACAATAAAGGAGATTCTAACTAAACATCAGGAATAGTAGGAGCTGTTCGACAGTGGAACAGCCTCCCACAAGAGGTTGTGGATTCTCCTTCCTTGGAGGTTTTCCAGCAGATGTTGGACAATGGGCATAGCTTAGACCGGCCCTTCTCAACCTGTGGGTCGCCAGATGTTGTTGAACTACAACTCCCATCACCCCTAGCTAGCAAGGCCAGAGCTCAGGGATGATGGGAGTTGTACTCCAACAACATCTGGGGACCCACAGGTTGAGAACTGCTGGCCTAGACCATGGGTAGGCAAATGAAGGCCTGGGGACAGGATCTGGCCCAATCGCCTTCTAAATCCGGCCTGCGGACAGTCTGGGAATCAGCGTGTTTTTACATGAGTAGAATGTGTGCTTTTATTTAAAATGCATCTCTGGGTTATTTGTGGGGCATAGGAATTTGTTCATCCCCCCCAATATAGTCTGGCCCCCCACAAGGTCTGAGGGGCAGTGGACTGGCCCCCTGCTAAAAAAGTTTGCTGACCACTGGCCTAGGCTTTTGTTAGGGGCTCCCCAAAACTTTTTGAACTTTTCTTCAGAGATCACGGGTAAAATTCCCTCCAAAATAGGACATTATGAGGGGCAGGCTTTTGTTAGCGGGGTGCAGAACCTCAGTTAACAGAGTATTTTTAATGCTTTTCAATAATTTTTGGGGATTGGCTATGCCCATGGGTTGGGCAGCCACCTGTCAGAGATGCTTTAGTTGAGAGTCGTGCATTGCAGGGGGTTGGACTAGATGACCCTCGGGTTCACAACTCTACTACTCTATGCACAGAAAGCATTACATGTCGGTCTGTGCCAAGAAGGAACAGCAACTAAACCACACAGAGCAAGGCTGCAGACATGCGCTCAGTAAGTGGGCACAGACCCCTGCAGCTGACTTAGCCCGGAGTCCCCATGGGCCATATTTCGGATGCCGTATTTCAAACAGTGAATATCCAGACAGATAAGCTACTTTTTAGCATAGCTGTTGAACTTTTTTTTTTTGCAAAATAAAAATAGAAAAAAAAAGTTTTGCCATATATCTGGATTTTCCTGGACATTTAAGCGATTACCGCCCAGATGCTGTTTGCTATGGCTGAATATGCCCAGGAATTTCCAGATGTATGTATGTCAACTCTAAGTAATGCAACCAGGGAACAGAACTGGATAAATTGCATGAAAATGACAGTTGTGGATTGGAAATAGGCAAATGATTCCATCTCATGAGCTTTTTTGGGCAAAAAAAACAGGCTTTCCATATTTCGTAAAATTCCTGAAGCAAATCTGTTTGAGGTTTGTTTTTTGTGTGTTTTTTTTAGGAAGACCACAAAATTGTTGAGCGTTTTTTTAATAGAAACCCACCAAAATGGTTGATTGTTTCTTTTGGGGAACAATCCCAGATGGTTGGGCTTTTTTGGAGGGAGAAACTTCCCTCCAAAAGAGTGATCTTTGCCATACCTCCTGCTTTCCCGGCCCAAATTCCCCCCCCCCCCCCGATCCTCAGAAAACAGGGATTTTCCCGACTCGTTGCAAGCCTATCTTTGGAGTTCTTTCCCTGAGAAACCGGCTTGCCGCGCGCCCGGATTTCCCCGGACCCCTGCTACTAGAGACAGCTGTGCCGTGTCCGGGACATCCCGGACGCGTGGCAACGCCCGGCGAGAAGGGCGTCGCCTTCCCTAGCGTCACCTGCGGGGACGAGGAAAGCTCCTGTTGCTCGCCTCGCCGCCGATTGGACGCGCCTCCGCCTGGTCTGTGGGCGGGGTGCCCTACGGGCCAATCGCCGCCGTCGGAATGTGTTTTTGGGGGCGTGGCGGATCCTCTCCCCCTCCGCAGCCTCCTGGCCGGCGCGCAGATGGCTCTGGGCGGCGCGATGCTGCGGACGACGCTCCGCCTCTGCGCTCTGTCGCGACGCGTCCGCTCGGCCTCCGCCGCTTCCAGCGCCTCCATGTCGACCCTGCTGATCAGCCAAGGCCGCTACTCGTGGCTCCAGGAGCTGGGGCTTCGCGAGGAGAACGAGGGCGTCTACAATGGCTCCTGGGGAGGCCGAGGAGAGGTAGGCAGCCACGGGCGGGAGCAAGCCTGAAAGTCACGGCAGCCAAATTTGGAGTCCAATCCGGATTTGCAGTTCTCCATGTGCTCCCGAGCATAGACATCTGACTTTAGCAGGGTTTCACGAAACAGCTTTATTCCTGTTATTCTTTTCATTTATATACATTGCAACCACCAGTGCCGGATTTACGTATGAGCTAAACAAGCTATAGCTTAAGGTCCCACTCTCTTGGGAGCCCCCCAAAAAATTTAAAGGAAAAAAAATATTAATATACTACTTCTTAGTTGTATTTCGGTTCAACAATTACTTTGATAAAATGCATATTTTGTTATGTGCAAGTGGCTTTAGATACCTATCAGGTCCATAAATTACCATATAGCATATATTCAACACAAAAAACAGCTGGACATATAAAGGGCTCCATTACCTTCAGTAGTTTGGGGTCTCATCAAACCTAAATCCGGCCCTGATTGCAACAATGATTTAGCCATCATTGTAACATTTTCACATCATTGTAACATGCTCATGCTAAAATGATTGTAAATTTTTTGAAATGTATAAAATTGAAAATCACAAATTAAAAAAATCCTCTCTTCTCATATCTAATACAGTATATGTTTTCAAAACTGCAGGTTTTTATGATGACCCTGCCAACGTCTTGATCTGTTTGCAGCTTGTTATTATTTAAACTTTTAAAATAATTTTCATTTATATACATTGCAACAATTATTTAGCTATAATTGTAACATTTTTACTTTTGACTCCCTTCTCCCTCTTTCTGCAGTCCCTTGCGTTTAATTTCATCCTTTCCTGCATGCTCCGAATTGTGGTATTCTTTTAATCCTCTCTTCTCATATCTATCTTATATATGTTTTCAAAACTGCAGGTTTTTACGATAATCCTGCCAATGTCTTGATCTGTTTGCAGCTCCCTCTCTATACTACAATTCCCATCCTCCCTAACCTCTGGTCCTACTAGCTTGGCATGATGGGAGTTGTAGTCCTCAAAAAGCAGCCGCCTTTGGGAAACCCCACTTTAGACAAAGGCTGAAAAGACAGTGAAGATTAGCTGGAAGCGAAATACAGTGATTTATTGTGGTTAATTAACATGGGAGCGTTGGTAGCAAGTTAGCCCACGCTGGGGCATGTCTAACATGCCCCTGCGGTGCACTTTATATTTGAAAAAGCCTTCATCCCGAGACACCACAATGGTGCCACAATTGCATTTCCCGATAAATTGCAATTTCTGAAGTTCTGCGATGGCCAAGTCCGGCTACAACCAGGTTGCTTTCAGAAGTCGGAATGTCCTCAGGTTTATGATGTGAGATGTGTGCCTGTTCATATTCTGTGGAAAAGGAGCCTGCCTTTTAATGTGTAACCTTTCAGTGGTTTTGAAACACACTTGATTTTGTCTATCTTTTAACAAAAATGTTGCCCTTTACCAGTTGCCATAGTCCGTTTCCTGGCGGAATCGGCAGGAGAAAGGGACACGTTAATCATTCATATTGTTGGGCTGAGAAAATGTTTGTCCTTTGGCTATACGCCTACCTTTGGACCTTCTCTTTCTGGAGATGTTTGGGTACCCTACTTGGAGGGCTCCCAAAGACATCTAGCCTGGCCACTGTAGGTAGATGCTGGTCGAGAGGGAAGAATTCCAGACCCAGTAGGCCTTCCTTAGTTATTTATCATGCATATGTATAGCCTGCTCTTTAATAATACCACGATACTATAATATCCAGAATATCAAACCATAAGAATACGGAAACATGCTACTTAGGGCTCTTGCCTGGTCTCTTGGGCAGAGTAGGAACTGCTTCTGGATCACCAAGCAAGAAAAAAATCTATAATTGGCTGCTAACTCTTGTGTACATCTGCATAATAATAATAATTTATTTATACCCCGCCCATCTGACTGGGTGGGCAGCTCCCAACAGAATATTAAAAATACAATAAAATATCAGACATTAAAAACTTCCCTAAACGGCTGCCTTCAGTTGTCTTCTAAAATTTGTGTAATTCTTGAAATCCGAAGGGAGGGTGTTCCCTGTAAACACTAAAGTTTACAGACGCTTCAGGTTACAGACTCCGCTAACCCAGAAATAGTACCTCGGGTTAAGAACTTTGCTTCAGGATGAGAACAGAAATTGACTGCAGCGTGTGGGCGTGAGCGATGCGGATGGCAGGCCCCATTAGCTAAAGTGGTGCTTCAGGTTAAGAACAGTTTCAGGTTAAGAACGGACCTCCAGAACGAATTAAGTTCTTAACCCGAGGTACCACTGTACTTAGAAGTGAATCCCATTGAATTTGGCCTTAAATGCACTCGGGAGAAGAAATATAATTGCCTCAATCCAGAGACGGGCAGCGGAAGGCTGCATGTTTTGTTTGATGGTCCCATCTCTCCAGAGCAAGGCTGCTTCATAGGAATCCAAACTCAGGATCTGTGTATCATCTTATGGGTTTTCCCCACGACGGTACTGCTCAGTGTGCCCATAGCTTGCTTTGGTGTGCAGATTGTGGTTCTCATTCTGCTGCAGATCAGGGTGAGTGTATTTAGATTGAGATAATAGGGCCATCCATACTATGTCCTTTCCCGATGTATAAGTGACTCTTGAACCATAATCCTTAAAGCTAGAGAAGAAGCTATGTTCTTGGTGACTAAAGGGCACATCTTTCTCTCTTTAGGTCGTGACGACATACTGCCCTGCAAACAATCAGCCAATTGCCAGAGTTCGTCAGGTAAGGTTCTTTCTTTCTCTCTTTGATCAAGTCTATAGATAAATGCTACACTGGAAATTTTTGCAATACTCTTCGAATAGCCAAAGGCTAGGTTTGGAATGTCAGTAGAGCTAATTGGGGAGGGGCTGTGGAAAAGTAGCTGAGAGCAGCGGAAGATGGAAATTTTATGGTTGTACGCTCCCTTCCTTTGCTGGATTTAAATCACATGTGTTGAAATGGTGGTTGCACCACAGATATGGGTTCGTGGTATATTTCCTCTTTTATTCTACCACTTCAGGCAAACTATTTCCAAAGGTTCTGAAGCTTTTTATGTTCAAATAGCACCACCTTCTTCCATAAAACTAGAATTTGCTGGCTGGGTACATTCTTTTTCCATTGCTGTTTTCTACAAGAGTCAAAAAATTACAAACGTTGTGACTCTTGTTTATTTAAAAAATATATCATTACAGGCCAGTATCGAAGACTATGAAGAAACACTAAAGAAAGCTAAGGAAGCCTGGAAAGTATGGGCAGAGGTAAGTTTGAATTCCTTAATATTTTTCTGAAATACAGGCAGCCTCCCGTTTACACAGGGGTTGTGTTCAGGAGCACCTCGCAGGTCGGCGAAATCATGTGTAATTGAATCCCATTGAAAAAGCCTGCAAACGCCGACCCCCGTTCTGCCCCTTTAGTGACAGGACAACAACAACAACAACAACAACAATTTATTATTTATACCCCACCCACCTGGCTGGGTTTCCCCAGCCACTCTGGGCAGCTCCCAACAGAATATTAAAAACACGATAAAACATCAGACATTAAAAATGTCCCTAAACAGGGCTGCCTTCAGATGTCTTCTAAAAGTCAGGTAGTTGTTTATTTCCTTGACATCTGATGGAAGGGCATTCCACAGGGCGGGTGCCACTACCAAGAAGGCCCTTTGCCTGGTTTCCTGATGTTTCCAAGTCACTTCTGGGTTCGGCACTATTCGCTTACACACAGTCGTGCGTGCATTGAATGCGCATAAACGGAGTACATTCTTTGATGAGCCACAGACTCATTAAACTCATTTTTATTAAGCAACGCCGTTAGATTCTGATGCGTTTGCCTTAATTTGTGTGAGTCCTCTTTCTGATGCTTTATGCCTTACGCTGCCACTGTAAGCAGTTGCTATTAGAGTTGTGCTTTACAGGTGGCAGTTTGTGTGGTAGATCTGTGACTTCATTAGTACTAGAAGACCAAACGGCAACACCAATATTTCAAAGATGCGGGTCATAGAAAGGGAAGCCACGACTTTTGAAGAACTAAAGACGCATTTTGGAACACTTGCATTTTTGAAAAACATCTGCATCTCTCGACATGCAGATTTATTTCAATTGTCTTATGTATTCTCACAAATATATATACATATACACACACACAATGGGAAGTGTTCAGAAGCATCTGTAGTTTTTGAAATACCAAATAAATTTTTCTTCGGATTTCCCTGGAATTCAGACAAGTTGTGTCACTCAAGAAATCACCCACGATATTTTTTTTCAACTGATAGGATTAGTTACCTTGATACTTCCAATGGTGTTAATAGAGATTGCCTCATCTGGATACACGAAGGGATGCTGGTGGCGCTGTGGGTAAAACCTCAGCGCCTAGGACTTGCTGATCGTAAGGTCGGCGGTTCGAATCCCCGCGGCAGGGTGAGCTCCCGTCGTTCGATCCCAGCTCCTGCCCACCTAGCAGTTCGAAAGCACCCCTAAGTGCAAGTAGATAAATAGGTACCGCTTTATAGCGGGAAGGTAAACAGCGTTTCCGTGTGCGGCGCTGGCTCACCAGTGCAGCCTCGTCACGCTGGCCACGTGATCCGGAAGTGTCTTCGGACGGTGCCGGCTCCCGGCCTCTTGAGTGAGATGAGTGCACAACCCTAGAGTCAGTCACGACTGGCCCGTACGGGCAGGGGTACCTTTACCATCTGGATACACATTATTTAAACGTACGGTTTTGGACAAAGTCCACAGTGTTTTGTAAGACTGGGCTTAAACCCGTTTTTCTCTTCTTTATCTAGGTTCCTGCACCCAAACGAGGAGAAATTGTGAGACAGATTGGTGATGCCCTGAGAAAGAAAATCAATGTTTTGGGAAATCTGGTACGGTTTGCTGCTGCGACAGTAATCGCTCTGGCTGAAAGTTTTGGGACCATGTCTAAAATACAGCCACGTCTGTAAAATAAGAAATGATACAATTTCATTTGTGTGAATACCGTGGGGTTGCAAACCCCGACAATCGGCAACTGATCCTAAGTGCTTGCAAAGTGCAGAGCTCTGCTTTGCCCTCACAATTCGATTCCAAACTGCCTGGGCCAAAATGGACCACCCGGCGCCATTTTGACAGCAGGTGATTGACTGCCCGCCTGTCAGACTTGACACATGGGAACTGAGGGGATGGGGATCCAGTCCACTGGTCGGTGCAGTTCCTTGCCTCTGATTCATATAGGGCTTAGTAGAATATTTCCTATTCAGTGATTGAACAGGACCAACATATTTCCTTAATACCGTCAGGTTTCTTTGGAGATGGGGAAGATCTCTGCTGAGAGTGTTGGCGAAGTCCAAGAATATGTGGATGTCTGCGATTACGCAGTTGGCTTATCCCGGATGATTGGTGGACCTGTCTTGCCTTCAGAAAGTAAGCATGTGTCTTTCCCTTTTTTCTTTCTGAATACATAGGTAAAGGTAAAGGGACCCCTGACCATTAGGTCCAGTCGTGGCCGACTCTGGGGTTGCGGCGCTCATCTCGCTTTATTGGCCAAGGGAGCCAGCATACAGCTTCCGGGTCATGTGGCCAGCATGACTAAGCTGCTTCTGGCGAACCAGAGCAGCGCACGGAAACGCAGTTTACCTTCCCGCTGGAGCGGTACCTGTTTATCTACTTGCACTTTGACGTGCTTTCGAACTGTTAGGTTGGCAGGAGCGGGGACTGAGCAACAGGAGCTCACCCCGTTGCAGGGATTCGAACCGCCAACCTTCTGATCGGCAAGTCCTAGGCTCTGTGGTTTAACCCACAGCGCCACCCACGTCCCTCTCTGAATACATACTGGATGCTATTAAGTAACCCAGGGCAGGAAAATCTCAGCACTGTCAACTTTGCAGCTGCATTTCACGGCTGTTATCTTGAGCATGTTAGCACAGTGAAGAAAATTTGTATTTTCTTGTATTTTCCTCCAAGGAGCAGGCTGAGTGATGCCTTCATGGGTTCCAGCGGAATAAGTTATCATCCCTATGGATCACCTTGTATAACTCCTCAAAATGCACAAATAAATGGGATGCAAGCGCGAGATTCTCCTTGCCAAACCTTGCTTCCCCCTCAGAATACAAAACTAGGAAGAAATAAGCTCTTCTGGCAGGATTGCAGCCTTGAGATAACAACAGATATAACTTTCATTGCATGGCTAACAGTTGGGTGTGGACTTTTCAGTTACTCGGCTAGGAGCGCTCCAGTTTTCAGTGAGCTGAGGTGGGAGGTTTAACCCTTCTCTTGCGTTGGGAGAATGAAGGATCACACCTCCACTTCCCCATGTACTGTGGTCCTAGTGAAAATCCATTCAGCTGGCATTATTTTTTTTTCCAAGTAGCACAGGTAAATAGGTTGAAATGGATGTATTGAATAGTATATGTGAAATATGCGGCATTTATGGGTAACACTGGAAACCATGGAAGGGAAGTCCACGGGTGAAGAAATTTATGGGGGTTTTTTTGTTTTTGTGAAAAATCAATAAATAAGATTGTGGCATTTGCCTCCTATGTGAGTCATAAGGAAAGGGTTAAATGAGTGTGATGTGATTGGCCAGAGAGAAACTGATAGGAGGAGTTAGAGTGAGAGTCGGAGTGTGTGGAAGTCAGTTGAGAGTTGAAGAAGGAAGAGGGAGGAATAGTCTGTGGGTTGATCGAGTTGTGTGGTGAGAGAGTGAGAGGAACTGTTAGGTGGAGTCAGATAGATAGTTGGGATAATCAGTTTGAAGTTGTTAGGAACGTATGGGACAGTAAAGGAACTAAGATTAAGAAACTGCTAAGAAAAATTATCTGAAACCATAAGCTTGTTCATGCCTATAAATAAACTTGATTATTTGTTAATGTTAACAACTGTCTGGACTCTGTGAGTACCCGTGAGAAACGGGTTGGTGGCAGCGAAGAAAGCAATCACAGTGGTGGCACAGGGTCAATAGGCCGTCAAACGTCCAGGGGCCCTGTGTGATCGCCACAAACATTTACAAAAAATATGATTTTTTTCAAGCAGGTAGCGGTATACAGTTAAAGTACTTTTATATCTTAAAAAAGAGATCTTATTTCAGATTATATAAAAATGCCTGTAAGCACTTTTGGGCTCAAAAAGTAACGAAATCGTCCAGTAACTGGTGACCTCTTAACTTACAACAGGTGTTGCACCTTTTGAGTATATTTCATGGCTGTTGGAAATCTGTACACCATGCTTGAAAAAACCACTAAATTGGGAGCAACCATTGAATTAGGCTCTTGTCGTGCTGGTTTGCGCTCAGTGCCGAAACATGGTTTAATGCACTCAAACCATGGTTTCTCAGGCTGGCTTTTTAAGTTAAGTAGAGTCTGTGTTGAACCAGCGCCTCTGTTTTTAACACAGCAATAAGTTCAGATTATTTTAAAAGCGGAACTTTACCGAGTCAAAGCCGTCCTCCGAAGTATGCCGGAGGAGAAAGGTAGGGAGGGAGCCTGACTCTTCACTCAAGCTGGTTTCAGCCTTATCCGCTTGTGGAGCTCATCCTATGCAAACAGAGCTATTTTGTGCTTTGAGGCGAAGGGCTCTGCCGTCCGATTATTTACTAAAATAAGCTCGGTGCCTAAAAAAACTATCACAATAAGCTTTACGACACAGCGTGCTTGTGGGGATGGAATTTGGCTAAGTCTTGTGTACACTGAGTTCCTTGGATAACGAGAAGGATAAATAGAATAAATGAAATTCTGTGCTCATCAAATGTCCTCTCCTTGGCTTTTTATTTGCAGGGCCTGGGCATACCTTAATAGAACAATGGAATCCTTTGGGATTAGTAGGAATCATCACAGCTTTCAACTTTCCTGTAGCAGTTTATGGCTGGAACAACGCAATTGCAATGGTCTGTGGCAACGTCTGCCTCTGGTAAGTCGATCTGTCCTCTTTTATGGTGATGGTTTTAACTGGTGGCCTCTAATCTAACAAGGGGCGCTGCGCCGTTTGAGTATATTTCGTGCTTGTTGGAAAGCTGTGCACCGCAGATGCAGAAACTGGGCGTTGATGGATTCCAACTCCCATGAGCTCAGTCAGCATGGCCAATGGTTGAGGATGGTGGGAGTTGTAGTCTAGCAACTGGCCACCTCATGAGAAGAGAAGACTCCCTGGAAAAGACCCTGATGTTGGGAAAGATGGAGGGCACAAGGAGAAGGAGACGACAGAGGACGAGATGGTTGGATAGTGTTCTCGAAGCTACCAGCATGAGTTTGACCAAACTGCGGGAGGCAGTGGAAGACAGTAGTGCCTGGCATGTTCTGGTCCATGGGGTCACGAAGAGTCGGATACGACTAAACAACAACAACAAAAAACATCTGAACGGCCACAAGTTCCCCGACCCTTCCGTATGCTAAGTATTTATTCCCTACACAGCAGTTCTCTGGAATGTACTTAAAGCAGCGACTGTTTCCATTTCTTTATTGAATCTCTGTTCAGCAGCTAAGATAGTCGCCTAGAACTACCGAGTCATATTTTTACAATGGAAAGATTATGATGCTTATTTGGTTCGGTACCCTGGCTATTGGACACTTGGGACCAAGTGAAGATGCCGGACATCTCCACCCTCTGCCTGGGGATCATTAGATCTAGACTGTTCTCACACACTAGCAACACATTCTGTAGAATTCTATCTGTTATATTTTATCTGCACAATCGGAATGAATTTCAGGAACCAAAATGCTTTTTCTGTGCAGCCTGAGCAGGAGCAGTGAATGAGATTATAGTTAATTGTTCTAGCTTATTTTAACTTATCCCACCTCACTGCTGGGCTCGCAGTTGGGAATAATTTTCTTGTATTATGAATGGTCCGTGTCACTGCTAAGAAAGAGGTCGGAACAGGCCAATATATAGTTGGACTGTCCCTGGATCAAGTGACTTTTTCCCTTTAAGTTCTTGAAGTTCTTAAACTAGCTGAAGGTTGTCATCTGAACCAGCCAGATGCTTAACTGAGAATCAATCACAGTCAGTCCATCGTTTGAAAAACAAGACTTTAGAGTCATCTTGCCCTGAAATGGCAACAAGGCATTCCATTTTGGCAACTGTAACCTTGGTTTAAGGAGACATTTGGCATGTAGCTTATACATCTTGAGTTTCTAACTCTGTACCCAAGTTTTAAGTAACCAAACATTGGTGGCCTGTTACTTCAAAGTTGCATGTTGTTTGGAGTTTTCTCATTTTAGCACCTGTTAAAATGAAAAGATGAAAACCTGGTAATCTACTGATTTAGGTAATTTTAGGTGTTCTAACGTAGCAGTTTCTTAAAATATCATGCAATGTTCATTTTAAAATAAGCAGTTGGGAAGAATAATCTTTCCTGGTTTGTTTCCCTCCAAAGGAAAGGTGCTCCCACAACGTCGCTCGTTAGTGTCGCTGTTACAAAGTGAGTTTTCACTTATCTTTGTTGCTAGAACCTCTGTGCTTCCTTTCTGTCTCCTGTTCATTCTTCTGCATTGTTTTAAGAAGCTGGCTGAGTGCTGCCTTCACTGCAGCTTGCATTCTGGGCTTCTCTGGTAGCGTCTGAAATGAGAGGTCTATGTCAACCTCCCTACTTTGGTTTCATTAGGGAGGGATGCGGATAATAATAATAATAATAATTTATTATTTATACCCCACCCATCTGGGCTTCCAACAGAATATTAAAAACGTGATAAAACATCAAACATTAAAAACTTCTGTAAACAGGGCTGCCTTCAGATGTCTTCTAAAAGTCAGAGAGTTGTTTATTTCCTTGACATCTGACGGGAGGGCGTTCCACAGGGCGGGTGCCACTACTGAGAAGGCCCTCTACCTGGTGCCCTGTAACTTCACTTCTCACGGTGAAGAAACTGCCAGAAGGCCCTGGCAGCTGGATCTCAGTGTCCAGGCATAATGATGGGGGTGGAGACGCTCCTTCAGGTCTACTGGGCTGAGGCCATTTAGGGTTTTAAAGGTCGGCACCAACACTTTGAATTGTGCTCGGAAATTTACTGGGAGCCAATGCATGTCTCTCAGGACTGGTGTTATGTGGTCCCAGCGGGCACTGCAAGGTCATGTATGAGCTGCCTCTTCTCCACATAGTTCCACATCTCATTTTGGGTGGTTTCTACAAACCCTCCAGAAGAGATTTAGGGGGTGAATGTTGGGGAAGGAGGGGAAAGTCCTGTTGACCAAGCCGAAGTTGTTCTGTGCATGCTTCCAGCTAGCTCTCCATTGAATACGACCTTTTCGTCTGTGCGTTTGGCAAGGTGATGAAAAGTCAAGTCTCACTGTGTCCTGCACGTGTAATCCTTTTGCCAATGAACCATCAGGACATCTAATGAATCTTCTTTCCTTGTTTCCTAGAATAGTTGCCCAGGTTCTGGAGGACAACAAACTGCCTGGTGCTATCTGCTCTCTGGTCTGTGGTGGGGCAGATATTGGGTAGGTGCAACGCTTGGTATTTTTATGCACAGTTTGGGAATATAGTCTGGTGAATCTTGTTAAATCTCTGTTAACCTCTTAACGGTCCTTTTAATCTACAGCTGCAAATGTTTCCTACTCTATTGACTCATTGCATCAGAACAACAACGAGGCTTCGCTTAAACTGTGATCTCCTTACTAAAGGAAAACCCATCCCCTCAGTAGACATAGATTTGACACAACCACGCTGTCCCCTGCATATCTGCTTGGAAGTAAATTCCGCTGGGTATGGCGGGGCTCACTCCAGATAAAGGATTGCATTGTGCACCCCTATCACAAATATGATGGCTAGAAATGTCAGCTTCACTAGGAATTTGAATTTACAGGAAGAAACCACACCTGTCCCTGATCACTCATTCTAAGAGCCATTCTGAATCTTCCTCAAGGTTCCATTTTGCACACTTAAAAGGAATAGCTGTCTTGTGGCAACTTTGGTGTGCTTTCCCTCCAGATACAAAAACTTTCAAATATACGTGCTCCATAATCTTTGAGTGGCAGAGCGGAACGCTAAAGCGGTGGTTTCAAAATTTTACCCCTTGGGCCATTTGAAAATTGCTGGTGGTCTTGGTGACCACTTAATGATCTTTCTTGGTGGACCACTTTATGATCTTTCTGCAATTGCGATAACTTTGGGCTAGATCCGGCATGAATTTTAATTGCATTTTACGGCTAATATTTCTTTTGCTTCGTTGTTATTGCCATTTGCATTCCATAGAGTTCTGATTGTGATGCGATCAAATGCAGTGTAGGAAACAAAAGAAGCAATAGATTCGGAAAAATGAATGCACACATGGCATGGGACGGCAGAAGGAAGCTTGTTCATGCTGTTAAAAATACAGACTTTCCGTTAGACAAATAGCGAAGTTGATGGCTGAGGAGTGTCACAAGAATTATATATTTAATTGGCACAAATGCAACGTGTTTTGAGAGTGAGGGGCAGGGCTCCCCCTTCCTCCCACCCTAACATACTTTCTCATTCTACCTGTTTTGCCACTGACTAAGAATCTTCCTCTGTCCTCTGTAGCAAAGCAATGGCAAAGGATGAAAGAGTGGATCTCTTGTCCTTCACTGGTAGCACCAATGTGGGCAAGCAGGTAGCGATGGTGGTTCAGGAGAGATTTGGTAAGTGGCGTAGCGTGATCCAGTATCTCTTCTGAATTCAAGGAGTCTTACAATTTTCCATGTTGCCAACTGCCCCGTGTTCTTCAGGTGAAGAGCAGTACACAAATTCTAATTATTATTATTATTATTATTATTATTAATAATAATAATAGGCAAGTGGAAAGAGTGCTGGCTTTCTTCCAGCAGAACTCTTCCTATGTTCTTACAAGAAGCATCATGCACAAGTCCTTCGCATGCACATAGAGGAATTCTGAATTGTGGCCTGCATTAAGGGTTTTTTTCAGCTTACTAAAGAAGCTGCTTTTTTAAACAACAACAACAACTTTGACTCCCTTCTTCTTTTGTGGGCCTCTTTATTTATTTAGTCCATAAATTTTATACACTGCTTGGTTGTTGTTTTTTATAAAAAAAAAACACCCGCTCAAACCGGCAAAGTCATTATGACAACCGGGCGTGAGGAGGGCATATTCCTAGCTAGGAATTGTGGGTAATGTTCACATGGCTTACTGCTTTTTTATTTCAATAGGACGGTCTCTGTTGGAGCTTGGTGGAAACAACGCTATTATAGGTAATTAATATTTTCATTAAACGTTAAAGCCGGTCTCTGGCTGAGTGAATGTGCATGGCCAATGGCTTTGCTGCACGTACTTAGGATTTTCCTGGAAATTTGAGTCCATGTGATTGACTGAAACGCAGGCTCTGCTTCGTGATGAGCTGCTGGTGTTTACATTTAAGAGGGTGCTCAAAATCTGTTTTGAAGTGGCACTTAATAGCCTTTCCTTTCAACTTCACTCCACCAAATGAAGGTCTTTTGCTTCATTTGTTACTTGCCACGTTCCTGTCCAAAATTCTTCAGAGTCCTCTTTGGCCTCCTAATGCCAGCAAATAAGATTCCAGAGAAAAAACTGGGGTACCCTTGTTTTTCTTGAGCATAAAGTCGGGGGCCAGATGGCACCCCCAGTTGCTTTGTGGCGTTTGCTACAGTTCCAGATCAATGGTAGGAGCAGAATGGTTGCAGAGCTGTTATATGTGGATTGGAGTTGCAGTTCAGCAACAGCGAGAAGGCCAGAAGTTCCCTATAGAAGACGTTTCTGCTTTCTCTTTTTTGTACAGTGTATGTTTTGCACTATCCAGTTATACTCCACTGTGTACCTGTCTCACCAGATCCGCGGGGAACTGGGCGATTCGCCTTGATTCAAAACAAAAGGGGGTTTTCAGTTGTTACTCAGAGTAAAAAATTAGAGTTGAAATCAGTGGATTGAACTTAGTTATGTTTGGTGATTTTAACTACTACCTACAAGTGTTTTTTGGGTTTTTTGGGATGCGGGTGGCGCTGTTGGTTAAACCACAGAGCCTAGGACTTGCCGATCAGAAGGTCGGCGGTTCGAATCCCCGTGACGGGGTGAGCTCCTGTTGCTCGGTCCCTGCTCCTGCTAACCTAGCAGTTCGAAAGCACGTCAAAGTGCAAGTAGATAAATAGGTACCACTCCAGCGGGAAGGTAAATGGCGTTTCCGTGTGCTGCTCTGGTTCGCCAGAAGTGGCTTAGTCATGCTGGCCACATGACCTGTACGCCGGCTCCCTCGCCCAGTAAAGCGAGATGAGCGCCGCAACCCCAGAGTCGGCCACGACTGGACCTAATGGTCAGGGGTCCCTTTACCTTTACAAGTTTTTTATGTGTGTGGCTGTTGGCAATTCTGTACTCTGAGGCCTTTCAGGTGTTTTGCTACTGCCTATAAAGGCCATTGAATGCTTTCAGAATCAAAACCTGCTTCTCTCTTCCCTAATGCTATTTTCTATTTTGAAATCATTTTTATTTGGTTTTACAAGTACAAAGTTGTAAAAATCCAAATATATATCCACATACAGAGATTCCTCCGAATCTTGGGACTCCCCGCCCCCTTTATGGGGTCCCATTTTGAACATTTACAACTGCATATTCTTCCATACTCTTAACTTTTATATCAATCCATCTTGTCCATGGTATTCGTTACAAAACAAGTGAAATCAAAATCCTGCCAATGTTTCCATCTGCTTACAGTGGTCTCCTAAACAACTTATAAAAATTTCCCCATTCTTTTGTAAAGTTTTTGTCCTCTTGGGTTCTGAGTTTTCCAGGCATCTTTGCCATCGCTCTTCCCTCATGCTTCTTGACTGACTGCTCAGACTGTCGGTGAGAGTCTCCTCCGTCTCCCCAGTTGCATCTGAATTCTCCCCTTTCTGTATCTTCTCAATGCCTTGCAGTCTTCGATGATGCCGACCTTCAGCTGGTCATTCCGTCGGCCCTTTTTGCGGCCGTGGGGACAGCAGGCCAGAGATGCACAACTGCCAGAAGGCTGGTAAGAAGCGCTGGGATTTCCGTGTCTTCTCCAAACGCCTGTTTGGATGGTAGTTGGACGCCTGCAGTGGCGTTAGGAACAGTTGTGGCTTGTGCCCAGGGCTGAATTTGATGAGGCCCTAAGCTACTGAAGGTAACGGGGCCCTTTATATGTCCAGCTGTCCTTTGTCAACAACAAATTGCTGCTGTTTTTTGTGTTGAATATATGCTGTATGGTATTTTAATAGGTATCTAAAGCCATTTGCACATAATAAAATACAGTGGTACCCCTGGTTATGAACTTAATTCCTTCCGGAGGTCTGTTTTTAACCTGAAACCGTTCTTAACCTGAGGTACCACTTTAGCTAATGGGGCCTCCCGCTGCTGGCACACGATTTCTGTTCTCATCTTGAGGTAAAGTTCTTAACCCGAGGTACTACTTCCGGGTTAGTGGAAGTCTGTAACCCGAGGTGTTTGTAACCCGAGGTACCACGATATGTATTTTAATATTAGATAACAGGTACAACAGCTAGACCTACATTCAACTGTGCTGCGCTGCAGTCTGCAGCTGCCTGCTACATGTGGCCATGCAGCCAGTCCATGCAGAATGTAGGCACCCTATATATAGAAATCAGCAAACCAGTGATATTTTAGGGAGCAGGCAAGCAGGCCGGGCCCATTACTTCCATCATAGGAGCCTACACAACCCAAAACACTGTTGCAGTATGTAGGTTTTATTTTATTTGTTTTTTACCTTATATTTTTGAAATGTACATCCAGGTTTTTTTGCCTTTAATTTTTTTGGGGCCCCCAAGAGAGTGGGGCCCTAAGCTAGAGCTTGTTTAGCTTATACGTAAATCTGGCACTGCTTGTGCCCGTTGGGGCTGGTAGGTTGGCAGGCCAACGGCTCGGTAGAGCCAGAGCCCAACAGTCGACAGAGCCAGGTAGTTATCGCTTTGACCCCCTCTTGGCCATCCTCCTTGCTGGGATTGTGCAAAGGGTGACACTTCCACTAAGGAAAAAGAAGTGAGTAAGCCTGGCTGACGACGGACTGAGCTTGGTTTGTCCTAAGGCAGGCAAAGGCAAACTCGGCCCTCCAGATGTTTTGGGACTACAACTCCCATCATCCCTAGCTAACAGGACCAGTGGTCAGGGATGATGGGAGTTGTAGTCCCAGAACATCTGGAGGGTCGAGTTTGCCTTTGCCTATCCTAAGGGACCAGCCTCCACCTGTTAGGAGCGGCTCTTGTTTTTGTGCATGCCTGTTGCTCCCCTTCTCCTGCCTGAGCAACACAATATCTGTCCAGTTCCAGGAAGGAGAAGTCGTCTGAGTGCATCAGCAGTTTTAAGCACTGCTCACTCTGCAACAGTCTGACTGCCCGTAGAAACTTTTCAATGACGGACTTCCTATTGGCCGCCCGTTATGCTGGAAGGGAGCTCTTTCGCTTGAAACATTAAAAATTAGAAATTGCTTGAAAGAAAACAAATAGGCCTAGGATTAAATTAAGTTATAATTAAATAAATGGGATTCAGAATGTTAAGAAAACTGAATAAGATGGACTATAACTGGAAATTGTTTTAATAATGATATGGGAAAGCTGTTACTTTTAACTACAAGGAAACTCAGAAGGGAGAGACTTGAGGAAGTCAACCAAGATGCTTAAAAGGTTGGACTTGTGAAGAATTGAGTTAGTTGTTATTGTTTATCTGTTTATTGTTCCTCTTTCTAAAAAAAAGAAAAGAAAAGAAAAAAGAAACTTTTCAATGAATCATTACATAACTATTAGGTATGCTCCTGTTGCATTACTATGTAATTTATGTGAAAATACTCCACATCATAATGATGGAATGCTCCGTTTGTTGTCGTTTGTGTATGCCTTCCATCATCATTAATATAATAATAATAATAATTTATTTATACCCCAATAACAATAATTTATTTATACTGGGTTTTCCCCGCCACTCTGGGCGGCTCCCAACAGAATATTTAAAACACGATAAAACATCAAACATTAAAAACCTCCCTAAACAGGGCTGCCTTCAGATGTCTTCTAAAAGTCACATAGCTGTTTATTTCCTTGACATCTGATGGGAGGGCGTTCCACAGGGCGGGTGCCACTACCAAGAAGGCCCTTTTAGCAAAGAATGGAACCAGAAGAAGTCTGGTTAATTCCGAAGCGATTATCTTTCTTTAAATTTGTCTCCAGCACAGTTTGGATTGGTGCGGTTCTGTAAAAATGATACATATTTTTTCCATCTTTCAAGCATTGGATAAATTTTGCTTGCCAAATGAGCCATGCTTAGCCAACAGATCACAGGCTTCATAGCAGCCTAGGGAAAATCCCAAATGTTCTTTTAATATTCTTTTTTTTATTCCAAAACCATTAGTTCTAAACTCAAAGGGGGATATCTTGTAGAGCAAGATTTCCCCTCCTTCCCCCCTGACCTGTTTTCCAAATCTCCTATGGAGGGTCCATAAGCTTTTCAAGGTGTATTTTGGGATGTTGGGGCTGCAGGAGGAGAAAAGAGAGACCCATTCTATTAATGGATGTCTGCTTGTGCGTGATGTTTGATGTCTCCCATTATTACTGCTCGCTTTTGAAATAAGGTTATTTAAATTCTGATCAGATCTCCCTAGTTCACAATGAATAGGAAAATACAGTTCCGAATTGCAGGCTTATGCAAATGAATAAAACCCAATAGGTGAAGCAGAAATGTTGGCACATCTCATTTAAGTCAGCAGTTACTTAAAACCTCATGGGTTTTAGAGAGATTTAGGAGAAGTACCTAGCTTTCTCTTGATTGTGCACAGTGAAATAATTCCACGTTTTTTCCTTAAAGACCAAAATGTGCACTGGATTCTAAGTCTTTGATTAAATGTTTTAACTCAAAGTGCTATTATTTGGCTTTAGGCAGACCAAAGTTCTTCAAATTCTGTTTTATGGTTTGCCAGACCAATTGCCGCCTAAAGAGCCCTTTGTATGCAAAAGGAACTGGATTCTAGAGCCTTTCGCTACTGCTGTTTGAATATGTTGGGCTTTGTTAATTTCCGCTTTAAACGTCTTGGCAATTTTACCCTGAGATGGTGGAAGAATTTGCCAGCTTTCAAAAATGCCATCTGGTTGAGAAATAGAATGTGCATTTCTCAGTACAGTGGTACCTCGGGTTAAGAACTTAATTCATTCTGGAGGTCTGTTCTTAACCTGAAACTGTTCTTAACCTGAAGCACCACTTTAGCTAATAGGGCCTCCCGCTGCTGCCGTGCCGCTGGAGCACGATTTCTGTTCTTATCCTGAAGCAAAGTTCTTAACCTGAAGCACTATTTCTGGGTTAGCGGAGTGTGTAACCTGAAGCGTATGTAACCTGAAGCGTCTGTAACCCGAGGTACCACTGTATGTATCTGCGGAGAAAGAGGAACTTGCCATAACTTAGTTTGATATCAAGGACAGCATAAAAATGGAAGTACTTTACAGTCGTATCTTAGTTTTTGAACAGCTTAGTTCTCTAACGTTTTGGCTCCTGAACACCACAACCCCAGAAGTGAGTGTTCCGGTTTGCGAACTATTTTTGGAAGCTGAACATCCGACGGGGCTTCCACGGCTTCTGATTAGCCGCAGGAAATTCCTGTAGCCAATCAGAAGCTGCACTTTGGTTTTTGAACATTTTGGAAGCCGCACTTTGGTTTTCAAACGTTTTGGAGGTCCTACTTCCAAGGTACGACTGTATTGGCATTTTCAACATTCGGAACAAACTTATAGCAGCCCCATTGTTCTCTGCAAGACCTTGGAAGTTAGCGCCTCTGTTGCCAATCTTCAACCTATTTTTTTCTTCTAATGTTTTATTAGTTTTTGCATGAAAGCATCCATGATGAAGTGGTGGAGAAACTTGTAAAGGCGTACGCACAAGTCCGTATTGGAGATCCTTGGGACGGTAAGAGCTCCTCTTTGCTCTGGGAAGCATTGCATGGTGGTTCTTGGTTGCCATTGGAGTTTGGGAGAACTGAACAGTTGCCCACTTCCCAAACTGCCATTTCGGGGGGGGTGGAGGAGCGGCTTTCTTCATAGCTCTGCCTCTTCCTTACAGGATTACCTGTTAGGTGTCTGAGAAGAAACTCTGTGCGCACACGTGTGTGTGTGGGGGGGGGGGTTTGAACCACCCAAATGCCTTGCCCAAAACGTTGCTTCTCTTACTTAGGAAGGAGAAGTTGCATTTTGGCGCAAGAAAATTGCTTTAAGCAGCTCCAACTTGGGCCAAGCCTAGCTAATCTGAACTTCTTTCTCTATATATGTATATAATGGTTAAAGAAGAAAGTCTATGAGTCATGGTGGAGGGGAGAGCATGTATACAACTTCAACAGGGCTTTGTTTGTTTTGTTGCTATTTTGTTAATGTTGTTAATACTGTTTTATAGATCTGAATAGTGCCATACTTTGTGAATCCTATAATATGATATGATATGATATGATATGATATAATATTATAATGAGTTGGTGTAACTCAGGGGTCAGCAAACTTTTTCAGCAGGGGGCCGGTCCACTGTCCCTCAGACCTTGTGTGGGGCCGGACTATATTTTGAAAAAAAATATATGAACGAATTCCTATGCCCCACAAATAACCCAGAAAGGCATTTCAAATAAAAGGGCACATTCTGCTCATGTAAAAAACACGCTGATTCGTGAACCGTCCGTGGGCCAGATTTAGAAGGCGATTGGGCCGGATCCAGCCCCCGGGCCTTAGCTTGCCTACCCATGGTGTAACTGATGTTTAACTTATTTTTTAGTTGTTTTGATAATAGTGTTACATAGATGGTAATTGTTTTATTTGGGATTTGGGATTGTTTTCCTGTTGATTTGGTAAGTATTCTATATGATTTATGCTGTATTCGTGATGTTCTATTATGTTATTTTTATCTTCTGTTTGTAAGCCGCTTTGGGATTCATTTGAATAAAAATGAAAAAAAACAATGGAGCGCGTTACTTCCGGGTTTTGCCGCTTGCGCATGTGCAGACACTCAAAAGGATGTCATGCGCAGAAGCGGCGAAAAGCGATGCATGCGTGCACAGACGTGTCATTGCTAGTTACGTTTGCTTCTGGATGCGAACGGGGCTCTGGAATGGATCCTGTTCGCATCCAGAGATACCACTGTATATGCATGTTTTATACATGTTTATTTGCTTTTCTGTTTTATCATATAATTAGTGCATAGTATGTTACAGGCAAACACATGGTATTATGAAAGGGGGGGAATCACATAAGCATAAAACATTTCTGTAAATAATATATCTTGAATTAATAATAGTAGCATAAGTAGGTCCTCCAATTTAATTCACTCTTATAAACCTTAATTTTAACTCCCCTTCCACCCTTTCTCTGGTTTCCTATCTGTTGGTCTTTTTGACTGCATTTTCTTACTTTACTAAATTATGTTCATTACCTTTGTCACATCTACGGCTGAGTATTTCTTTCCCCTGGTCTGTTACACTTATTTTCTTGTTATAATATTTCCCCCATATATTCTTTATATTATGTCCAGCCCTCTTTTGAATTCTTAATTGTCTTTATTTCGAGAGATGAATGGCACCTTAGAATATTGGAATATATAGAACTTTATGGCATGACAAATAGATGAAGAAATATAGTGCAGTTCTCAAGACGACACAACGGTAGGCATTGTGGTAAATGTGAGCTGTGGGCCCTGCTCAGATATACACTTTTCTTTTCTTTTTTGCAGCAAACACCCTCTATGGCCCTCTGCACACGGAGCAAGCGGTGAAGTTGTATGTTGATGCCGTGGCCCAGGCCAAACAGCAAGGTGGCTCTGTGGTCTATGGTGGGAAGGTGATTAATCTCATAATTACTTGAAAATCTCTCTATATTTTCCCTGCGATTACAAAAAAAGTTAAAGCTGTCATCTTGAACGTGTTTCTCTCAACAATGGTGCACTATTTTTCTTGGAGGATAAAATCTGCTTGCAGGATGGGTCGATGATTAGTTTTATTTCTGATCAGGGTTTTCTGGATGACGGATAATTTTAAAACAAAGCCCCACCGTAAAGCCTAGAAGGTGAAATTCCTTGGTAGTCGTACTCTGAATGCACCCACTGATATCCATGGGCTTTTCAAAGTTGATGGGGAATCTACTGTCTTTGTGAGGTTACGAGTTCTGCTGAAAGCAAGCCGTTTTAGTGAAATGCTCCAATGAAATCGCATTGGAGCATCGGGCATTTAATGTATGATCTGTCTTGCCCGAAAGCAACTGGTGCCATTTTCTTCTCCACCTTTTCCATTCCAGGTTATAGATCGTCCCGGAAACTATGTTGAGCCGACCATTGTGACTGGCCTTCCACATAATGCGCCGATCGTGCAGACGGAGACGTTTGTCCCTATTTTGTACGTAATGAAATTTAAGGTAAGTTTGGGTGTTAAAGACTCTCTTTCTTTACATTTTCAAAGGTGGTAGCATCATGAAGAAGGGAGGGGAAATTAATGGCCCATAAAAATGGTGCTGAATTGCACGAGTCAGCATCCGAGTATTGGAAACCTTGAAATCCTTTCAAGTTTTGATTGGCAGCTGGCAACAGAACATTGAGTTGGTGTATTTTTAAGATGACATTTATTCAGGGACATTTGTCACCAAATGGTGTTAAATATGTTGGCCATAGCATGGGTTGTGTCAGGCAATATATATTTTTTCTAATAATTTTTATTAGATTTTCTGTTTTACAATTTCATATAAACATTTTACAAACTGTAAAATATCCAGTGACTTCGCGTCTTCTCTTTTCATGGTCCATTTTACGTACCCGACGTCCCTGGATATTTTACTATAACCATTCAAATTAGTTTTCCACTTCTACATCCATCTAAAATTATTTACTCTGTTGAATTTATCTTAATGCTGCCAGCATTTTCAGCTGTATACAATTATTTTCCATATATTCAATAAACGTTTTCCAGTCTTTTTTAAACATGTGTTCTTCTTGCTCTCATATTCTATATGTTAAATCTGCATATTTTGTCAAATTGCCAATCCTCAAATTTAGTCAAATTTGTCAAATTTAGTTGGGACCTCGCTCACTTTCCATTTTTGGGCTAAGAAAACACGGGCCACAATTTTCACATATAAATAACCTTTTCTGACACCTGGGAATTTCAGTCTCGGTTATCCCCAACAAAAAGGATTCTGGGGTTTTTTGGGGGGGAAAGTACTTTTAAACATTTTTTTCAATTCATTATGGATCATTTCCCAATACCCTTTTACCTTTTTACACGTCCACCACATGTGGAAGAACGTTCCCTCCACTTCGTTACATTTCCAACACTTATCTGATTCTCTCTTATAAATCTTAGCTAATCTACTTGGAGTTAAGTACCATCTATGAATCATTTTCAAATAGTTCTTTCAATGAATAACATGCAGTAAATTTCAGGTCACTTTTCCAGAGTTTCAGATCTATATTGTGTCCTGTATCTATTGCCCAGTGTGTCATTGAAGCTTTAACAAGCTTGTCTTTCATTTCCCATTCTAATAGAAAACTATAAATTTTAGACAAAAGTTTATCCTTACTTTGCAAGAGTTCTTTTTCAGATTGTGAGCTTTGGTCCAAAAATCCATTCTTTCTATCTAATTTAAACATATCGTGTAACTGGTGATCTTGCAACCAATCTGTAACCCAAGGTTTTCCTTGGGTTGTGTCAGGCAATTTTGGGGCATCCTTAATTTTCCTCTCTGGAAAACCAGAGCTCAGGGCGAAAACTCTTGAGCTCCAACACACAACCAAGAGGACTATGAAAATTTGGGAGGATGGAGCAGGGTACTTTAATTAGAATGGTACTGCTCTCACAAAACAACAACAGGAGCATTCAAAAAAGAGTAAAATAACTGATAATTTGGAAAGGAAGGGTGGGCTGGAAGAACAGGGAGCTGAGAAGCAAAGGAAATGAAGAAAATACTTTGGTCTGAAAGAACCATTAAATGTTCAGTCCTCCAAGTCAGAGACAGAATTTGAAAAACCTCAAAGAGCCACATGAGACAAGGCTATATTCCCCCTCCAAGGAAGAGGGCTTGGAGAGTCTGGAAAATCCTTCCCTTCCCTCATTTATATGGAGATGTTAGTTTCATGTTGAACAGCTGCAGTGCCATGTTCATTTTTAAAAAATCAATAGTAATAATAATAATAATTTATACCCTGCCCATCTGGCTGGGTTCCACTCTGGGCGGCTCCCAACAGAATATTAAAAAAGCGATAAAACATCAACCTTTAAAAACGGGCCTAAACAGGGCTTCCTTCAGATATCTTTTAAAAATCAGTTGTTTGTTTCTTTGACATCTGATGGGAGGGCATTCCACAGGGCGGGCGCCACCACCAAGAAGGCCCTCTGCCTGCTTCCCTGTAACCTCACTTCTCGACTCATTTAACAATGTGCGCTTTCATTTCCAGACGGAAGAAGAAGCCTTCACATGGAACAATGAAGTAAAACAAGGTCTCTCCAGCAGCATCTTTACCAAAGATTTGGGCAGGATATTCCGCTGGCTTGGGTATGGCTCTTCCCTTTTCTGTGGACAAAGGTGGGGGATATTCTATTGGAGGGCGGGGTATTTACATCATCTTCAAACATTGCCTAGATGAGATTTCCAACTCCAGCTTCGTTGTTGGAGATTGGTCCTTCTGGAGAATTGAGACTGACGTCTGCTTTGGTAATCGATTTTCCTTTTTTTACAGGCCAAAGGGATCAGACTGTGGCATTGTAAACGTCAATATTCCAACCAGTGGGGCTGAAATTGGAGGTGCCTTTGGTATGTCCCCCCATCCCTTCTCCCAAAAAATTGTTGAATGCTATTGGACCTACAAAAAGTTCCTAAATTTCCATGCAGATCCATAGATGGGGGTGGTCATAGTGTACAGATTATCTACACAATTGTGTCTGCTTTTGGATCCCTCCAGTCTCCCAGCTTTAGTCCAGGGTATTCGTAGTGTATTTTGATGTACAGATGGATCCTGTCTGCCCCATCCCACCCCACGGTCAGGCTGTAATAAATTGGGCACCATCTAGAACAATGATGACCAAACTTGGCCCTCCAGCTGTTTCGGGACTACAGCTCACATCATCCCTAGCCAACAGGACCAGTGGTCAGGGATGATGGGAATTGTAGTCCCAAATCAGCTGGAGGTCCAAGTTTGGCCATCACTGATCTAGAAGGAAGGGCTTCAGAGTTAGACATACATCAAACGCAAATGTTCCTATTTATTCAGCGCAAGTCAAAAAGATGCCTTATTCCAAGTTTTGGAGTAATTGTTTGTTGGAGTATTTGGAGTACAGTGGTACCTTGGTACTCGAACGGCTTGGCTCCCTAACAAATCGGCTTCTGAATGCAGCAAAAGTGAGTGTTCTGGTTTGTGAACGTTTTTTGGAAGCCAGACATCTGACACTTGGGTGCAGGAAGCTTGTACAGCCAATCGGAAGCCGCGCCTTGGTTTTCGAACTGTTTCGGGAGTCGAACAGACTCCTGGAATGGATTAGGTTCGAGACCCAAGGTCCCGCTGTACAATGGAACCTCTGTTTTTGAGTGTCTCGGAAGCTGAACGATTCAGAAGCCGAATGCCGAAAACCTGGAAGTGAATTCTTCCGTTTTCAGGCGCGCCTCAGAATTCGAATGGCTTCTGAGGCACATTTCTCCATTTTTCTCAGTGGAATTTGCCGACCGCCTGTTGTGCCTCAGTTGTTGAACGTTTCGGAAGTTGAACGGTCTTCCGGAACAGATTACGTTCAACAACCGAGGTACCACTGTATCTGTAGAAAAAATATGTAGCCTAGGCACTCCTGCTCTTCAATGCAATTTCTGTACAGTGGTACCTCAGGTTATATACGCTTCAGGTTACAGACTCCGCTAACCCAGAAATATTACCCCGGGTTAAGAACCTTGCTTCAGGATGAGAACAGAAATCAGGCGGCGGCGGCGCAGCAACAGTGGGAGGCCCCATTAGCTAAAGTGGTGCTTCAGGTTAAGAACGGACCTCCAGAACGAATTAAGTACTTAACCCGAGGTACCACTGTATAAGGTTTTCGTTCTCTAGTTGGAAGAATGTACTGAATATTTCTGGCTTCACGATGGAATCCCTGCTATCATGAGAGCTGTGAATTTGAGACAACTTGGGCATTTTCAGGAGGATAGAGGATGCTGAGATTGTTTAGCCTTCAGTGAGGAGAGGAAAGAGGCTGAATGTTTCTATAGTCTGTCTAGATATGAGCTTCTTTGAGAAGTGCAAAGCGACATTCCTTGGTTTTCAACCTGCAACATCTCTTACCATCCCCTTCTCCCTAGGCGGTAATAAACACACTGGAGGCGGAAGGGAATCTGGCAGCGATTCGTGGAAGCAATATATGAGACGATCCACTTGGTAAGAGCTCAGGGGTTATGGCCATGTAAATATTATCCGAGTTGCCCTTCCGGGGAAAGCCAAATAAGCAAAGCAAACCACAATGTAGCCTTAACCGTAAGTCTAAAGATGTTAAGGGGGGAAGGAACGCGAAAACATAATTTAATTAACCGAGTATATATCCAAAATCAAATGTCAACGTTCACCACAGCCTTCCTCCCTGCAGCTGTTGTTTTAAAAGTAACAAACAAGGCATGCTAAATGCATGTGCGCATCCTCTAACTTGACCCTAATTTACTGAGAATTGGATTATAATTTTGTGTCGTTTCATTTCTTTTTTTTTAATGTTACATTCTTGGTTGAAAATAAAAAGTACAAAATCACAAGTGCACAGAGTGAGGTAAGACACGCAAAAAAGGAGAACATGCAGGAAATAGTCCCCACAAAAAAAGATACTGTGTAAAACACACACCAAAAAGGGTGGGGGGGAATTCTTATTGTAGTTAACCAGGCCTTAATTTAATAGTGTTATTTCAATTAAGAAACCACTACACCTATATGCCAGAATGTGGTTTGCTGTATGACTTGTTCCATTAGTGTGATAGCACAGCACTAGAGGGAGCTGTTAATGTATAGCTCAATGTATTTGCATAACTGATTTAATTATATCTGCATTATTCAGGTCAGGAATAAGTCCAACTTGTTTATTTCCATCTTATGTGTGTCCATGTGTCCTTGTTATCCTGGCAACCTCAGAGTAGAGATGTGTACTGTCAGGAACTTTTCTGGCAGAAAACCCATCAGTGCTTTCCCCCCAAAACTGTGACATTAGTTTGAAGTTGCTTCAGGTTAATCCACATTCTCCTTATCTCTGTGAGAGTGTTTTTAGATCTACTTGCCTGCTGTGGGGAACAGGATTGTGGGCAAACAAACAAACAATACAGTCGTACCTTGGTTTTCGAACAGCCTAGTTCTTGAACGTTTTGGCTGCCGACCGATCAAAACCCGGAAGTGACTGTTCTGGTTTGGAATCCTGTTCTGGTTTGGAATCTTTTGGAATCCGAACGTCCGATGGGCTTCTGCAGCTTCCGATAGGCTGCAGCCAATCAGAAGCAACACTTTGGTTTTCAAATGCTTTGGAATGGACTTCCAGAGCGGATTCCGTTTGACTTCCAAGGTACAACTGTAATAATAAAAATAAATTGTTGTTGTTGTTGTTATTAACAGCAGAGCAGCAACTTGCATCTCATTCAATGATACGAATTCAGGGATGGGGAACTTGTGACTTTCCAAATGTTGGGCCTCCCGATTCCCATCAGTCCCAGCCAGCATGACCAGTGGTCAGGGATGATGGGAATTGTAGTCCAACAAGATCTGGAGATCTGCAGCTTCTCCATCACTGTGCCAAACAGATCCAGAGATAATCCTGAAGCCATATGATACGCTGAATGAAAATGTAAATACAATAAATGGTTTCTAAAAGCAATAATGGAACACAAAATTGCAAAAGATGTTCTATGTTAAAAATGGCAGCAGAAAAACTGTTATACATTGTTGTTGTTGTTATTATTATTAGTTTCATTTCTTAATCACTTTATGCAAAGCATCCTGAAGTGATTTACAAAATAAAAATGTCCTTAAAAGCAGTTAAAACAATTGCATATGCAAAAATAATTTTAAAGAGCAGCTATAAACATTAAAAGCCCAATGTCTTCAATTTCTCCCCCCCCTTTTTTACATAATTTTTATTAATTTTTCTGTTTTACAATTTAGAATATTCATTCAAACAACCTTAAAGTATCGATGACTTCCCTTCTCTTTCCATGGTTCATTTTGAGTAGCATAAATCCCTGCATATTTTACATAAACGAAACCTTTCAGTATTCCATTAATATATCCATCAAAACTTATTTACACTGTTGAATTTATGCTGCCAGCGTTTTCACGTGTACACAATTTCCCCCCATATATTCAATAAACATTTTCCAATCTACTTTAAACATATGTTCTTCTTGTTCTCTTATTCTATATGTTAGATCTGCAAGCTGCGCATATTCCATCAGTTTAAGTTGCCATTCTTCTTTGTTTGGGACCTCGCTCATTTTCCATTTTAGGGCTAACAAAACGTGGGCTGCAGTAGCGGCCTCCATAAATACCCTTCAATTTCGATCGAATTGTTTGATCCAGTAGGGTTCTTGGCTTTTCCTTTGCTCCTATAACCTGCATATTTTACTTAATGGCTGGGGCTACCTAGTCGAATGGGTGTGGTACAAATAATAAATTATTATTATTATTATTATTATTATTTATTAATTTTCAGTGACCAAATCTACTTTATCTGTTTATCTTTCAGCACCATCAATTACAGCAAGGATTTGCCTTTGGCTCAAGGAATCAAGTTCCAATAGCATCCTTGCAAATGTGCTACCCTGGCTGAACTTTGCGTTGAAGAATCAAGTCCCTGTTGATTTGAAATGTTGGACAGAACTCCCTGAAATCATGTGGCGTTGAGGAGACTTGACTGATCCAGTGTCCCCGGAGACATACCAAGGGTCCCTTGTGGCCCCTGGCCCCAAATCCCTTTGCCGCGATAGCCGTATCAAAAAGGACTGCATTTTATGGAACCCAAGTACTCAAAAGGGTCTGGAGAGGAGGAAGGCTGAAAAAAAGCTGTCTTTGTGCTGCAGTGTGAGGACGGCGGGAACATTCTCCTACGTCTTATCTCTCGGTGCATCACAACACAAATATACAGGCATACCTCGTTTCATTGCGCTTCAGTTCATGGCCCTTTGCACATATTTTTCCTGGCCACTTCCAGGGTTAGGAAGCCCCACATCCCAAATGCCGCCCCACTTTTGGCCGCAGAAGTGGAGTTGAAGCCGTTTCCCCCCACCTCTGCCCCCGCAGCCAGGCGAGCCGGCTTAATAGACTATAGTACAGTGCAAACATAACTTTTATATACGCACTGGGAAACCCCTCAAAATTGTGTGACTTGCTTTATATTGCAAATTCGGCTCGCCGCAATATCTCCGAGGTATGCCTGTATATCATGCACTCCGTAATCGTCTGCCTTCAAACCGCCTTGCCATTGCTCCTACTGCTCAGCTCCCAATCTTACACAGACGACTGGAAACAGATTTTGGGGGGTGATTTTTGCATCCACCTCCTCCCCCCCGGGCCAATTTGGTCGACCCCCAGGTATGTCCCCGAGAGTTCCTTTCCAGAAATCCCAGTTAGGCAGAATATTTGCACACATTCTAATCATGGATCCTGGACTCTGACGCTGTACTTGAGTCCCAGCGAAGCACCTGTATCACTTTGAATTTTAGATCATGACCTACAAAATTCTACAATGCCGCCTGTGCCTGTTGCATTGGTCACGCACAACGAAACTGTGCCAAAGTGTATTGGAAAGGATTCCTATGTAGCTGGTTGCAATGCAGAAATAAAACTTCTACATTTCTTGCTATCCTGATCGACCTGCTTATTTATTTACTTGGGATCTCCAGTGTGCTGAAAAGTAATAATAAAAATAAAAATACTCTGGGGTTAGGCAGAATTTTTGTGCTCACAGTGTGTGGCTTGCGGTAAGATGAAATTCCTTTTTCTTAAAAACAAAACTGTAAAACAATGGGTATTGAAGGCCTGTGATATTTCTATGCAGTGCTATTTTTCTAGAAAAAGAGGTGCCGGAACTCACCATGAACAGAGAGGGACTAGAATTGAGTTAGTGAGTTCTATGTAAAAGTGTCTTCTTTGGCAATCAGTCTTGTGGGGGGCCAGACTGTATTTGGGGGGCAGAATGGATTCTCAGAAGCTGTTCCAGTTTCTTATTTGACCCCAAAATGTCTTGCTTTTCCTTGTTTAGTCGTGTCCGACTCTTCGTGACCCCATGGACCAGAGCACACCAGGCACTCCTGTCTTCTACTGCCTCCTGCAGTTTGGTCAGACTCATGCTGGTAGCTTCGAGAAGACTGTCCAACCATCTCGTCCTCTGTCGTCCCCTTCTCCTTGTGCCCTCAATCTTTCCCAACATCAGGGTCTTTTCCAGGGAGTCTTCTCTTCTCATGAGGTGGCCAAAGTATTGGAGTCTCAGCTTCACGATCTGTCCTTCCAGTGAGCACTCAGGGCTGATTTCCTTCAGAATGGATAGGTTTGATCTTCTTGCACTTGATGGGACTCTCAAGAGTCTCCTCCAGCACTATAATTCAAAAGCATCAATTCTTTGGCGACCAGCCTTCTTTATGGTCCAGCTCTCACTTCCATACATCACTGCGGGGAAAACCATAGCTTTAACTATACAAAGCTTTGTTGGCAAGGTGATGTCTCTGCTTTTTAAGAGGCTGTCTAGGTTTGTCATTGCTTTTCTCCCAAAAAGCAGGCGTCTTTTAATTTTGTGACTGCTGTCACCATCTGCAGTGATCATGGAGCCTAAGAAAGTAAAATCTCACTGCCTCCATTTCTTCCCCTTCTATTTGCCACGAGGTGATGGAAACCAGTGGCCATGATCTTAGTTTCTTGCCCCTATTTTCATTGGAGACTGGTTGGAGGGTATGGTAGGGCAGTCCTATTTTCATCGGAGCAATGTTGGAGGTTATGGAGCTATGCAACCATACGGACGTTTATAAATGCTTAATTGCATTTTTATATATATGTTGGAAGCCGCCCAGAGCGACTGGAGCAACCCAGTCAGATGGACGGGGTATAAATAATAAAACTATGATGATGGTGGTGGTGGTGGAATAGGACGTCCCTATTTTCATCAGAGAAATGTTTGAGGGCATGGTTTTGTTTGCAGAAAGTTTGGTTACCAGGCCTTTGGGAGGGGAGGTTATTTCTGCATGCAGAGGAAGGAGGTGTATTGCGTCTAAAAAGCATTGCTGAAGAAATGCTCCAAGCTCAACATGCATCCAAAACTGCAGTTTGCTTGTCTTTGGCCTTCTGGTTCTCACTATTGCAGCTTTATCTAAGCTTGAATGAATGCCTAGCAACTAGGTGAAGCCCCAGGACCTCTTTGTCCCCATCAGTTTTTACAGTTCTTGTGGGCAATTCTGAACATCCTACAGTATCTGTAATTCTGATTAGGGATAGCCAATCCTTCTGACGGAAGGCTGGTACAGTGGTACCTCGAGTTAAGTACTTAATTCGTTCCGGAGGTCTGTTCTTAACCTGAAACTGTTCTTAACCTGAAGCACCACTTTAGCTAATGGGGCCTCCTGCTGCTGCTGTGCCGCCAGAGCACAATTTCTGTTCTCTTTCCGAAGCAAAGATCTTAACCTGAAGCACTATTTCTGGGTTAGCGGAGTCTGTAACCTGAAGCGTATGTAACCTGAAGCGTATGTAACCTGCGGTACCACTGTATTTTTGCAGCTACATGTAAGCAAATTAGGCAGATATTGGGAGGGGGGGGGAATGTTTTGGTTCTCAAAATTCCTTGGGATGGCTTTTTAGCACAACAACTCCCATCATCCATTTGATGGTTTGCCATCCTGGCTGGGGCCAATGGGAGTCGTCATCCGAAAAATCTGGAGGGCACTAGGATAGGGAAGGCAAATTCTACCTCTTGGCTTTACAGTGTCCTCAGGGAAGAACAGCACTTTGGTTTGCTAGATAGCTTTTGCAGCCATTCCAGTGGGAAGAGCCCTTTCAAATGCGGCCTTCAGCAAATATTCTTGGCGTGGATTCCAACGTTGCAGATAAGCTTTTTTAGAAGAGCAGTATTTATGAGGTGCTAATGAAACAAAGACAAGTTTAGAGATACTGTAAACAAGTTGATGATCCTTAATTTCTGGTTTAATTATCAGAGGCTATTGAGTAGATTATAAACTGCAGTTGCTGCTAGTTGATCATTGTTCCCCGAGGAGCATTGTTTGAGTAGTTGTAAAATATGTCCTAGAGCTGCGACCGTATTAGGCGTTGCAAGGAGCTGCTTGCCACTTCGTGCAGCTGCTGTTTGCGTCTTCTGCTGTTGCTCAATTGCCATTGAGCACATAACAGCAGTGAATCCAGAGTGTTGAATTACACGGACGATCAATAATTCACCGGCCAGCACTGTATTTGCTTTCTGACAGGATGACCTTGAAGGAAATATTCTCTTCCCCTGGCATCTTTTAGAGGTTGGTCAATGAAACAGACACTCCACCGTATGCAACACAGTGCAAGAGGTGGTTTTGCACCCAGGAAAACTCTTGCAAGAGATTGCTTACCAACTCAGTTACCTGCTAACAGGCTTCCTCAACCTCGGCCCTCCAGATGTTTTTGGCCTACAACTCCCATGGTCCCTAGCTAGCAGGACCAGTGGTCAGGGATGATGGGAATTGTAGTCTCAAAACATCTGTGCTAACATTTTGTACATGCTAATGCCATGATTTATAGCACTGGGGAACATTTTTTTTTCATTTTCTGTTGCATGAGATGTTTCAGCTGTTCTTATATGTTCTTTCAATGCTGATTTCAAATCTAAAATATGCAAATATGACATATCGGCAAAAGTTGGAAATTGAAAGATAACTATAGCATGTACACGAAAATCGATTTCAGATTTGAAATCAGCATTGAAAGTACATATAAGAACAGTTGAAAAATCTCATGCAAAAGAAAATGAAAAAAAAAATTGTTCCCCAGTATACTGTGTATCCCAAGGGAATACATTTTTTTGCATACCTCCAACTGTACATGGATATACACATCATTTTAAATGCTATACATGTCATGTTCAGTGCTATATGTCACTTACGTTTATACTCATATTGTACTACTTTGGCTATGTGTTTAATAAAATATTGAATTCTTGCATTGTGAAAAACAAAGATTATGGTGAAAAGCGAAAAACATGAATCTATCCAAATAGTGTTCATGCACCATGTCATGTTATCAATGTGGTCTAGGGATGGGACAAATCTGTCTTCTCTCCTAATTTTTCCAACTTTAACATTCAGTTTACTGCATTTTCACATCCGTTTCTGAGTTTTAAAAAAATCCAAACACCACAAAATTTGTCAATAATTTAGTGTGCATTTCTCCTAATATACACATTTTGCAAACATTTATTCCTAATAATGTTTTCCTCCCCTCTATTATTTCCATTGAGATACACATTCACACACACACACTTTCCCCGAACACAGAAACCTCTTTAGTTCCCTTTTTTGGCTGGAGAACTGCTTTGCAAAATTCAGAAAAGCACACATTTCGGAGGAAAACTCCATTTTGCTTTGCATGTTTCAGAAAGTGTGAATTTAATTCCCATTAAAATGCAAACCACACTGACTCTTTCCCCCATCCCTAGGGTAGTCAGTAGGAGGCTGGTCCTCCAACACTGTTACAGACCAACAAGTCCTGCTTTCTTTCCCCATGAAATTATAATTGTGCTAAGGATAGTTCCTCTCATTTCCCCAGAATATATATATATATATATATATATATATATTCCAGGTTGGCTGCAAATTATTCCCCCTCCCCCAATATTGCTGCCATATCCTTATTTGTGAACACTGAACGAAGCTATTGTTTTCGTTTCCCTCTGATTCAGAGAGCCCAGGACTAATTATTATTATTCTTTTTTACAATCCTTTCTGCAGGTAGCAGCCACGTGCTTCAATTCTAACCAAATCATTGGGCTGAATACATTTGTGGCTTGGAAGTCAATTTACATTGTCTCGATGCTGCAGCTGGTATGAAATTGCTGATCTAGAATGCACCGGCAAATTTAATTCTATTTAATTTGGGCTTAGTTGGTGCCATGGGTATCTTTCATACCGTGGATGTTAAGTTAGCATTGCTAGAAAGGCAGCATTATAGCCAAGACTGGTTACTGAGGTTATGAATAGGCCACTTATCTGAGCCTGTCTTATCTTATATTTGTGGGTTTGGCAAGTGTCACTGCTTACATTTCCGGAGTCAGCATGTGCATTTGAAAGAAAGGAAGAATATAACTTGCTAAATAACTGTCTTTACTCCATTAAAATACATGCTGCAACGACATATCCTCCAGCGAAAATAGGGACATCCTATTCCATACCCTGGGACGCAGGTGGCGCTGTGGTCTAAACCACTGAGCCTCTTGGCCTTGCTGATCAGAAGGCTGGGGGTTCAAATCCCCGCAACGGGGTGAGCTCCCATTGCTCGGTCCTAGCTGCTGCCAAGCTAGCAGTTCAAAAGCATGCCCAAAAAGTGCAAGTAGAAAAATAGGTACCGCTCTGGCGGAAAGGTAAACGGTGTTTCCGTGCGCTGCTCTGGTTTGCCAGAAGCGGCTTAGTCATGCTGGCCACATGACCTGGAAAAACTGTGGACAAACGCCGGCTCCCTTGGCCTGTAAAGTGAGATGAGTGCCGCAACTCCAGAGTCGTCCGTGACTGGGCTTAACCGTCAGGGGTCCTTTACCTTTACGCTTTATTCCATACCCTTCAACATTTCTCCAAAGAAAAGAGAGATGTCCTCTCCAACATGTTTCCCATGAAAATAGGGATGTCCC